AATTCACATTTTTTAGATAAATTATACAATTTAAACAAAAGAAATTGTTGCACACCAGAAAACGTGCAATTGAGATCGATGGCAAAAGAAGAAAATGTTTTGAAAAACGAAAATTGCAGAAAAGTAAAACAAAAAGCTGAAAACCTCAGCACATGGAGCACATAAATAAACAAAATAAACAGACAGAGAGAGAGAAAAATGTTTCACTTCATGTATCAAGTCATTGGGTCAAATGGAATTTCTTTCGACGATAATCTTTCTCTTTCATATTTTTTCGCTATGTTTTGGTTCAAACGATGAATTGAATTTCTATTCTCAACGTGTGTTCATGTTTTTTTGTTTCAACTCTTCTTCCATTGACTTTGAATCAATGTGAAATCAATTGTAAGTCTCGATGAATTGAGTGTTGTTAGCACCTCTGAGATGGTTCACAGTCAGCAACAGCAGCATCGTTTCTTAACATGCAGACATTTCTCACGATTATCAAATATCAAACGAACATCGAATGTGTGGAATTTGTGGAAATATTTCTAAAATAAATAATCTTCAGCTTCCAAGTGTGGCATCGTTGAATGTGAAATTTCAACAATTATTTGATTAACCTGATTTACGCTAGGTTAATATGAGATCGTAGTTTCCCAATAATTCTAGCATAACAAATAAATATTTAAAGCTCCCACAGTAGTTCAATTAAAGGCTGCGACTTTAAGGCACCTCAAAAGAGACAATTGAAGTTACAATAAATTCCATTTTGTTTGTTTCTCGTGTACATACATTCAATGAGTCAGAGATGAAAATTTGTAAGCTGAGACAATCAAATATTTAACTTCTCTTGTTAATTAATTAAAACTTTAACTCCATTCGTTAATAGAGTCTTGGCAACAACAGCTACTCGCCCTTTATTAAGCCTTCACCTTAACACAGAAAGCTTAATTTGTCATCAATGGATATTGAAATTCCTTCCATATCGAGATTAATTTTTCAGTCTCACGTTCTCACAGTTCAAAATAAATTGCGCAAGTAATGTTCCATTTATTTATCAGAACCTTCTGGAGTTTCTTAATATCATTGCCTTGACTACTTACTTATACGTTAAAAACAAAAACAAAGGAGAAACACAAAGACAATCGATAGCAACTGAACTCAAATGCGGCTTTTATTTTTAATCTTGCAACTGATAAAATAAAATATTTTGAAATGGCAATAAACTTTATTTTTATTTTTATATGGAATGTTTACCTTAAATAAATTCAAATGGAACTTTCCTACACAACTTTTCAAATGCTTGCAAGACTTTGATATTGTACGTTATCACGCGATCTACATAAGTGGGTGCTTACACAGTTAAACTTACGCAATGCAAATGGAAACTTGAAAGTCTTTAGATTGTTTTTATGTAATACGAAGCACTGAAAATTCATTCAGATATAGATACAGTAATGTTATATCTTCTTAAACGTTATGTAAACAGCAAACAGTTTAACTTACATACAATGTAACTGCAATGAAAAATTGAAAAATGGGCCAACATCGAACTAAATTCTTTTTAACTTCCGTTTTTCTATTGTTTTAATATTAAAACGTAGCGACGATGACTCAACAATCGTGAAAGGTAAAAAATGAAGCAAACGGAAATATCCACTTGATTGTTCCATTGTTCGTTGTTAATTTATGCAGCACAATATGCGATACCATGCTCGACTGCATTCAAAAATCAGGTTCTTTAATGCAACAAGGGAATAAAGAGTTAAATTCAGAAAATTGAAGCTTCACGATCCATTTGAGAAACTAATTAGTTATAATTATTTGAGTATTTAACCGAAGCGATAAATGATTATGGCGTAATCATATTTTTTCATGCTTTGTCACTCTTTGTGGTATTTTTCTTCCTGTTGATCGAAGATTTAAAAAAAATTGTAGCGTCAAAAATTAGCATATGATGCGTACCGGTTTCACTAATCGATTTTAACTCTTCATAACAATTTTCTTCTCTGTCAATCGGCATAACAACTTCGTGACGTCTCAGCTGACGGTTATGTCTTCGAAATTCTTTAATCTGTTTAATTTAAATTGAATCACAAATGTGACTTTCAAGACATCCATATTCGGAAGTAGATTGAATAATCAAATGTTTTTTTATTTTATGATGTCAAATAACTTGTTTGGGCAAAACAAATTCGCAAATAAAAGGAAAGGAAAGGTCAACGCTTCAAGACTTTACAGTCTTTACAAATATAAATAAGATAGAAGAATTTCATTTGGCAAAACAACTTTTTGAGAAGCGATGAATCTTTTTAAAGAAGAAAATAAGATAAATGTTGTAAATTCGATTCCTTTTCAGGTATTTAGATAATTGTTTCTACAACGACAATCTAACATAATAAATTGCGCAATAATATAAAAATGTTTAAAGTCAATAAAGGTTATTTATGAATAAAAAAGAACAAACATACATATAAGTTTATTTAATTAACTTCATAAAAGGAAAACGAATTAAATTCTCTGTTTTTCTTCTAAAAGTTCTTGTTAATAGAAAACATTAATTAAAGGTTTGTGTTGATTTGTTTCTTAATTAATAAAGATTTTAATGACTTATCTTGTGCCTTAAACACCGACGAAGAATTTGTCATTTGTGTTTATCGATATTTGATATTTCTAAGAACCTGAAATCATGAGATCGTCGTAGCTCATGTGTCATTGCCTTGAAAATAACTTCTCTGAATATTGAAGTAAAGTTCGCCTTATTTTTTTTTTTGTTGCGAATATTGTTGCGAAAACTTTTCTCTAATTTTTAACTCTTCATATGTGAGAATTTTTTACCTCACAAACAAAGAAACTTCGTCACGGATTTTTGTTTGTCTTCTTTCCTTCAATTCAATCTTTTCATCTGTTAAATCGAAAGACAGAAAAAATCTCATTAAAAAGATCATCAGTGCTGCAATTGAATTCATTTCAATGACTTGGCAATAAATATTTAACGAAAAGACCGCAAACTGGGCAAAGGCCAAATGTATCACTTTATGATGTTGTCTAGGATAAAATCTTCATGCTTTGATTACAGTCTAAAATTGTATTACTATGTATGACCAATGCCAGAATAAATACCTGTTTCTTTAACTTAAAAGTCGATAAAAAATGTGCTTTATTAACTCAACCAGATAAATAAATATTTTTGTCGATGCTTAAATTAGATGTGAATGTAAATAATAAACATGAAAAGTTAAGTTGTAGAGCAGATTGCTGTTTACGAGTTGATTAAGTTTCTAATTTAAATCATTTTTGTGGGCATACTTAAACTTTAACTCATTAGCATTCCTATGTACGACTTCCTACATCTTCAACTGAAGAATCAAAATTTTCAACGTCTTTGTGGAACGGTAAACTGGCGCTTGAAGGTTTTAAGCCTAAGCACGATATTTGATGATCAAACTCATAATGTTGCACACATGTAAGTGGAATGATCATAAATTCTCCCTAAGTACGAACATTAACAATGCATAAAAGTGCACACGACAATTTAGAGCGTATTGGGGCCATCACTGTTGACGATGGGCACTCCCGAGAAAAAAGAAATTTGCATTGCTGTGGTCTCCAACCATCATCACGAAGTCTGTAATTGGTTTCACTAAGTTAGTAGAATGACGGATGGTTTTGTGGTGGCCGACTTTGTAATTTGATAAGAAAATCGTTAGAAAATTTCATCAGGTTGAGTTGAGTGCGAGCTTTGTGAAACAAACGAAATGAGTGATCAAGTTTTTGTCAATTCTTGCTTCGATTTTTTTGTCGTATGTTTGATTAATAAATTCAAGGTCAGCGTCTATTAAGAATCGCATGTTGATGATGGAAACAATTTAACGTAGCTATGATGACGTTCATACATGACATCGAATCGATAAAAAGAAATCTTTTTATAAAACACAAAAGAATCGCTGATAGCACGGAGAAAGCAAATTTCCCAGAATAATTTCATTCAATTGTTTGCTTAACTACAAAAATAAACTAGTTTCAGTTTCAAATTTCAAGAGAAAACAAATATCTTGTTATTATCTGTGTATGAAAAGGGAGTTGATTGAAATCTTTAAATCTTGAAAGTTTCAGTGTCAACTTTCAAAAGAACAAAAGATTTCGTTGTTATGTAACCGTTAAGAAGATGAAGAGCATCTTAAATACTTTTTTAACTTTAACCACGTGGGATTTTCGAGCTGCGTAATCGCTCAATTCATTTTTGTTAAACAATAATCTTAAATACATTTTTGTTTCATTTAAATAGATATCTATACTTAACGTCTTCACAATTTGTTTAAATTGCTGGGTTGAGGCAAAAGTAACTGCACAAAAAATCAAACTAATCTTTGAAAAAATCTGATTCTTAAAATGTCTTTGTGATTGTTTAAGAGAAGGAAAAACTTTACATGATGCAAAAATTTTTGCAAAGTTAATACTTCAATGACTTTGATTTGAATGTAGCTTCAAAACCATGGTTCAAGTATCGATTATCAAGTGCGAGTATAGTTTTTGTTGTCCTATAAAGAATCTTAATCCGATGCTTTGAAGATCATAAATCTGATTCCGAAACAAACATAGACGTGAATCGAGTTGAAGTGTTTTTATTTGGTTTTCTTCTTTGGACTTGTCGGTTCATTTTGTTGTTACACTTTCTCATGACCCATTTTCTTGACTTCTCTCGAGTCTCCGATGGCTTATTGTGGAAGACAAAAAACACATTTTATTCTCTTTTCATCGTTACGTCTTTCATTATGATGCTGTTCTGCGTTGATGTCGTCGTTCACAAGAATCTGTGGAAAAGTCGAATATGATCTTTCCGATCTAAAACATTCCCCTACATTGAAAGTGTTCAAATCGGTTATATGTAAAACCGAGACTAAGAAGAAATGAGATTTAACTCAGTTTTATTGCTTTCCTTTGGTCCGCCTTTATCCCTAGAAATATCCCTGGGTTTAATTATCAGGTATGTGTTTGTACCTTTCCGTGCACGTGTGCCTAATCAATTAACGGTAAATCCCAATTATTGTCATATTTTCTTACCTCCTTTTTCGCCATCCTCCTTTCTTCAAAATTATCCTGAAGGAAAAATATTTCTCTCTCTATAGTTCAATTCAAGAGTTCAAACAGTTTACATCTAGGTTGTCAAAAATGGAGACAAATAATGAAAAGTTAAGCATTGAAGAACTTCCAGAGGAAATCATTGAAAAAATTCTAAGCTATCTAAATGTAAAATCATTAAAAACTGCTGCACTTACATGTGAAAGGTAATTTTTAATCCTTTTTTGGGGAAAGGGCTTCGGAAGTTTAAGCAGATCAAAAACGGGCCACAGCCCGATGCTCTGTTTTCCTTTATTTAAAATTTTACTGAAAGAATGCTTGAAACTTGTTTTGTTTCAGATGGAATAGAATATCCGCCGAAATGCGATGGGAATTGAAGTTGAAATTCGAAGACAAAAACGAAATTGAAGAAGAGCCTTGGATAGAGACGCTCTTAGAAAGTAATAGAAATTTCAAGTCCATCCAATGTGAAGGATTTATTGAGAAGAGAAACGTTCGACTGATGGACATTTTTGAAAAACATGGCGGCAATGTTCAGAAATTAGTTATGGTTGATTGTGAATTCGACAATTTCCAAATATTCTGTGATGTATTGAATTTCATGCCGAATTTAAAAGAAGTTACCTTTCGATATTCAGACACTCGAGGTAGATTCGTCAACAATTTTTCCGAAGATCATTTGCCTCATCTTCCGAAATTGGAAACATTAAAGTTAGTTGTGAGTGATTTGGAATTGATAAAGTATTTCAAAAATACCAAACTCAATTCATTTGAAATATTTGATGATAATATGAAACGAAGACAAGAAGATGTCATTATTCTTTTGGACTTTCTAACTCATCAAAAGAATTTGAAATGTCTCAAGTTAGAATACATTTCTTCAAGTTTCTTTTCTGAATTCTTCGAAACTATTGCTACTGAAAATTTTCCTTATAAATTGAAGGAACTGTCGTTGTCTCCTTTCTACATCTGGAGAACGTTTAACCACTCTAACTTCTCTAATTTTCTGGAATTCCATTCGGATACGGTTGAAAAATTGAGACTTCGTAAGAATTTGCCCGATTTAATCGTTAGATTTAGTTTTTCCAAATTCAAAAGACTTGCTGCATTGACATTCTTTGATGATTTGATTTTGAGATTTCCCAATGATCTGTCTCGACTTGAGATTAATCCAAATATTAAAATACTCAATATTCCTCGCCTTAAACTAATAGGAGTGAAAGAAGATGCTCTAAAAGAATTTTTAAAGCACGTTCCTAACGTTGAAATGTTGAGAACGAGTGGATCTATCAATTTGCATGTAGTTTCGAATGCATTAACATGTTTGACGCATTTAGAACTTTGTGAAATGTTTCCATACTTAGACCAGATGAAATCGCAAAGCTTACGATCAATTACCATTGATTGGTTGATTTTTATCCCTGACTGGAAAAAATTTGCAGCTAGCAATCCGAATGTAAAGAAAATGAAAATTAAATATGCGCATGGAAATTTTAACATTGTAAGGTTTCTGACAAACATGAAACTGCAACACTTGGAATTACCAAAGATCAAAGTCGACGTCAATGTTTGCAAAGCCTTGCATGAGAACACTCAAGATATGAAATCGTTGAGTATTCATAAAGCAAGTTTTGTGAATTGCCAAGAAAATCTTTCCGATGTCAAATGCCTTCGATTTCATGATGATTATGAAATTTATGACGATGACAAAATTTGGTATGATATTTAGATATGCGATCCTGGAATGATTTATAACTGAAATTGGTCGAATCTTGTTGCTAAATAAATAAAATGTTCAACTTCTTTTTCGCACTTAATATTTTTGATTGAAATAATTGCAATATAATTTTTATCACTTCAATAAAGAATAAAAATAAATAAAGGAAAATAAAACTTCCTGTCGTGAAGGAAATTAAAAATAATTTTAAATTATCATTGTGCTTATTGTGGGAGGGTGGGAGGCAAGAAACACATTCTCTTCTCTTTCCATGGTTGCTATGTCTTTCATTATGATGCTGTTCTGCGTTAATGCTGTCGTCCAAGAGAATCTGTGGAAAAGTCATAAACGATCTTTCCAAAATTGGAAATTTTTTTCTGTGGTTTTATAAATACCAAAGTAAGATTACCAGGTCATCTTTATGAAAAACACTGCTGGAATAGTTCCAAATTATTTAAAGATTTATTTGTAACGGTTAAAATGAAATTGAAAGTTTTAACCCCTTTGTCATCTTTTCATGTTCGGAAACACCATCAAATTGTGTCTTGGCTTTTACTTGTTTTGAACGAAACTTTCGATGAATTTTCAACGAAATACTCCAAGTCGATGCTGGAAAGGTTAGAACGTTTGATTCTCGATTTATTATTGAAAAATGGAGACAATTAAAAAGAACAAAACAATTCAAGGTCTTCCAGAGGAAATAATTGAAAAACTTCTAAGCTATCTAAGTGTTGAATCATTAAAAGCTGCTGCACTTACATGCAAAAAGTAAGTTTAATTATTTTTCCCTGATTTCACAATTTACTGAAAGAATGCTTGAAATGTGTTTCCAGATGGAACGAAATCTCCTCTAAAATGGGTTGGAAATTGAAATTGAATTTCAAAAACGAAAGAGGAATTGAAGAGCCATGGGAAGATTCTTTTGGACTTTCTAACTAATCAAAAGAATTTAAAATGTCTTGAATCCAATGATTTGAATTCAATTCCTGCAAGTTTTTTTTCTGAATTCTTCAAAAAATCTGTTGCTACTGGAAACATCCCGTCTAAATTGAAGGAACTGTCAATTTCATGCATTAACGAAGCAGAAACACTCAATGACTTTAATTTGCTGAAGTTTTTTGAATTCCATTCAGATACGGTTGAAAAGTTGGAACTTGGTTGCTCATTGCCTGATTTCGTGTTTGAATTTATTTTTTCCAAATTCAAAAGACTTGCCTCATTGACATTTTTGGGTGGAAGATTTCCCAATGATCTACCTCTATATGAGCGACTTGAAATCAATAAAAATATTAAAACACTCAGTTTTCCTAACTTTGTACTGTTAGGAGTGAAAGAAGATGCTCTAAAAGAATTTCTCAAGCACGTTCCTAATGTTGAAAAGTTGAGAACAACTGGAATGATAAACTTGCATGTAGTTTCGAATGCATTAACTCGTTTGACGCATTTAGAACTTTATGGCACTTCCTCAACTTTACACCAGATTAAGTCGCAAAGCTTACAATCAATTACCATTGATGAATTGAAGTTTATTCCTGACTGGGAAAAATTTGCATCTGATAATCCGAGAATGAACACAATGAAAATTGAAAAAGTCCCTGAAAATTTTGACATTGTAAAATTGCTGACGAACATGAAACTGCAGCGCTTGGAACTACCAATGATCAAAGTCGACGACAATGTTTGCAAAACCTTACGCGAAAACACTCAAGATATGATATCGTTGAGTATTCATAAAGCAAGTTTTGTGAATTGCCAAGAAAATCTTTCTGAAGTCAAATGCCTTCGATTTCATGAAAAGGATGAAAAATGTTGCTTTGAACGATTTTGTCCTGGACTGATTTAAAACTAAACTTTGTCGAATCTTGTTGCTAGTTTATTAAAATGTTTGACTCCTTTTTTCATGCTTAAATTTTTTTTTCTTATTGTAATGAAATTTTTGTCACTTCAATGAATAAATAAAATAAAACTTCCTATCATTAAAAAAATTATAAATGATTGTAAATAATCAAAGTGCAAGTAAACCAAGAAAGAAATATCACAATTTGATAATCCTAAAATTCGTTTTGATGAGATATTCAATGAAATGAATTCTCAATCTTATTATTTTATATAAAAATTCCCTTGCAGCTTTCGCAACTTAATGAACAATCAAGAATTGATTTTTAAATTCAAGATTCACTCCCAAAAAATTGTCATTCTTTATTAATTATTACGCAGCTTGGAATTCCGTTGTGTTTGAGAAGAGACTTAACGGTTTTAATGTTTCTCAAGAACGTCGAACCGAGACGAGACAAAAGCTTTTAAAAAACGTTTTCCTTACACTGTTTGACAAATTAAAAATGTCTAAGATCAAGTTTAAGATTATGTTTTTAACAAATCTTCGCTGATGTATTATTTTATATTTCATTCAAAAGAAGGCTTGGCATGAAACAAGAGACAATGTTATATTAGCTTCTTTTGATGTAAAATAACAAATGGCGTTGAATACTCAAGACTCATTTTTTCTACTTTATTTTTGCCCGAAGCGTCAACTTTTTAAATGCATCGTGATGTTTCATTCAAGGAATTTCCGTGATTGAATCCAAAATAGAATTTTTTTAAACACGATACTTTATCGATCATACAGCCGGCTACTGATGTTAATGCCTGACACGTTTTTATACTTTGTTGATGGTTTTAATTGAAGATAGAAGTGAAATCTATTTATGATTTTTCATTGTATCTCATTTGTATTTGTGAGTTTCTTAGCCAATTTATTTTTCTATCAATTAAAATGTTAACATCGGTCGGTGAAGTCATCAATGCATGAAAGCAAAAATTCTTTCTAAAAAATATTTCGAGGCTAACAATGAATTTCCATCAACACCGCAACAGAAGCGAGACGACCTTTTGATTGATGTTTTCGTCACCACAGTCATTGAAATTTGCGTTGTTATGCGTAATAAATTGAGCTGAAAGCCTCTCATTGTTTCGACTCCAACTCAAGTATTTGACTTTCGATTCTTTTGATGGCTTCGTCAGGCGTTTAGATCTTCGCAGTTAGCATCCAACTCAACTCGCAGTCGTCTGTCTTTGGCTTTAACTGTCACGCTGTGTAGTAGTCGATGACATGTTGCTACCCTTGAAATAGTTTCATGCAATCAAATGAAATTGAATGTGAAAAGCTTGAAAGATATTTCTGATCAGAATCTTTTGCTTATTCTTATTGATGATGATGACTTCATCACTTCATTGAAATTCCACCCACACAATCTTCTGGTGCATTTAAATACGAAATGTAAACAATACCGAATAAAGCTAAAAATAATCGTTTGTGTTTTAATTAACATTTCCAATCGACATTGTTGAGTTCATTGGTATTTAATATTTAAGTAAGCGGTAGCATAAAATATTAATAAACTGACAATAATCATAAATTTTCGCTGAGTCGGCAGCGTATCCTTTATTGGACAGTTTGTTATACATTCGTAAAAAGCAGTGAAAACATAAAACTTTCCTTTGAACAACATTCACCTCATAAGCAACAATGTCACTTTAATTCACCCAGTTCCACTAAATTCACTTGTCAATAGCACCAATTAAAATTAATTTGGCGGCTAACTTCGAGCGTTGTTTCGGAATCTTTCGTGATCTTTTATTGCCCAATAAACTTCGAGGCAATTGCAGTCGATTTGATGTCTGCCTAACTCAACATTAATAAAATATTTATGAGCAAACCTCAAGCACATTAAAACATTAGCTAAGTAAGTTGCTTTGAATGAAGTTGCTTCAAACCAAATGATATTTGGGTTAAAAGGTATAAATATGCAATTGAATCTTTTATTGAAGTAAAGTACATATTTTAGCAAAACATAAACTCGAACCTAAGGTTTGAACATTAAGAAATTTCATTAACGACAACTGAAAATATTTTGCAAGCTCGTGAATGTTTTCCTGAATTAAGTAGAGTTCACTTTGAAAACAATAATAATTGAAATATTTTAAGAGCTTTTAGCATTATTTTTAGACTGACCAAAAGAGAACCAGAAATGTTTTGAATTTTGATGGGTTGTTAGTTCTAACATAATTCTAAACAGTTTGGAATGATTCATTGTTTTTTTTTGTTCCACTCTGTAAAGCATAAAAAGATCTTGACAAGACATTCATTAGACAATTTGCTGTTCTTATTCTCTTTTTATGGTACTTTTATATTCATGTTAATGTTTTATTGAATGTTCGCATATCTGTGCATATATAGATATGCATGAAAAGATCTTTTAGTATTCAACTGCCAAAAGGTGTGAATTCTGAATAGATTTGAACATGATTTTGTTTCCGTGATCTTTTGTGACCACAATTACAGCAATTTGAGAATGGATCATGGAATTAATCAGACAATTTGTTTGTTTCTTTACAGGAGGTTTCATTGATCATTTTGGCGGCGTGAAATAGAAAATTAACGATCGAGAATTAGCTTTAACTACTGGAGTGTTGTGCGTTCATAAGGAGACCAACTGGACGATAAAACGAACATATTTAGTGTAGAGAAACTTCAGTGCTTGAGTAGCGCCATTAAAGTAACAACGAAATCGAGCACTTTGCATTAATTTCACGAGTTATTAAAAACAAAGCAATTCCAAATTCCATCAACTTCGCAATCAACCAACAAGTAAGCTACCAGTTCAAGGAAATAAAAATTGGAAATCACATCAAGTCAGGAGAATTCAACACTTTTGATCATTCTGGGAAGTCAAATAAACTGCTTAGAACAATTGAAGTTGAGACGTTGGGTGAACAAGAAGTGAAGAATAAAAGTTCCATTCGACTGAGTTCTTCGTTCAAAATAAATAGAGTAGTAAAGAGAAGAATTTGTGGAGTTTAATCAAAGCGACAATGTCCCATTTTAAATGAACAGATAACGGATTTCCATTGTGAAAGCAACTTCAATACTAAACGATCAACTAGAAGAACGAAAAGTTTGACGAAAGGAAAAATGACAACAGCAAGCAATTATTTAAATTGATTTCGATTCCCAATTGAATTGTGAAAATATTCGTCTAATAAAGTTTGGTTCGTCACCAAACGAGTTAAAGAAGCAGAGCAGGTTACACCGAAAAAGTCACTCGAGACACGTGCTTCGAATATCAATCAGCAATCAACAATCAACTAAGCGATGGATTCCAAAGTCGAAGAAAGCAAGGAACAGTCAAATGACGAAGTTGACTTCGTTCCAACGTCTGCGGCTAAAAAAGAAATTTGTGTGTCGTGCAAGAGCCTCAATCCCCTCAAGAAGACATTTCTAGTGCGTAACAGTCATTCGAATAACAATAATCACACACCAAAGAGTTTATCACAGTCTCAGACGACAGCGACGATAAAGACTTCAGTTTACGGCGATTGCGAAATACAAACGAGTGTTAAGCCTCACATTTCGGCACTCGAACGGCTGCAGTTGTTTCACTTTTCATTGCGAAAGAAAAATGAAGTGTTGGAGAAGACTCCGCTGTCACAAGCAGTAACGAAAGATCGCCGTCCGAAATTCATTAAAAGTTCATCGATTGCGCGTCTCTTTGGCAACACGTACAGCACGAAGAAGTCAGAGGAGAGCCACGCGAATGTCGCAGCACTCAAAAAGTCAAACTCAGTGAATGAAAAGTTCTCAAATAAGTCGAATGAAAGTGACGACGAATTTACATTCAGGATGAACGAAGATCATTTGATTTTGAGTGAAAGTTCATTAAACTTAAACAGTTTGGATTCATCTAGTGCACCCATGGAGAAGAGTAATTTGAAAACCATTCGAAGTATCACAAAAGGTCTCGGTAAATTACTTCGACGGAGTAGTGACAGCGTTGCAATTAGTGCACCTGATCCCGTGTACAAAGTGTTTTATCTCGGCAACGTTCTGACTGGATGGGCGAAAGGTGAGTTAAATTAAATTTTTGATCTTTGCCAAAGATGACGTTTAACTGTGAAATAATTATTGAAAGCTTTAATGATTCACAAATTAATAAAATTGCGAAAGGAAAAGAACGGAAGGTAATGACAGTTATCGGTTTTGAGGAATGAATGATGTAAATGGCCCGACAATTCAGCATCTGGCAAGTCTCTCTGACTCGATGATGAACTTAATTTGAACATTTAACTGTTAATTTTCACACAACTGTGAGATAGTTAGACGTGATCATCCATGATTGATATTCTCAATTCGATCTCTTTCTCTCATTACAATTGCCATATGGATTTTCGCTATGAATTTTAAATTGAATTTTGCTTAGCATCCATCAATTACACGAAAATACTTCCGAGATCACAATTTATGAAATTATAATCATGAAATGTATTTAAAAGCTTAAAAGCTCTAAGGGGGTTAAATTTTTAATGATGCCCACCCAAAGGGGTACGACAGATTTGCTTGACTTTTGGTACACATTTTGATTCCTTTGAATTTAAAAATAATTTTCTTTTGTTCTTCATTGCTTATATAAGTTTACACGTTCGATAATCATGAACAAAAAAAAATCGACAACGCAATCATTGCACACAGCTCATGTCGGAATGTAAAATGCTTCTTCTTCTTTACCTTTTCATCTCCTTCTTCTTCTTCATCATCTTGCGCAATTTAAAAAGATGTTTTAAAATTCACTTTCTTCATGTAATTGTTGTTCAAACCAACGGTGCTTGTTCAGCTTCATTTTGAATCTTGTTGTTCAGAGAATCGGAAGAATTCTTTCGATAATTGATGAAACATAAAAGCATAAAAGCTCTTGATCAAAGTAAAAATGATACGCAAACGTGTGCTAGGAAGAGTGAAGTGAACTGTAATTGGCGACGAGTGAGCTGCAGAGAGAAAATAAGCTGCGAAAATTATGATTAGTCGAAGTCATGCAGAATCATTTCAAGTTGGAAATGAATTCAAATTGAATTTATTTCGACGTGCACCACTTAACAAACCGACTTGTTGTGAGTTTTTCTATAAATCGAAACTTACGAACATCATTCAGCAACTTCATTGTAATTCGAAGCTAGTTCAATGATCTTAATTTGCATTTGAAAATTTTGAATCTTGCATTAAAGATGAACAGAGAATCGATTTAAAGCAATTCGAGGAAATTATTCCGAATAATTCATTAAAAAGCATTTTGCGCAAATTCATCGCTCTTCATCTTCATCTCCGGTGCTCAATGTTCAGTGTTTGGTCACAAATCAAAGTCAAAATTCAAGATTTTTATCAAATCCGATTGCAAAGTCGTTCGTTCTGCTCTGATTACATTGTGACTCACAATGCAATTGATGATGACTTTCAGATGAATCTCCTCGAGTATGAGCGAACTCGAGAAATTTACATAAAAATGTCATTCTCGTTATCTTCGCATACGAATGAATTTCCAATTAAAATCGATTCAAATTTATATTTGATTCATGTCTTGTTGAATTCTTTTTCTTCTTCTTGTCCATGTTCACAAGCACTTTCTAATGTTGGCAACCTTAATTCGATGATAAACATTAATCGATTACTTAAATGATAATTACAGTTACTCACCTAAGGTTGTAATGAAGTTGCACAAGCACAAAACCTTCAGCACCATAAGAAATCTCCTCGATAATGATCTGCACAATAATTCATCAAAGAAACTCCCGCGATGATGAATTGAATGACTTTTCTTCTTCTCGTCTTCCGTCTAACTTGCTTCTAGCTTTGAATCTTTGCAGTTGTCGATAAAATCTTTTCATTTCTTTTCTTTCAAGAACGTCATCGCGTGAAAACAATTACAACATTCTCAGAACGGAATTTGTTCTTAATTGCAAATTAATGTTTGTTGCATAATCGCGTCACTTATTTTTATTATTCTCGAATAATTAAGCGAAAACTTACATCATTAGAGTCATGAAATTATCTCAAATCAAACTTTACTGCATGGGAATCACGAAATCTTTCTTCAGAAAAATCACTTCAGTGACAATTAGATCATCAACGTCTTTAGAGAGATCTCGGGATCTTAAATGCAAGTGGAAGAGAGCAATAAATGCAATGATATTGCATCATCTTGAAGTTGTTTAGCTTTTCTAATTAAGCTTAAATAGACAATAAAATTTGTTACAAGCGACAATAAAAGTGCAACTCGGAGCATGTTCAAAGAGAGTTCGAATTGAGCAATTATAAAGTTTATGAATATGGCCAGTGATGACTCCTGGCGAAATAAGAATTTCTTCAAGTGCTCCACCTTGAATGGTGTCAGAGATTTAATGAATTAAGTCATTGAACATGATTAGATTGGTTGTTGAACCTTCAACTTAAAATTTCACATTGAACGACGACTTGTCCGCATTCCTTCCCTGATTTCAAATGTTTTGTTGAAATAAAAAGTGAAGTAAAAGTTGTCAGCATGTGATTGAATACGAAACTATTTTGAAGTATGTTGTGTGACCGAAAAAATTTAACGAATTCCCAAAATCAGCTGAACGCCAAATGAAAAACTTTCTTTTTGCTAAAGTTTGAGAATGAATATTTGCTTCTGTTAATGACATGAATTTGTGTTGTTATTTTCTTAGATATTTATTTAAGTATGTAAGGAAAGTTACTCAAGCGAGGGAATTGTGCTGTGTTCGATATGCTTTAATGAATGAATGAACCAAAGCAAGCACTTGGCAACAGCGAAATTTCACTCACTTTTGAATGAACTCAAAGACACGTCTCGTTAAAGTCTGATGATGCTTGCTTATTGTCTTGTTATCTCATTTGTTGAGATGAAATTAACTTTAGAAATCACTCATTGCGTACCATCAATCGGCTCTTGAAAGCGTAAAGCGCGTCATATTGGAAAGGTCAATTAAGCATCTAGTAGTGACTTCAATCCGCAGACAAAATCTCGAAGAGTTACGTGAAATTTATTTTTGGTAAAGCGCCGAATGAAATAAGAAATCAGCCAACAACAATCTCCACACCAATAATAATTAAGCAGAAATTTCACGCTTGATTATCGTCAACAATAGTTCAGTGAACATTATGCAACCTGAGTTATTATCGAATGATCATTGCAAGTGGAATTGTCTTCAATTTGTCTTCATTTACTTGAGTTTCACTTGTTTTCTGTGACTTTGCTAATATTAACATTGTTAATGGAAGAAAGTTTCAACCTGCAACGTAACAATTGAGACAAAATGGACTCAAAACTAGTCACGTTAATTGGTCAAAAATTTGCATGTGCAAAGGCGGTGAAAAAAGGTCAATTGCATGCTTTAAATGTAGAAGTCAATGCCATAATGTGCCAACAAAAAAGTAAGTGGAATGTTTGTTTAGTTTCTGCATCTTAACTCGAAGTCTCAGTGAATGAAATTAAACTGCGACAAGTAAAAGACCCAGAATTGAATTCAATTTTCGATATTTTTAATGAACATGAACATTGCAACTGTGCAAGATCAAAACGGCTGCAAATGTTGAGAAAATTATGCAAGAGTTGAGTGGCCGCGACGTCACAAAACGTCTTTGATTGAATGCTTTCAATGTTAGCAGCTTAACGGTTGAGCACTCGAGCAACTGAGCCTCAAGTCACTAATGAGCTTTGTCGATTTGTGCAATCAAAAGGAACAGCGACCAGCTCGGCTTTTCTCTCCAGCTCATGAATCAATCAGAGTGACATTTCATAAATCAATTCGCTTGTTGAACGAACGAACTGAAATCGATGCAGCAATTTAGTCAATAAAAAATAAAACAAAAAGAAATTTTTGCAATGATCACGACGACAAAGTCAGACAATAGAAGAACGAAGTAACCGACTTCAGGCTCCACTTACGTTGAAGCTATTTAAGTTGCACTAAAGCTGTGCCATGTGTGGTTATGTAATTACATCCAACGGTCTGTGGATGAAAAGAAAACAATTTTGTTGTGTTTGTCTTTGGCGTTCGGAAACATTGATCGTCAGTCTCGTAAGTGAAAGTTTTCCTCAGCACGTCGTCGTCGATGTTATATGACGGAATTGTAATGTTGACGATAGGAAAGTCAGATGCAAAATGATTTTAAGAGTAAACAACATATCGGAATTTCCATTTGATCAAAATTCACAATCATCAATCGGTCGATCCCTTTTGGATTGAACTGAATGTGATCATTAGCATGGCCGGGTCATTCAACTTCATCTGAATTCATTAATTTCACTCGGCATGTGACTAAGCTTTGCGAAATTGAAACTCGAAACAATAACTTGGCTTTTGTGAATTTGTGATTTAATCAAATTCATGCTGAGTGACTTTTGGTGGGCCAATTTGTGTGTCAATTTTCGGTGTTGGTGCTTTGAAGTTTCTAAATGTTCACGTGCATTGCACAGTCATATGATGATGTCTCTGACATGTAACGCCATTCAATGAATGATTTAAAGTATTTTAATATCCTAGGAATTTGCTTTGAGATTTCAATTGGAAATTGTCACTCGTGTAAGCGAAACTTACTTTAATCGCTCTCAATTCTCTGTTGGAACATTTCGACTAATTATGAATGACTGAGAGTCAAATTGATTGTTAGATGAACTTAAAATTTGTTTCTGTCTCACTGCAAGAAGTTCAAGAAGGAATTTGTGGTAAATTCAAGTGTTTGGATGGTTTCTGAATTTCCCTACGAAATGCATTGACAAAGTGAAGCTGTAAATGAACTTTCCAGTATAAACTTTTAAATGTTGTTGCTAATTAGATGGATGACCAGAGAAGCGTGAAAATTAAACGGCAAAAAGTGCGGAAACTTCTTCGGTTTCTTTCGGCAATTTCGATTGCGTGTTTGTTATGTTTAATGAGTATTTCGATTTATTAGATCAATTAAGAGTTCCAAGTGAAAGCTTCACTTAAAGATTTACGTCAATTTAATTGATGAAAACATTCATTTTTGGTTCATCTCTCGGCTTGTTACATGGGGAAGTTTGAAAAAGTAAATAATTGAGTTCTTCTTAATTAGTTTATGAACTCGTAAATGTAATGAAGTTTTTTTAATCTTTTTTTCAATCTCTGCGAAATTTATTTGCAAACATTTTTGTCTGCTTCGGTTAATTTGGGACTCAGTTGGTGAAATGGCAACTTGCAATGAAAGAAAAAAGCTGGAAAATCAATCAACAGCTGAATGGATCAATTAGAGTTGTCTGCATGAATCATCGATTGAAATGTTTTCCCATCTCTCAATTCATAAAACTTGTGAAACTTGAAACAAAAATCAGAAATTGAACAAGAAGAAACCTCAAAGTGACGACAATTGTCTTCAGGTTAATTGATGATTACGCAGATTTGAGAGATGGTTGAGCAAGCGCAAGCTTTTGTAGTCAACAAGGTCTTCTGTCATCTAAATTATTGTTGTTTAACACATGATTAGTCAAAGAGTCAATAACAGATCTTCCGTTAATCGTGCTGAGCTTTCAGCTGAATGTGCCCTCATCAGGTCATCACGTCGTAAATTAATAAATTATTAAAAACTGCGCAGTTCAGATTTAAATCAATTGTTGAAAATTCTTTCTTGATATCGTTTGTTAGTTTAATGTCAATGAAATATTTGTTTACGAAATAAATTCTGCAAGTAATTCTAACATCATAACAGCAAATAAAAATGAAAGATTTTTTATAGAAATTTTAAAAGTAATCAAAACAAAGTTTCTGATTGCTTTATGATTGAATCAGAGTTAATCAGAGTCAATCAGTGTGCTAACAATTAAGTACAAAAGTTAATTGAAACTCTTGTTAATTATCATCGTAAAGATTGACGGTTCGATAACAATTACGAATCAAAACAACGACAGAAAAGCTTCCCAGTCCAAACATCCGTTTCCTTTCTTATTTTCATTCTACTTCCGTGAACATTTTGCGTTAAAAAATTTTCACGAATCATGTCAGGAAGCTTATGAAATATAACTGGAATGAAATTAAATATTGCTGTCATGCATTGTCACGTTTTTGCAATTTAATAAGAAATGCATGAAAATTTGATGTCCAAATTCCGGTAATTTGAAATTGAACAGCGAACATTCACTCTTAATTGAATATTCGTTCTAATGAGGCTTTGTCTGTTGTTGTATTTTATTACATTCTGAATATAGAACCTGCCAATAATTCGACTTTTTTTGGTGGCCTTTCAATATTTTCAACAAGCATTCAAAAGTTCTCTCATGACATTGACGATTTAAAGCCTGGAGTAGGAGAAGCAGTCATTGAATGACCTTCAACTTGACTTGTTAAATTTTATTACTTTTTAACTCTCTTTGGAAGTTCGACTGAAGTTATTTCGCGTGATGTTAGCTAAAGGAGAAGTAATTAGCAATGACCGGCTTTTCACAAGTTTTCCTTAAATTTTTGTTGGTTATTAACATCAGCATCTTAAATTTTCTATTGTTCATCTTCAAGCCTACTGAGAATGGAATTTAAAAAATTCCACTTTAGTGTTGAATATTTTGCGCATCAATCAATTTATCGAAAGATTTTTTTCATTCTGATCAAGTGAGAATACCAAAAAGAAGATTTGATGTCATCGTTTGTGAAAGATTTGAATGGAAATCTTCGTAATGATCTCACATGTGTACTTTAGCCGTTGAGCTCATATCATCCTGTACCCACCTCATCTCTGGAATTTGTAATGTTGACATGTAGCTTGTGTCTAAAATATTTGCGCAATTTATTCACACTCAAGTCAACAACATTGTTTAAATAACATACTTAGGCACTTGCTTCGTTTGTTTTTTATTTGTTGAAAGCACGAATTGAATGTGAAAAATGTTTAAGTCGAAAGCAAGGAAAAGCTTTGAATAACTCTAAAAGTACTTCATTTAAGAAAATTATTTTTCTATTCATTTTTGTCTTTTAAAAAATAGTTAATTAAAGTTGTATTAATTACAGTTCACATTTCCTGTTTTAGTTTTAAACACGTATGCGAAAGATCGAACATAGAAAAGGTTATCGACGATTAAAATGAAGCTTTCAATAAGTTTTTCACACCATTAAAGAAGCTTTTGANCTTTCGGCAATTTCGATTGCGTGTTTGTTATGTTTAATGAGTATTTCGATTTATTAGATCAATTAAGAGTTCCAAGTGAAAGCTTCACTTAAAGATTTACGTCAATTTAATTGATGAAAACATTCATTTTTGGTTCATCTCTCGGCTTGTTACATGGGGAAGTTTGAAAAAGTAAATAATTGAGTTCTTCTTAATTAGTTTATGAAATCGTAAATGTAATGAAGTTTTTTTAATCTTTTTTTTCAATCTCTGCGAAATTTATTTGCAAACATTTTTGTCTGCTTCAGCTAATTTGGGACTCAGTTGGTGAAATGGCAACTTGCAATGAAAGAAAAAAGCTGGAAAATCAATCAACAGCTGAATGGATCAATTAGAGTTGTCTGCATGAATCATCGATTGAAAAGTTGATTTTTCTCAACTCTCAATTCATAAAACTTGTGAAACTTGAAACAAAAATCAGAAATTGAACAAGAAGAAACTTCAAAGTGACGACAATTGTCTTCAGGTTAATTGATGATTACGCAGATTTGAGAGATGGTTGAGCAAGCGCAAGCTTTTGAAGTCAACAAGGTCTTCTGTCATCTAAATTATTGTTGTTTAACACATGATTAGTCAAAGAGTCAATAACAGATCTTCCGTTAATCGTGCTGAGCTTTCAGCTGAATGTGCCCTCATCAGGTCATCACGTCGTAAATTAATAAATTAACTGCGCAGTTCAGATTCATTTCAAATGTTTGGGATTCTTTCTTGAAATTACTATCAATTAATAATTTCGCTCAATCATATGTAATAATCTTAGATTCTTCAAGCTGACAAATTATTTAATGAATGTCTTGTGACATGGAACAAATTATTAAGAATTTGATTTCAATTATCAAACATTTTTCCGGTAATAACAATCAGGAAAGAGTTGATTGTAAATTTTAATTGAGCGTGAATATTTGCACTACCAATGAAGTTGAGATAAGCGTGTGAATATAAACATTTTACAAGCAAATATTCGAAACAATAAAAATAAAACAAATTGCAATATTTCATTGTTTAATTTTCCTCAATTTTCTTTTCTGTCTGACTACTTAAACACTATTTATCTTAAGTAATAATTTAACGTCAATTATACAAAAAAATATTCTGACGTCAAACGAGTTTTAAATATTTTCAACACAATCGATCAAAACAATTGTTACAAAACTTTTTATTTCATGAAGATCTTTTTTGTCTGATAATAATCAAATGTTGATTCAATCGATCATCCAGAATCAACATCTTGATCTCTGGAATGCATGATTTTTCAAGGTTTATTTATTCATTGTGTGATAAGTTTCGTGTGTAATGAAACTTTAGAATGTTTTATCAATACATTTCGAATAAACTTGAGGAAATCCAAGAAAGGTCGAAATATTTTTACGATCGTTTCCAAATAACATTCACAAAATTCTGCACACGTCTTAAGCAATCAAAGAATGTAAAACTTTATAATTATGCAGAATTTAATAAAATTAAGATTGAATATCAATAAAAATGAAATAAATTCTTCTTCCCTGTAATTTTTGTGTTTAATAATTCATCATGTGATTTTATTATTTGCGTGACGGTGTTGAGAATAATTTTGCGAATAACAATGTGATTCAACCATTAACCGTCTAATGACCTTCAACTTGAGAAATATTCTTCTACTTGAACTTTGTAATGATATTTACTTATTTTGAAAGATATTCGCAGTTGAAATAAAAGTTCTCAATACATTTCTTATTTGCGTCGATGATTTGCAAACTTTTCTTATTAAATTCAACTTTAAACTTTCAGGATTAATCTAAGTGTAGAATTTTGAAAAGAATCCGGCAGTGGCTTCTTAATCAAAATTTCATTTTTGACACCGCTTGATGATCATTACAATAGCGAAACTTCTTTTCACTTCGTCATTAAAAGATCTTCAAACGATTTTTTGCTTCTTTATTTCGTTCTAACAAGAATTGAAGAGAAACTTCTGAATAATCTGAAACTTCTTCAGATTTCACTTTATTAAAAAAAGTTTAAAATTTTTATTAGTAGGTCGTGTTTTTGCGCAGTTATCAATGTCCATAACTTAAAGCTTGTCTTACAATCATGAATGTTGATTCCATCACCAATATTTATAAATATTTCATCACATCTCTGTAAGATTGAAGAAAAGACAAAATCTTCTTGTCAGCGAGGAATGTTTGTGTGGCTGCGGATTCTTTAAAGTTGTTTGACATTAAAATTTTTGCTAATTTATTCTTAATGGAACATGTTGACAGCTTAAGTATGTAATAAACGAACCTCATGGTTGAATTTTGTGTGGCAGTGATCTGAACATCAGATAATGATTTCATCAATTTATAATCTCGGAAATTTTCTAAATGAATGCCAGTATCATATTCTTTATTACACTTAAGTGTAACTTGAACAATTAATTTAAATGATTTATTTCAATGTGATAATTAAGCGATTATTACAGTTCACATTTCCTGTTTTAGTTTTAAACACATGCGAAAGATCGAACATAGAAAAGGTTATCGACGATTAAAATGAAGCTTTCAATAAGTTTTTCACACCATTAAAGAAGCTTTTGAAGAATAATTAATTAATTAATTAATTTGTTTTCTTCTTTAGGAGACTCGTGCATTGACAAACCATTGGCAACCCTTTGGCGTAACTACACACAAAACAACAAACCACAAGTTCTGATGCGACTGGAGGTTTGTCCATCTGGTTTGAAAGCGACGACAAGACAGCATGGATTGACTGAGTACTGGTCACATCGGATCAGTTTCTGTTCAGCACCTCAAAGTTATCCAAAGATTTTCTGTTGGATTTATCGACATGAGGGACGAAAAATGAAACATGAACTTCGATGTCATGCAGTGATTTGTTCCAAAGATGCGCAATGTCAGGAAATTGCGACTTTATTGAAGGTAAGTTCAGTGAATGAACTTGAACTTAGATTTGTGATTTAATTTCATAAAACTTTCTCTTCTAAAATAGCAAAACTTGACCATTGCACTTCGCGAGTTCAAACGAGAAAAGATCAACAAACAAAATGCTCGTCTGAGTTTGGCTAATGCCGCAAATGAAAACCCTTCGATGCCTTATCGAAAGATTCTTCTCAGTACAGGTGGAAACAATTATCGGCCACCTCTTGAAAGATCTAAGTCAGCACCAAAACTTTTTGCAATCGAAGAGATAATCGATGAAGAAGAAGACGAAGAAGATTGTGACGAAGAAATGAAAGTGAAGAGACAAGAAGAGAAGAAGAAGCAGGCAGAAGTGAAGTCATGTTGTAAAGAAGATTATTTGTATCCGTCAGTGACATTGGGAAGACGACGTTGCAGACGTGGTCACTCGATCAGAAAGTCTCGATTACTTCGTGGCTCGATTCTCAATAATCAGAAATCATTCCCGCCTTCCAATGTTGCGACGATCACGAGAAATGAAACGCCTGAAGTTGTCGACGACGAGAATCTCTGCAAGTCGATCGAAAGTGATTTGAGTGTTTCATCAGTGCCGAATCAAGAATCACAAAGAAAATCACTCGGCGGATCTGATGAAGACTTCGAAAGTTTTCTGTTGTACAATAATTATGATTCCAAAGAACCGCTTTCTGCTGACCTTTTATCGTACTTCGACATGCAACTGCAAACGCCCAACACTTCGATGTTGATCACATCAACTACGATGAGCATGTCTGATCTATCTGAGAACGACTTGTCACTAAAGAACCAACGGAACAGCATGAGCATGTCAGATTTAATCGACTATCAATCAGACAATGAACTCGACGATGGAGAATCTTTAGTGGAATCGTTTAGTGGCAATTTCAACTTCAACCAAGATTCAATGCTTGAAACACTCCGACAACAATCAAAACCCTCGAACGATGAAAATGATCTCCAACAGCCTCTCATTCATCAGACGAATGATTCGACTGTCAGTATCGGAACGAACAATGTTCAATGTCCCGAAGATTTCATTTTCAAACAATCTGCAAATGATGAACATGACGATGATCTCACATCAGAAGCTCCATCGTCACTCTGCATAAGCGAAAAGACAATTTGTGTCAATGTTGATAGCGATGAAGGATCTTCAATCTCAAGTGGATGTGAAACTTCGTCAACTGTAACAGCGAATGCCGAAGAGGTTCACTTACCACGTCGTGGAAGTGTTTTAGATCGTGTGAGAAATTTCGAGCAATTGGCTGACTCGCAAACACCTCGAAATATTCCAGTCAATTTTAGTTCAAGAGGTGTGACATCTCCTAATGATTCTAGAAGCGGATCACAAAGTGGAAGTTTCATTATCACACCCACGCAGTCAACTCTCACTAAAAACGGAACATTGACTCGTGTTGACATCGAAAAAGCAGTGAAAATTGTTAAATTTAGTCGTGAAGAAGATCCAGATGAGTTCAGTGATGATTCAGGCTACCTCGAATTTCAAGATCTTTCCTTGCAAAATCAAAAATTGTTACATTAATTTCATTGAATATTTAAGTTAAATTACTAGAAATTTTTCAACATTTTATTTTATCACTAAAGATAACGAAAAAAACCTTCGAAAGAATAAGAACCAAAGAGTTGTACTTGATGATAAATAGTTGCAAATACATTTTGACGTCAGAAACTTATCTGAAATTGTTTTGATATTATTTTGGGACATTCCAGAGAAGCTCCAATTTCTTCCCATTAATTTAGGTAAAACTGACATTTGATTTATGTTTAACAAGTCTTAGGAAATGCTTGTCATTAATTTATATTTTACAGTGAATACGTCGAATGATTATCTACAAGCAAATATGCTTGTAAAACACAATTATTGTGATCAAATTTGACGACTTGATTTTTAACACAGTCATAACACCGAAACTAATTGCCACGGCCTCACAGGCGGCTTAAATGTGAACAAATAAGCCAAGTATCTTAACTTATAAAAAATTCACATTTTAAGCTTTTCGAGACAACACGCTGTGTATTTAAAAAATTCTTTAGGAAACAAAAACTCATAATCTTGGTAGAAACAATTCTTAAAAGGTAAAGTCATTTAATCTTTGCTTACAAGTTTAGGCATTTAATTATCATTAAGATATTTTCAACTGTTTGTTAATATCTTAACATTTGTAAGATTTAGCTTAAGTTGGTAAGCATTGATTGAGTGGTAAGTTCCTGTTTGAATAACTTTTTTAACGTCAAATTGATGCCAGGGCACTTAATGATTAGATCGATATATTTATGAGCTTAATTATCACCGACAACTTGACCATTCCACTATTATTAAGTGTTGAACTAGGTAATGTAATTTCTAAATGAATTAGTGGTTAAGTTGTTGTTTTTTCAGTACTATTTTGAATAATTTACTGATTTTGTTACAATGTTTTAATATAATTCATACGTTAGTTGATTATTCGCAACATGAGGGGAGTTTTTAAAATATTATGAAGAACATTCAACCTTAAAAGCTAAATGCAAATACAGACATTTTCATTTGCAATTCGTACAAGGTGCAAATATTTGATCTCGATTTTTAGCATTGTGGGAAGTACAAAACAATATTTAATATTCTCAAGTAAGAAAGCCACACATGACACAACTACCTTAACGATGTTTTCTCTTCAAATGTGTTAATTACTGTCGAAAGGAGATAATTTCAAACGGCATTTGTAGGCTCAAAACAATTCTCAATTATTTTCAAAATAAATGTTTGAGAAGTGCAAATATATTTTCGAACTATGGAAAGTAGAACTATTGACATAAGAACACGAAAAATTGAGATCATTACTTGTTCACATTCATTAATTATTTATTATTCAGAAAAATATAATTCATCTCATGTGGAATTATAGGAGAAGTTAGTTGAAATGTTTAAAATATATTCATCAAATAAAGAAAAACATTCAAAGAAAGAAATCATATAAAAGCTTTTCGAAGACATAAACCTTCTGAAGCTTTAGTTGAGACACATTGGTAGAACTAATTTTATTTCTCAGCGGATCTACTTCTCAAACAATATCCCGGACAAAAACATGTCCGAGATTTATCATTAATGCAACATTGACTCTTGAAGATTGAATGTGAACGGTGTTGAATATTTTCAGTTTAAATCCTTATTTCGTGGTAGAAGGTCCTTTAAAAATTTTCGTGTCGCGTGGCAGACAAATAGTCTGAAAGTGTGAAAAAGATGTAAATAAAGTCTAGTGATTTTCAGCAGTTAATTGGATAAAAATAAGAGAAAAAGTAATTATTTCAAAAAGTTTTCTGGATATACAAAGACATTTCATTCAACCTAGTTTGCATGCATTAGTGTGGGAGTTTCTATAATCAAAAAGTGTTTATTAATTATTATTCAAATAATATTGAATTAAAATTCACAAAGGCTGATGGCTGTTCTGAATCAATCACAAGTGAAAGTTTAGATATTCTTACACAATTTAAAGAAATTTATATTTTTAGCCCTTTGAAGCAAATAAACAAGGCGAGAAAAAAATAAATATAAAATGTGTCTGTAAAAAAATAAAAAAAGAGAGTGGAGTGAAGTTGTTGGAACAAAAAATATATGAAAAACCACGACGGTTTTACGCTTGAAAACATTAATTTTCTCAAAGCATTTGGTAGAGGATTAGTGCTACTAATTCGTGATAATAAAATGAGTGAAATGACTAATTCTTCAAGAAGGAATTTAGTAATCTTAGATATATTTGTGGTAGAAGCAATTCATGAACTCAATAACATCTTAAACATTCATTCTGCAATCTTCAACATGAAGATCTGATTATAATTAGATTAAATTGAATGAATGTAACTTCCATTCATGACTTCTCATAATAAACATTGCTGGATATATTTATCATCATCAAAACAAAATAAATACATAAACATTTATTCCACTCTCTTTTATTTAAAAAGAAACAACGACAACGACAGAAGTGTGTGAGTCATCATGAATTTAATTGTTTCGCTGGAATCTTTCCATGTGTATTGTTTAAAACTGCGCGGAAAACTTATTCTTGCTTTTAATCGAATGGGATGAGTTTCTTTCAGAGTTTTATATTGTGTTGCTCTGTAATTAATTCAGAAGGCTTCTTCTTTTTGTCCTTTTGTTGCGAAAACATCGTCTCATATCCATTTACATGTGAACTTCAAATCTAATTTGTTGAAAACTCTTCCATGCGGTGAATACCACAGCTTTGAAATACTTTGAAATACTTTGAAAAGCACAATAAATGCCTCAGAAGTCATCACAAATCGTGAAACATTTATGGAGCTTATGCTAAGTTAATAATTAAATTTTGAAAACATTTATCTTCAACATCTCTGCATGTAGAAATAAAATTTTATGTTTGTTCAAAGTCCAATTGAAGATCGCCCCATCATAAATTCTTAAGATTAAATTGAGTAGAAACGAGGCGGAATGATGTCTCGAAACATTCCTACATTTCATTGCAGAACGAATCAGTTCATGTGGAACTTCACAAAACTCCATTCACGCACAAATTTAAATTCATGTTAAAGCGATTCATTGAAAAATGACTTCTTCTCTTTTTTGTGTTTATTTATTTATCTTTTATGCAATAGATTCTGTTACCGTTTTTCATCTCCCTCTTTGCCGATGAATTTATGTTTTTTCACATTATTTTTTTTCTTGCTTTTTTATCCCGGGAATATTTCGCATGTTATTTGATCTTTTGCGAGGGAAGACAGGAATTCGTTGTCTCTGAGTATCTCCAATGTCGAAGCGATATATAATCTTGCTTAGTTGACATATTTGTCTACATTCCAACGCTGATAATTACACCACGACCTTCTTGACAACTCACCATCGTTGTGTGATTCAGTCAGCATGAAAATTAGTTCTCGCAAAAAATAAATGTTTATTCACTCATTTCAAACATTAAAAAACACTTATTTACAAGTTTTCCTATTCGTCTGCTTCTAAAAATGAAAACAGTTTATGAATATTATTTCAGAAATAAATTTAAACGACATAACATAATTTGAGAAAGAAAAACGACCACATGAAATATATTTCGTTATAATTAAAGTGTAAAATGTTTTGTGAAGTCATCCAGGAATGTCATTCAACTCGATGATTTACGAGAGGGTCAATATCAGTCTCTAACAGCTCATGCAAACAATTAATTTCATAACTTTACACAAAAAGAGATTCCTCGCGTTTTATTTTCTTTGTGAGGAAATTTACGATTCAACCAGAAGTGTCTCGAACAATAAATATCTCTTCGAAAGTGCCAGCGTGGGTGTTTGTTTGTCGATCGAAGACTGGTTTCTTATGTCGCATACAAAAAACGGGAAACTATTTGAAACTTTCGGCTTTGCATAATGAGATGATAGTTTCAGTCTTTTTGTGTTGAAATTTAATATTTATAAGCGTTCCGTTCTCGCATGCATCACGACTTCTTAAGTGTTCAGAAACTTAGAAATAGGAAGACATGTATCAACATATATTTATGTATGTATGTATGTTAAAGAATTCCCGTTTTCCTGGAGCTTGTTGAGAATTTAACTTCGGCAGCATCAGCAGTTTTAAACGACATAAAAGCGAAAGAAAAAGCATGTGACTACATGACAATGGTACTGGAGATATCCGTATAATGTAAATCACAAATTATGTAAATCGAGTTCAAAAGTTTATCGTAACCCGGAAAAAAGAAAACGAGATGAAGAAACTCCTACTCAAATAAGTAGGAATATGAAGAGATGAAGAGATTTTGCCCCTTTTTTCCCTTCATTATAAAATTGAATCACTCACTGAGACTTTCAAAGAAGACTGCAGCTTTGTATGGCTCCGGGGATTTAAAAAAGATACATTAAAATTACTTTTGATACTGATTTTTGTGTTGTTCGAGTGAGATGCTTTATAAATTTTTTAAGGGAAGCAAGTAAAATACTTGTTGGGCGTTCATATTAACAAAACAACTCGCAAAGGTCTTCCCTGTAGGACATTAATATAAGCTTGGTGACGTGTATCCATTACTGAATAATACGCTGCAATGAATATAGGAGGATTTATTTATTTGTTATGTTTTGTGTCTTCCTTTTTCTACCCCTCATTTAATAAATTTTCTCACGAGCCGACGAGACAGAAATAAATTAAATTTAATGATGATTCACACACAATTCGCACAAGAAACAAAAAAAATTATTTCTCAATCTTCAAAGTGTTAGAAATGTTTGCTTCTTGACTCAGAAAAAACAGCAGACAGTTCCGAACCAACAGTGAACTTAAATTTAGATGCAATGATAAGATACTTTTGACCTAAGCAGTCAAGAAAAACTGCTGTCAAATGTGGGTTTAAACCGGAAAGTTTGAAAACAGAATCGAACAATTTTTTCAAACTTTCTCTTTGCACTTTGTAACAATTGAATGGAAATTTTCAATGCAATTCATGTAATTGTATTTTAACATGCACTTAACCAATATAAATCCGCCAATGATTAATGAAAACTACCCTTGCAACATGATAATAAATTTCCCATCTTCCATTGTCCTTTCACCATTCAATGTACATTGCAGTTCTGGAATCAATTGCGCTTGTACAATGTAGAGTTGTCACCCTTACCTTCACTTCCTCGCTGCTAAAATTTATTCCTTTTAATTTCGGAATATTTTTCTCTCTGCTTGCTCGTTTAGGTGAATTATAATATCCACTAATTGAAAAAGAGAGAAAAATCTCACAAACCAAATAACAAGCTTGAATGTCAAGTTGCACGAAGAAGAGAATTTAATCTGAATGGATTCAGAATTTAAATTATTTGCAATGCATGAAGAAACATCGTCAGACTTTACCAAAGTTGACAATTTGGTAATCACGGAGTCTTTACGAACTAATCAACATTCAGGTCACATACTAACCAAACTAAACATTAAAACCTTAACCCAAGACAATCATAAACAACAAATGACTGAGTACAATCAATCGGCTAATAATAATTGCACATTAACAAAAGCAACTAACACAGTAGTTCGAGAAACAGTTGAATCAAAGCTTAGAGATTTCGTCACTCGTAGGCATGATTATCATAAAGAAACTTCCACTATCGTTATGAGTTGCAAAGAAGATAATATTAACAACAACAATTGTGACATTCCCAGCACCTCAAACCATACCATCGGTGTCGGAATCATGTCGCACAAAAATTTTGAGTTGAGCTTTGATCATCAACCATCACCATCATCGCTGAATTCATGCGACACTTTATTAAGTCCCGTAGAAGCTCCTTTTGGTAGACGTTATGCTGAAATTTCACAATTCAAAAACCATCCCAACATTGAATGGTAATTAAGCTTTTTGTTTTTGGTTTAAAGATCATCTCCATTTTCCTTTTTATATCATGCTTTTAATTGAGGTTTTTATTGCTTTCATTCCTCGCTTCCATCTCCATTTTTCATTAGAAACTTGAGCTTTTTTCTGCTTTGAGGGTTTTGTGATTTTAAAAGACAAATAAAAACATTTGAATAAAAAATGGAAGCTTTAAGATTGCAGCATTTTTCATATTCTCTTGCCATAACCCAACTGACCACTGCTTCTTTTTCACTTCCATCCTTGTATCCTTATTTCCTGATCCAAAGGGATTATAACGAATTGAAATTTAATGCCGCTTCTGTTGATCTCTTGAACTTGTTTTCGTCTCTTTCTACGCCATTCTATATTAAATTTCAAGTGGATGGTAGATTAATTAAATAGGAAATAGCGAAGCAATTATTCACAGCAACACTTTGTCCACACCATTTGCCTTGTTATAATCCCTTCATTCATTTTTTTTAATGCTTGCCCATTTTTTCTTATTATTTTCCTTGCTGTTGCTGCTGCTTTAAAGCTTATACCGCAATTATGACTCATCAACGTTCATTTTCTTGTTGCTGGTTTCATCCAAGGGGTTGATCCAAATTGGTTTATATAATCGAGCTCTACTTTGCTTGATATATCAAATTATCACTGAAATTATCTTGACATAGTCGAGTCAAAGTGACGTCTAACAACCCCTTGGATTTTATTTTTATCGTAAGTACTTACTTTTGTTTTATTTCCCGTAAACTAATTTAGGTCGATTGACGATAGCAACGAAGTTAAAGAACAAAACCAAGCAGAAAGTTTTTATGACGATGTTGATACTTCAAAACCAGAGACAGTGATGGAAGTGACAAATAAGGAGAAAACCGATGATGAAGATCTGCTTTTGGCAAACGATAATCTTTCAAAAGAGTTCTTCGAATCGAATGCTGAGTCGAGTTCTGATGGTGGTGTGTTGGCTGAAGGTGAAGATGAAACATCGAGTAGTGAATCGGAAACTTCATGGTCGCCAAGTCCACAATGCAGCATCACTTTAATGGAGCGACTCTTACAGACTCATCCAGTTTGGTTCTTACCCGGCTTACAACGAGGTGGAAGTGTTCATCTGCTTCAAGGAAAGGAAATCGGTGCTTTTATAGTTCGTGGATCAAGCCAAAAAAATACAATGGCGATATCTGTGAGACTTCCACGTGATGCGGGCCCATATATTGAACATTACTTAATTCAATCTCAAGATGGTCTTTTGAACCTTGAATCATCGCGTTTTAAATTTGATTCGATACCAGCATTAGTTGCACACTATTCAAATTGTTGTGATGAGTTACCAGTTCAATTGTCACTTCCAAGAGGTTTACGTGAAGCTAAAAATCGACAACAATTGATGTCACTGGCTTTGCTTGGATCTGAGTTTTGGAGATGTCCAATTGCATCACCAGAGATTGAAGAAACTTCACTTAATAGTCAAATAAAGTCGCCAACAGAAACGAGTGGCATTAGTACTATGGAGCTTACGGGCTCCTTAAAGCAGAAGAACAGTATTTTGAGTAAACTTAATTTAAGAGGCAATAACAATACAAATCAACAGTTGGTCGATACACCATCAGACACCGCGTCTAGTCTGAGTAGTTTTGCAGTCAGTGGTGGTCAATCGCAAATGTTAAGTCCACTTTCACCCGACAATGTCTTCATAACAAGTCCAACTGTTGAGTTTTGTAGCATGAAAAGCAGCAGTAACTCAATCAATAATCTGAATAGTCCCTCGGGTATCATTGGCAGAACAAGCACATTCAAAGCGCAAACTTTTTCATCATCACAAAAAATTCCACAAAATCGAGATGTGAATTCCGATTTTCAACAAAATATTGCTTTGAACGATGTCGCTACAAATAAAAGGGATGATGTTCATATCGAGGAATTTGTACAACAACGAACCCGACCAACTCCACCCAACACATTAAATTTAGCAATCGCCAGCAGGTATGAAACTGAAATGCAATTTTTTATTATGTTTACTTTCGCTTTTATTCTCATTGCCAAAAATTTCGGTCATAACTTTTATTTTTCTCTCCTCTACTGCTTTTATGTGTTTAACAACATTCTGTCATTCTTTTTTATTCTTTTTGATAAAAGCAGAGCACCAGTTCCACCAAAACGATGGCTTAAACCATCCGGATCGACGACAAGTCCATTTGTGGAACAAAATACAATGCAAACAAATAACAATTTCACTGTAACCACAACAGTAACATTTAATGTATCAAAGCAACAGCAACAACATCACACGTCGGAAATCGAAATTCCGCCGAGAAATAATGTAAGTTGACTCAAGACGACAATCATTGTGTGACTTTATTTGACTTTTACGATAACTAACAAATGCTTTACTGTCTCAATCAATTGAAAGCGAAAGTTTTTCTTCTTTTACGATTCAATGAGAAACTGAAATGTTTTAACATAAAAAGCCTTATAAAGTGTCTCAGTTTAACAACTTCTTTGAAAGCGAAATATTTGCAATTTAAGTTAAGAATTAAACAAAGTTGCGTGATGATTGTTATCGATGAGAAAGTCATTACACTCATCGTTAATTGCGTAATTTCTCTCTGCATATTTAAAACGTGAATGTCAATAAAAATTTACGACTCATTTATCATTAAAATGGCGATAACGACAATTTATGCTTGTTAATCATTATCAGGTGCCCATAATATCAGAACGTCTTTCACCCGAAGGCGGCGAAAGTAAAACCAACAGCGATTCGAGTCTTCAAAAGTGGGAGCAAGCCAAATCGTCATTGAATCAGTTTAAGAACGAGAGTATGCGATCAAAACGACATAACGGAAGTCGACGTAAGGAATCAAAACATTATCAGGAATCAGATATATTGGAGTCACCTTCAGTTTATTGTCGAAGTAATTTGGGTGATAAAATTAGTGATTACGAGGATTTGTGGACTCAAGAGAACAATAATTCACGATCGAGTCTCCATATCGCTTTGGAAACGTCATCGAAAAATAATGAAGCTTTAACAACGCCAATGGCAATTTCTCCAACTCAACTGATGACACCAATTGTGGGTAGTGAAGTTGCAATCACAACAAATAATTCACAAATTATAACGACATCGAAGTCAATCATTGACAACAACAAGAAAAGTCCATTTTATTCCGATCCTGTTGATGTCGTTCCTTCATTTCTTCAAATTGTTCGTCGTGAACCCAAAGTAAATCTTTTGCCAACATTTCATCGTTATTCGGAGCCACCAAAAGGTCAGTTTGAAGATTTGAACTTTCATTCGTCGCCTATCGAAGTGGAAAAAGGTTTCCAATCATCAATCATAGCTGGTTCATTGGATCATTTGAAGGCACCTTATAAACCAATTAACAATCATCGATTGGATCCAACTTGGACGGTAGACTCAAGTTGGGAGTTTGTCGATGCTGACAAGAATGATGACTCATCGGAAACAAGTTCAGTGAGAAACATGAAGCAAATAACACCGCAGAATTCATTGAGAAATCGAAACGACAATCAACAGAAGAAAATGATGAACACTTTCGATCGACAGCAATGTGGAATGAGCGTTGACTCTTATTTGATGAACAGTAAGAAGTCAAATGTTTATAAAATGGTCGCTAAGAAATATCCAGAAATTAACTTAAAACCCTCAATCGTTCCTTCAAACGCCATTCCATCAACATGGCAGACTTTCGATAGTGATTGCAGCAGTAAATTCCAGCGTTTGTCATCGTATGACAATGTTGAACAACAATCGGTTTATGGTGGATCGTATCAAAATAGCGCACCATCTGAAGACGGAACTTTGTTCTCTGAACCATGGGACAGCTCACAATGGGACACGTTTATGCCTACAACTGACGGTAATTAATTTCAAATTAGTCATTTTCTTACCTGACATAATTTCTCTTTTCTAATCAGATTCAAGTACGATACATTTGTCAAAATGTCGTCCGGCAATTTCGGAAGATGAAACTATTATGGAAGATTCCAGTATCGTGTCGAAGAGTCATGCAAATACAATTCAAAAGAATCCACTTATCAACACACAGAAAGTCGCAACAGTTCTGAAACATCGAAGCAGTTATTATTATCGTGATCGGGAAATCTTAAGTGAGTAATTTTCTATCTCCTTCTCTCTCTTTTTCTAACTTTCTTCCTTTCCACTGACTGAAATATATCTAAAAAGTTTCGTCATCGTCTGTCTCGGCAGACGACTTAATGAATTATTCATTTATTGATAAATAACAAAAATGCAAATGTTTTCTAAAGCAATAATATTTAATCTAGCCTTTGATGATGACTTCGTCGTCATCATCTACGTAGTCTTATAGAAATTCCAAAAAATATATAAAAATCCTTCTAATCTCTGATAAGAATGCAAATATTGAGAGATTAAGATTACAAAGAAAAGAAAAAAACAAATGAGAAAGAAATTTTTGAAAATAGAGAATTGAAAATTAAAATTACCGGAGACAAAGCAATTCAGTTGTAATTTGACGATTGTTGAGTGCAGTCAAAAATTTTAAAAACAAAAACCAAAAAAAAACTCCTTCAAATGTTATCGTTTTGAAGCAAGAAATTATTTGTTTTATGTAGTTTCGTGTCAATGAGAAATTTTCGTTTTAAAACTTTTGTTTCGGCCGGATTGAACCGCGAAAGTATTAGCCATGAAGTGGTACAAAAAGTCGTTCTTAAAAAAAGACGCGAGTCAAGTTGAAGCGTCGGCGTCAACAAAAACATCAGAGAAAATTAATCCAATTATAAAGTGGTTCAAACAATTAAAAAATGATAAGAAAGAAGAAAATGGTGACGAGTCACAACAGCTGAGACAAGAAATTGACGTGGTACCAAAAACAGAACTCTCGGCATCACGCCAAACACTTAACAATATAAACATCGCTCTTCAAGTCGGTGAATCGTCTGGTGAAAGTAGTGCAAAATATGTAGGAGATGAACATGAAAAAACCACGTGTTGTAACAATAAATATTGTTGTGCTAATGAAGAAGGAAATGATGAAAATGATGAAGACATTTCCATTTCCGATGACTTTAATCTTGAATCAATAAAAACTTTGAAAACAACAACGACGCCATCTATCGTTGAGAATTTAAGATTACCCACTGATAATAACAGTGAAAATAGTTCAATTATCAACGAGACTGATTGTCGTCCAGGAGCAGAAGCCCTTAATTATGCTTTTGAAGGTGATGAGGAAAAAACGCAAGGAAAATATGTTTGCTTGAAGAAGAAACATGAACGTTTTCATTCTGACAATTCTGATTTGTTTACAACCACTGACAGTTTGGATTCAATTAATGATCATTCAACTCTTAATTACGAGTTGTTATCGTCTATCGAGAAGAGACTTGACTCATCAGAATATAATATTACGAATTGTCAAATTTACAATGACAATGTTAAAAGAATTAGAGAAATGATGAGTGAACCACCGACAAATGATTGGATTTGCGAGGATTTCAACGACGATAAGATAAGCACTCGAATGGACGCTGACACGAAAACAATTAAGGAATTCTACAGGCTCTGCGTTCGTAGTCATGTCTTGATACACTACCTTGATATTAAAGTTGAAGTTGGTGAATCGGATGAAGTTTACGAAAGTAGTTTTGAGAACTTCATCAAATGGCTTTTCTTCCGAGGAAAAGAAATGACGGAAGAGCATCTAGTAAATAAGAGTGTATGGATTCAAGCAATTTTAAACTTCTTTCGAAAGAAGAGTAAGTAAAATAAAATAAAACGTCTCAGAAGGATCAAACTCATAAAACTTTTTGCCGACGTTTTGTAAGCGCGATGATGAACAAGTTGAGTTTTTTTACGATAATTGTTTTCACTTGAAGATAATAATCGTTGTGAAATTTTGAGCTGTTTCTTAATTTACATAAATAGACGCACAATCATAAAAACTAACAAGGTTCTCAACGTTTCTTCGAGGGTAAAATGCTTCGAGCAAATGAATTATTTTTGTAAAAAGAAAATAGAAAGACAAAGCGAAAAAGTAGACATGCGGGGGTGTTTAAGAAAATATCTAGAAAGATAAAAAGATATAATTGTGATAGCCAACCATTTACATTACTCACGTTTTCCCAAGAGATTTGAAGTTAAAAAACAAAAAGTGCGTGAGTGTGTGGAAAACATTTCAAGAACATAAAATTGCTATCCATTAATTTACTTAAGTAACGAGATAAGGAGAAACGATGCGAAATTATAGTCGATAACTTTTCTATTAGTAACTTTTCTCTTACCTGTTTTGAAGAAGTGAAAGTGATTGTTAGTTGTCTCTTCATTGCTATACTTAGCAACAAATGAAAAGGAAAGAAAGCGAACCCTTATTAAGAACATCATCGTAATGTCTCAACGCTGTGGGACGTTTTAAGATTGCCTCTCTTTTGTCGTCACTTTCACAGTCAAAATCTAACTCAAAGAAGCGTCTTTGAAGTCTCTTGTTGTGCGATCTGGAACATCAGAGTTGAGTTTAGGTGGCGAAGGGAAAAAAATGTAGAAACAAATAAAAATAAAAGCACTCTTACCAACCAGTGTTTTTATGGGCACTTAAACTTTATGTATTTTGTAATAAAAATATTAAAAAGCACAGAGAGGGACGGGAATTTATTCTCGAATATCATAAATTTCCTCTGATGCTTCGAAAAATAAGGAAGAAAAATGTTTTTACTTTTTCATCCTGAATCCTTGGTTTCAACTCTCAAAGTTACAAGCACAACATATTTTTCGTGATGTTTTCACACGTACCAAGTGTACTCATGAAAATAATATCACTTGAACGCTTTTAAGTGAAATCTACCGCACCTGATATTGTCACTTTTACGTTATCTTTGATCGGAAGTTAATAATTTTCTTTATCAATTAAACTGTAATTTCAACTTCAATTAACAAAATATAAAATTTTGTTATTACATCTTTAAAAGCTTTGACGAAGTGTAATGTCGTCGTAACTCGTAACTCAGTAGTAAAAATTTCTGCCACTTTCTCAAGTAAATCTCTTTCAACTGAAAATTGTTTTAAATATAAAAATATAAAAGAGATTTAATGTTAAACATAACAAAGTGGCAACTATAAAACACAAGAAAAGCACTTTGGTTCCAAGTTTTTTGAATTGCAAAACAGTTTATACTTTAAAATAATAATAGTGTAAGTTTCTAAGCTTATATTTTCCTCGTTTTAAATTCCACTCAGAATAATGGAATAAAAAAAAATAAATATACGAAATTTCCATAGTGTCGAGAGCAGCTCGAAGCCATTAAATTAAGAATTTTAAGCAGGTGTCGGAAGAAAACAATGTGCATAAAGTATACACTTCATCTTTTGTAATGCTTTACTTCCTCGCCTTTGCTTTCCATACATAAATATAATGGAGGAATGAGGAATATCTCCTTAAGTATCAACTATATACATTTTCAAATGATTTATTCCCTCCTGTGTGCGTCTGACGTGATGGCAGGCGGAAAGAAAGCTTCTTTTCTTCTCATGTTTCATTGAACTACATGAAAATTCTTCTTCCTTTCATTGCATTTAGATATTGTTTTATGGGGAAATTTGTTGTATTTTATTTTTTGATTTTCACGACAACATCTATTGATTTAGAAGCATAAGCGCAGAGAAGAAAATAATAAAACATGATGGAGATATAAGTGGGGAGTATGTGCATGAGAGGATATAAAATAATAATAATTTTCCTTGCTTCAAGAAGGGGAAGAGATTAAATAAGAATTAAAGGGACCACAACTTTTTTATGTGCTTTCTTAATTCCTTTTAGGAAAAGGAAAATGGGATGGAGATGAGGGTAGGGGAAGGAGAAAGGAAAGTTTTAATGCGTAATATAAATCAAATTCAATAACAACATCCAGAAAGAAAGTCTTGGAACAATCTTTGATTTCATTTTGGGAACAGAAAACTAATAAAATATTTCCCGGTCGATGACAAGACGAAAAAGCAAAGCAAAAGAAAAGTTTTCCATTCTTTATTATCATGAGAATGAACATTCATTTGTGTTATCAGGAAATTCGATTATTAAGTTACAATTTTCCCCTCTTAGACGCTGTTATCTCAACTCAAGTATCGTTAAAACAAATGACAACATAAAACGCTTTCTTTCTCTCTTTTCCTCTTTAAGTAAGTATGACGATAATCTGGTTTTTACCCCACATGTTTCTTATGTCTTTGCTGGCTGCTTTCATTCTCAAGGTTTTTACGTCGTCACTGATCTGACTCATAGTTCAACTACAACATGTATTAATGTGAGCAAATATTTGCTTCAAATTCTCCTCGATATCTGATCGAGTATAAATAAATAAAAATCAAGAGCGTCGGACAGAATGAATGCACGACTCGTTGTAACTGGAAAAAAGAGAAGAAAGAAACAAAGTTTGTATATTTAAGGCTTTAATTCCGCACAAATGTCTGGACTAATATTTGTGGATAAACAACAAATCATAGAAATAAGAGGAACATGAACGAAATGCGTTATTTGTTTTGTGGCGTGATAAGTCGTATCGGATAGAATGAAAATAGAATCGTGAAATGGGCTCTGATGAAAGTTGTGTGGGATGTTAGGAAATTCTGTCACAATGATCAATCCGAAAGGGTATGAAAGTGTCGTAGTCTGTATGTTTACGCATTTGATTACCCCTTCAATGTTGATTTTAGACACGACAAAAATGATATAAAAATATTCTCACGAGATCTTTGTCGAGCTCAACCCATCAAAAATTAATTGCCTTGTTTATTTTTATTCTCTAGCAGCTTTACTAAATAAATTGCTTCCTTTTTTATTTAATCAACAGAGCATCCTCGTAACAAAACAGAAAAGAACGATCCCGGCGACGGAGTGGAGGCATACACACTATCATTGGCAAAAGACGAGACATCAATATTCGCAAAAAATATCTACAATTTTATCGCATGCACACGAGAATCACGAGAGAAAATTCCACACAAAGTGATGAGAAACATCCGTCAATTCATGAATGGAATGAAAAATTATCTCGTTAAACATGGCGAAGCTGATTTCGCGATTGAAGTTGACAAAGCACGAGCAGCATTAAAACCCGATGAGTTTTTAAATCTTGATCAAATTCTTGAAGGAGTTATGCATCAATTGGTCGTCCTTCCATTGAAAGAACATTTGAATGAATTATTTGTGGAATATTACGCATCGCGAGGTGACATCGAGTTGATTATCAACAACATGAAATATGGGGAGAGCAAAGATCCCGAAGCATTCGGTGTTAAAGTAAGTACAACAGATGGTGTTGGTTGACTATTTGACATTTCAAACATTCTTAACTAATACTAAAAAATGTTCAACGTTTTAACATCATCTGGTCATCTTTCAAAACTAAATGAATAAGTAGAAAAGCTAGCAACATAAATAGGGGAGAATCAGAAAAGATATGAAGCATTGATGACACAATAGACAACACAAATCAGACACATGGTATTGACAGCCAGTTTGTTAATCCCCCCAACTAAGTTTTGCACAATGCGTGTGTCTATGTACAAAATAGTATTCGACGCAGACATGGTACATGCTTAAATGAAATAAATCTCAGATTACTGCGTGCAATATTTACTGGCAGAGTTTGGGGATGTGTGGGGGGTTGTAAGGGCGTCACTGGCTGCTTTGTGAATAGAATTTCTAAAAAAGGGAGACGGAAATGAGCGACACTAAATCATTTTTCACATTATAGAAAATTTTTCATCTTCCGGCAGCATTTTTTCCGCTTGATTCTCTTTGAAAGCGAGAGATAAATCTGGAATAATTTAAAACAATTTCAAAATATTCTCCTGTTGGTGTTCCCACTCCATCAAAATCATCGATCGATGATATTTTGCAACTGACTTCTTGTTAAGAGGGCTGAAAATGTGATGGAATGAAAAACGAACAATTTTCATTAAGAGCTATTATGTGTTTCTCGTTTGCTTTGCTTTCATAGTAAATAGTCGAACGTGTCACCAAAATTTCTCTCTCTAGGCGCACGTCCATTGACGTGAAATGTTGTTATGTCCTTGTTGTCGTTTAGTTTATGAGTTTGAGTAATTATTTTTAAACGTTCTTTTTTCTGCTTTTTCTTTCATTTCATTTCACGATGTGAACACAGAAGGGACTTAAAACGCCATCGCCTCAAGCTCTTGCTCGCATATCAATGTTGTTTGCAAAACTTCAAGAGGCTGAATTGCCGTTTGATAAATTAGATTTTCTTCTCACCGCCATGACAACAATCCTCGATAGCACGAGCGATCCAGATTCTGACACTAATGATGCACGACACTTTGGATGTGACGATTTCTTGCCTTTACTTGCCTACGTCCTTTGCAAGTGTGGTTTCCACTTTGCGGAAATCGAAGCTGAGTATATTTGGGGTTTGATGATGCCGACGATCATGAACGGACAAGCTGGATACTACACAACTGCTTTGTGTAGTGCGGCTGTCAGTTTAAAGGAATTCAAGCAGCAATTCGATAATAAGGAAGGATCCTTGCCTGTAAGCAAAAAAACAAATAGAAAGCCTCGCTTTGATAGTTCGGATTCTGGTGTTGTTGATGGAACTGAATAATTTTCTCTCTTTTATTATTTAACTTTTTATGTGCTCATTTATCTTTTCTTTACTAAAAATTCTTTTTCTTTTAATATTTGGGAATAATCTCAAACTTATGTAACATGAAAGTTCTTTTTTTATTTAATAATCAATAAAGTTTATTATACCAAAAATATTCATTTGAGAAATTAAAGCAACGAATTGTTGCGACATGCCTTTAGGATGATCTCTTTGAGAAGTTGAATGTCTGAATGCTTCACAGATATTCAAGCTTTTAATATAATCTTCAAATCATTAGACAATTCCGACGTTCAACCATCTCCGCCCACACTTTTTCTCTTATTTAATCATTTAAATAATTCTTGTCTTTCCATTAAAATTAATTTAACATCAATAAAGTTTTCAAGTATTCTACAAGCATTTCTTTAAGCTTATTTTCATTTTGCATGCTTAAGCTTCCGAGCAGTTTCAACATTTTCCAAATAATTTTCAATTCGTAATGTAATTTAGCTTCATTCATTCGTTTGAAGAATCTCAAGAATTTTTTTTCTTATTTATTGCAATAAAAAGAAAATTTATCATAAAATTGTCATTTTCATTTGGAAAATGTTGAAAAAATTCTTTTTGATTTCTATGAAATAAATAAATAAATAAGAAACAATTTCGTGGACGATTGAAAGAATAAAATTGATTTTTATTCAACAGCCAAATAATTCAATTGAATGTTCGGTGCTCCGGATCATCATACCAAATGAGTACAATGGATCCATTCAAACGAAAACGATTCCCGTTCGTCCACACACGACCACAAGAGACGTTTGTCGAGTTATTGCACACAAGAGTCAAATAACCAATCCAATGGACTACGGCCTCTTCAAACTTACCGATGGAGAAGGTAAATATTTAATTAAAAAAAATATAAAATTTCACCTCTCACTGCGGGAGCGAGAAAACGAAGTTAGATGTGAAAGGTGGAAGTCTCCTTCTAATCATTTATTTATTCATTCCGGATCGTGTTCTAATTTTTCTTCCCTATTTCCTTCCAATCTTTTATCAATTTAGAAACTCTATTGATGGATAACGACTGCCCACAGGATATTCGATTAGCATCAGCTGGTAAACATTGTACCCTCGTCTTCCGTCGATTCGACTCCAAAATTGCGTGGCCAAAGCAGTAATTAAAAATGCATTAAATGCTCAGCCGTCGAGAGCAATTTGTTCGATTAAATAAACATACGAAATAAGAAACAAAATTAAATCTTAAGCAAAAAAAGAAGAAATTCGCCGATAAAAGAAGAAAAGGAAAAAATTACCACAAAATTACAAATTGCTTTGTAAGAAACCACAGCGAACCATCGTTTATCCATAAAAGAATCTTTAGAAGTTTTTTCTGCCTTTCTGGAATCTCCTTTGGGATTACTTCTCGTTAAAACAACATCATTTAACCAAACACAAACACACATGATGGGAAAGATTCGAATACCCGGTGGAATGTTTCTTTTTTCCTTTTCCTTTCTCTCGATCCCCTTTCGAATCTTTATTAGATCCACTGGAGGCGAATACATTAGATCCTTGGAGCATATATGGGAACTCGCATCAAACGCTGCCAATTTAACAAAGCTATGAAAACAGTATTTTCATTCAATATCTTTACGCAACTCCCCGGGAAATTCTCTTATTTAGAAGTGAAAAAGTAGAAAAAAGAAATGAAATGAAGAAAGAAAAAATGACGAGAATGAGATGAAAAAGAAATGTATTTTGTAACGTAAACTTTTTATGGATCTAAAGACGAAAAAAGAGAAATGTTTAAAGATAAGAATGTGAAGAAGAGAAGGATGGAAAATCCCTGGATTTTTATTACGGTATATTTATTAAATATTTATATAAATTATACAAGGACGATTTACACATACATCTCTTCAAATATATCCACCCTCGTTGCGAGGATTTCTGACGACATTAAGACATCAAATACCGTGCATACTTTAGCATACTTTACTTACATATATCTGAATAGATTTATTCTTTGAATGACATTTGCATAACCAAACATCCTTTTATACTAAATAATAAAGATTAAGGATAATTTCTTTTAAATATTACTAAATATCTATTCTGGAAAGGCAATAGTTGGTAAATCATATAATTAATTAGTCTTGTAATCGATTTTAAATCTAGAAGTTGGTTTTTTGATACATGATTTTACAACTTAAAATGATAAGCGAGGAACATGATGATGATCAATTGCAATTATTTTAGTTTACGCTGTGATTAACCCGTAGAAAATAGATGAAGTTTGATTATCTAATATATTTGTTTTTGTGTTAATTTAAGATCATTTCATAACATTTGACATCAACATTTTTATCGAACCTAATTGATTTAAATTGATAAAATTTCATAAAGTCAAATTACTGGTCTTGGAAATAAATTTTATATCATCTTGTAAATGATTACAATTGAAGGTTGTTCAACTCTCAAACGTAAAATTCAAAAATCAAAGTTGCCAAAAACAGAAGTCAAATTATTTTTCAGGGATGTTAAAGCAGAATCGTGCTTGCCTATAAAAGAATTAAAATTTCATTTAACATCTCTGTAGGTTTTCAGCTTTCACTTGTAATCAACACACCCCATCTTTAATAATAAGAATAATGATCATTGACAATTTAAAGAGACGACTTTCATTACAATTGACCAGAAGAATAATTTAAAGTTATTAACCAAAAGATGATAATTGAATTCTTTAAATTAATTGATAGCTATTGTTGTGAGTGAATTAAATGGCAATGAGATTTTATTGATCGAACCGAATGCATAGAAATACATAAAAATATTATCGAGGGGGACAAAAATCCCATTGAACGATGACGCAGAATGCCAATATTAAATACCGCGCATTCCCCTAAAATACTTCATAAAAATTAATTGAATTTACAACAAGAGATGTGAAGCTGGTGGGCTTCGCTGTTAAGCTTCTTTTATGAATGATTAATACACGGAAATTAAATTAAGAATTTGTATTCAGAACGAAACGTTCCGTAATCCTTTCATTTCCATAGCACTCCAAATAATATTTAAAGATGTTTTGCGAATGGAAATAATTCTTTCTCTGGCCGCCGAATTAAGTTTTCATTTCAAAGAAGAAACGTTAACAGAATTTTTAAAATCCTCATTTAGGATGGTGAAGAATCATTTTCATAATCAGCCTCTCGGAGTTAAACTGCCTGAGTCAATTCATTTCCCATAGCGGAAAAGGGAGAAAAGTTTTTCTTACCCGACACTGAGAAATATTGCTCGATGCTCCCCAACATCTTAGACATTCTCCCCCTTCTCAACATTGAATAGAAAGCAACCAATTTTCAAGTGAACAATTTAAGAATCAGTATCAACACAAAAGTATTTTTCTTCTCGCCTTCATTCGACTGAGAAACAGTCGTAAAAAAATTTAATTTTAAGAATTCTTTTCTGTTGTAAAAATTTCAAACAACAATGAGCACTCCGAGCATCATTCACGAATAAAATGTCTTCGTACAATTGTTCCTTAAAACTTTTTTTTTCTTCTACAAAGGATGAAAAAACACATTTTCCTCTGCAACAAATTTTCTCCATTCAAGGAAAGAAGAGAGAAGCAGTTAAAAATCCACAGGAATTCGTAAAAGAAATTTCATTCATTCATTCTTTCCTTTTTTGTGTTGAAGTTTGTTCTGCATGCTTAGCAAAAGTTTGAAAACGACAGAAGCTTCTCTGCATCTTATTTTATTCAAGGAACTTTACATTTGGATATGTTGCAGTGGAGATGGCGAGCAAAAGTGTCGTTTGAGGTAGAAAACAGAAACCTTAACTTATAAATACTTAATTCCTCTTAAAGGAATAGAAAGAAAGTTCTTCTAACTTTCTAGTCACCCAGTGTGGCATTCGTCGTCATTGTTTAGTTTGGAATGTGAGAACTTTTATGTTCATGTATGGATATTGTAAGGAAAACTAATTTCTCCAAAACATTTTTATGTGAAAGCAATTTTCATCGTCTTTCCCCATCCATCTCCCAGTTGTCGTCGTCCCCGCCCCCTCATTCAATCTCATCTCACTTAATGTTGCTTCAAATGCTGACAAAACAGCAGCCAAAAAAAAGTTTCAATTTATTCTACGATGAAATCAATTTGCTCATTAATGACATTTTTACACTTCTTCTCTTGAGGAAAAATAAAATTTTCTTTTCCTTCCTTTGATGATTTTCCGAGAAAGAAAATAAATCTTAATGTTGTACTTGTATAATCGATTGATTGATTAATTTATTCGTCATTTTTTATTGTAATTTTAAAGAAAGAAAAAGAATAAAATTCTTTAATTACTTAATAAAAAACGAACATTTTGTTTCACTTAAAAAACATTTTGCAACATGAATTTATTCAATTGGCCGCAAATCATCGCTCTACTTAGTGCTTAGTGAGACGTGAACGCATTTTGCACATTTCAGCTTTCTCAACATTTATTATTCCAATTCTTGGGGTTGTTGTTGCTGTCGTGAATGTTATGAACATGGATTTAGACATTCAAGCGAGGGGTGCAAGGTTGGTTTATGAAAGATTTATGCTGTTCCTGGATTTTCCCAGCCAAATGCAAGGAATTGTTTCGTGGTTTGGTTAAACATTGTTCATACATGTTTACCTCATTCATCGCACCTTCACGTATAATAAATGACGCGAAATCATGCAGTGAATGGAACAAAAGAAGCTTGACAGTTAACAAGTGTAATTAATAATTAAATATTTCATTGTAAGCGACGATAAATTATAAACGGTTATGTTGCGTAACAAAACATTTAATGGGGGATCCTTGAGGTTAAATATGGAATGTTTATAACTTAATGGGCATGGGGGGATTACTGATATTGCTTTATGCTGAGTGTTAATGTAATTTTGACCATTTCCACTCGATCTAAATGGTGAGACAGAAGCTCGTGTGAAAAGCAATTGAAAAAGTTTTCCATCCACAAAACCACAAATAAACCATAAATTATCTTCCAGCTTCAGTTTCTTTTCATCCCCACAACGACTACTGCCGAAACGCTAAGAGAGCTAGCAAAGAAAGTAATAATAATTTAAATTATCAACGCCATTATTCGAAACATAAATCAAAACGACACAAAAATAATCATAAAAAGTGAAAGTTCTTCTTTTCCTTATTTTTTTTTTCATTCTTATATCCTCGTCAGAAAGGATCGCAAGCAAACCAAAACAAGCGAAATACATTCGAGTAATAAATGAAAATGAAATGATAACAAGAAAAAATTGTCATAGTTTTTTATGGTAAAATCATTTCGACACTTGGTTTTATGCAACACAAAAATTCTTTCATGTACATAAACGAAATGCTCATCATGTTATGAGATCACAAATATTACAGATAAAGAAATGAAATTGAAGCAATCATGTTTTTGTTTATATTTTTCTGTTTTGTTTTAAAAGGGGAATAAATGAAAATTATGGGATGGATTTATAAGCGATGTAATCTTTTCCTTTTTGATAAATTTAATCTTCTTTAAATTTAAACAGAAGAAAGAAAACTTTTCCATTAAATCCAATCTTGAATTTTTGTCAATAATTATGAGATGTCATTGAACATTGAACGTTATGGAATGATAATCATAGAAGAATAAATAAATACGAACATGAATGAAGAAGAAAAGTCAGTAAAAATCCACAAGAATTGTCAATTGTGTTTATTAAGATTCTTAAACCGCAAATATTGTGACACCAAAAATGTCGCCCAAAGCATAAACATAAATATTCACCATCATATTTTTATGAAAACTTATTCATCATGATGATGGAGACGATATTGATGTTGAAGAAATCAAGGAAGAATCGTAAAATTGTTTGGGGTTTGCATTGTGATATAAATAGATGTTAAAGTAAATAATATTTCCTTTCCTTTCACTTTCTATCCCCAACCATAAAACGACTAAATTTATACAAATGCTTTCCATATTTTATGCTGCTTTTTTTTACTTTTTTCGATTCGTATTTTTTTGTTCTTCATTCTTTTGGCAACCAGCATTTTATTATGGCATATCATGTCAAGACGAAAAGCTTGTTTTATTCACTGCCTCGGTTTTTACTTCGCCGTGCTTCGAAAAACATGTTGTAAGCTTTGAACGGAAAATTCTACTGAAAAAAAAGAAAGAAATTATCTACGAGTCAGTAGTTATTGAAGCTTGCACCGTAAAGGTTTGGTTTAATAAAGTTTTTATCGTTCTGTGGTTTATTCTGCAAGATTTTTATTATAATTATTAAAGAAGGAAGAATAAGTTCTGAAAGTGCTGTAAAAATGTGTGCAGATAATTTATTTTATGTCAGTCGTGCAAACATCTTCTCAATTTACCCAAAGATACTTCAGAAAATGGTTATTATCGATGATATGGCTTATAACCCTGAGAAGATGTCAATTGCGCTTCCGAGTGACTTCGAGTGGCAACTGAAGTGTTACTTTCGGTTGTTAGAACAACAGAAGAAGCTCAACGCTCTTGACAATAAAGTGTAATGATAATTATACTCTGCCTTGCTATTCATTTAACATCCTCAAATGCTTCTCATTAATAGCGATAAAGAATTATCACAAATTGAGCCACTTCCACCATTACCTGACTTTCCCAAAGACGCTGAAAGAAAACCTTCAATCACAGATTTAGTTCAAACAACATATTCGCCAATCTCACCAAATGCCGATCGAAATATTATCAAACAATTGGGAGATTGTGATGAAGAATTTCGACTTAGTGTCTCGCATGAAAACAACAACGTCTTATGGGATCTTCAAGAGTTTGCGAAAGCTGGAAAACTTCTCAAAACACCACCCATGGAAGTTGAATTTTATGATGAATATGAAATGAGAAAAGTTTACTCTCTCGTATACGACGTTTTTCGATGTAAGTGCTTAGATGCTTATAACTTATAACAACCAACCACCATAACACTAATCGTCATCATGTTGAGATGCTTTTAGCCAAATTGATTTGACAAACATTTCAACCATGATTTAGTTCGGTGTATGTCGTGAAAAATCGACTAAAGACAAACATGATATTGGTTTCAGTGAGGGTGACAAGGAAGTTTGACATTTCTTGCGTAAATTCGCAATTTCATTCCAGAATGAAGGAAATGAAGAATAATATGATGAAACTTTTCATAATTTACGATTCGTTGCGGACGTTTTTCATTCCATCTTCAAGCATTTGAAAGCAACAATAGAAAAAGTCGTTTTGCTTTAATATGACAATAATCAATAAACGTATTTTCCTTTACCTTCCATACTTTTGACAATAATAACAACAAATCTATTTCCTTTTACTACACCACAACCATCTTTACTTTGAACTCGTTGGGAAAAAGCAAAAAATGGAAAATCAATCAATGGAAATGTAATAAAAATTGATGACATTCCTTAAGAGAATAACAAATTGAGTACAAGCAAAAAGCGTGGCAGTTGAGCTTATGTAGGCTTACATTCCACCCACGCGCAACATATCTAAGTATGGGTTTATTGTGTAATGTAGAATGACGGGAATAATATTTTCTCTGTTTCAATTGTAACCTAATTTCCGTTTACTTATAACGCAATCTCTGTTGCATGACCCTTTAAGTTTTAAGCTCAGAAAAGGATGAAAAATATTGGCTCGTAATTGAAAAAAATATAAATTGACAAGCAATTTGCATAAAGCCGATTTATGGAAATAAAATTTATCATAAACCCGTCATTGTCGAGTAATCTAGGGGAGAAGCTTTCAACCTTCCAAAAAAGGGGAGAAATGAAAGCACATTAAGGGTTTCAATAATTTGTTGCGCTTGCCTCGAAGAAGTTTTATTGGAAGGAAATTAAATTTTATTGGATCCTGAAATTTTATTATTTTGCTTTTCTTATTTATTCACCAGAATGTCATCCTTTGAAGTTAATCAAATTTGTAACATCATAAAATTTCGGTTTGAAGCTTTGAAAATTTTATAAATTTAAAGGAATTTTTCCGAATTGAAGTCTCATGGGATGAAATTTGATACGAAAATTGTTAAAGTTAAAATTTTTCTGCTAGAGGTTGGAGGGGAAGTAAATATAAATTTATCAAAGGAAATAATAAAAGCACTTAATCATGTTAAGTAATATCTCAATTGAAATTCAATTCACGTGGTTCAAAAGCGATATCATAACGTGAGTGAATACATCGCTTCCCATCGTTTGAAATGAGTGACACAGATACGTTTCTCGTTTTTCTATTCACTTAAATAATATTTCATATGTTCAATGTTTACCTTAGTAAGGTAAAATTGCAGCACACACATGAGGCAACATGTGAATGGAAGCAAAATAAAAATAATCGTTTCAATATCGATAAAATGTTTGGAAAAATATTTTTCTTCGTTTTGCAGAAGCAATTTTAGCGATTGGTATTTGTAAGAATGAAACAATCACTGGCAAAGTAGGTAGAAAATATAAGTTTGCAATTCATTTTACGTGCTTCGTGTTTATATTAAACTCAAAGAAATTTCTATAAAAGGCACGTTGTTAGTATTTCTGTTTTAAGCGTCAAGTATGCGAAAAAGCTTTAAGGAAATGTTATCATGTAAAACTTTTACTTTAATATCTAATTAAGAGACTTCATGTCATGTCATGTCATCTGATAATCACGTTTATAATCGCTCAAAGTATTTAGCAAAGGAGAAAAGGAAGAAGAAAGAAAATTATTATTAAGAAGTAAACTTTTCATGTCGTGTTTTCAAGTGGGGAGAAAACTTTGTTTTCAAGTTTGTTTTCTTTTTTATATTTTTTATGTTTCCTTATCTACTCACTTTTCCTTTTCTGCAACACAAGTGTTCGTGAAAGAAAACTTTTTCAAAACTCATTTCCCTTTGTGGTTGGAGGTAAAGCCGTCAACTCCTTTCACTCGTCATTATGAAATATAAGGCAAAGGTTAAACGTCTATTTAAGTTGTTGAGAGAAATTGTGAATGAAGTTGTGAAGGCTTCGTCAGAGTTGTTAAAGTTTTAGTTAACAAAAATAAGAAAAAGTTTAATTAAGAAAGTTCGTGACGACATGAAAAGCTCTTCTCAAATTATTAACTTTTAATACTTTAACATCTCTGACGACGAAGTAATTTCGTGTATGGAAAATTTGATATAAAAGTCAATGAATCAACAACCGAGAATTCCTTTCATATAAAAATCTAAATATAAAACAGTGAGAATATGCCATGGCATAATAAAGAAAGCTTAAATACTACAATGATTAGCGTGTCGAGCGACTATTCCCTTCGGAAAATTTATATCGCGGTTAAAGACACATTCAACTTTAATACCTAACACGTTGTTCTTCTTAACTCAAACGAGAATCAGTGGAATGGCATGGAATAGCATGAATAAACACGACACGCGTGAAAAGGGTTGAATGGCCAATAAAACTTTTCCCATCACTTTATTCGTCGCGTTCGCATTGAAATGTTTAGGGGAGTTAAAGCTTAAACATTATGCTAATTTTTTAATATGTAAATTAATTAATTCAATCCCTTTTTTTCACCTCCCTCTGCTCTCCGATATTCCAGTTAAATTAGTGCTGAATAAAACACTTGAAACGATTGAATTCTTCGCAATATTCCCCGAGGTAATTTTTCATGATACGAGATTTATTTACTGCGTGTTATTTATTTGAATCTTTACTATTTGATATCATTTGATGGAAAAAAGGGTTGAATGTTTATGCTAATTAAGGTTTTCTTGCTTTCCTTCCTTCTATCTTTCTTTTGGCAGTTAAAGGATGATCTCGCAAGAGTGTGGCTGCTTCTCTATGATCTCTACTTACGTACGTTTGCTAGACGAAAGCCGGAATTGTTGCCGCTAAAAGACAAGCTCTTCAAGGAATCGGAAATGTTATGTAAGTTTAGAAACGAATGAGACTCCATCAGGGAAATTAACAAACACGAAATTTAAATAATTTTTCACTTCATGTAGTCCCGCAGGCAGGGGTTTTTTGGTTTATATTCGTGTCGATGTTGGGATGGAATGAAGAATCGTTACAGAACTCTTTTTCTAGTTTTAATTTAGAATTTTGTAACGAAACCAACAACATTTTTTTCATCATCTCATTTTGATGTTCACGTTGGAAAACTCTTCCATTTCCTTCTTCTGTTTCTGTATTTAGATATCGAAACGTGTTTAGACAAAATGAAGACAAAACTCGCAGCTTCAATTACGAAAATTAGAATCGAGAAACAAGCACTGAATCTACAATATCTTCTGCCCATTCATTTACGTGATGAGAAGGTTGCGCGAGCCGTCACGAATCCGATTATTTCGGGTTGGATCAATAAATTTAAGTTCATGTAAGTGTCTTTACGTTTCATTTAATTAACGTTGACTGAAATGACTTAATCAGAGACAACTCGTGACTATTTAATAAGCAAGATACCGAAGGGATTAAAGAATGAAACTTTTTCCTTATTTTCTTTGATTTTCATGAAAGGAACAAGAAGTTGCTATCGCAGAAGTTTTCAAATATGGGATTTCGAGAGCTTGAAGGTGCCACAAAAGCTCACCCAAAGTCATTTCGTTTTGATAAAGTTTGTCCAAACTTCTTCTTTCTTTGGTATCCACGTGAAAAGAGTGAATTCTCTCAAGACAGTCTCGTTAAAGACCGCGATGTGATACTTCAGAACAAAGCATTCTCGATAGGACCAGCAATTTTTGCTAAACTTCTAAACTATTACGAAATTGCCGGCGATATTTTACAAACTCACATCTTGTCACCAAGATCAACAGCATATTTGGCATCACTGCTCATTCGAAGTCGGTTTGTTGGAAAGTTTCGTGTGTTTGGTGCCGGAAGAAACTTCAAAGAATATCAAGCATACTTCGAGAAAGTTGGAGCAACAAATATTAAACTTTATGAGGAAAAGTTTCTTGGATTTCCACGTCACATTCTCGAGAAAACTGTTGCAATTTATTGTACACCGCCTTCGAGCTTTAGCAGTATTTCCGATCCCATTGAGTTGATTTGTAGTCGTGGTGGAGATCTTAAGGTGAATATTTATTTAGTTTCCTTTTTTGTATCCTTAAATAATTCATTGACATCTCAGATGCTTCAATTTCTAAGTGAGTCAGAGATGAACGACGACGGTCAGACACGTGCAGCTAAAATTCTCGAGGAACAGAGAGCATCCTTGAAAAGTGCCATGTCAAAGCCACAAATACAATTCATTCTGTACGAAACACATTCAATTGTCGAAGCTGAAAATGGTGACATGGTAAGACATGCAATGGAATATGTCAATAAAAAAGCACATGACAAGCATATTTTGAAAGCAAAGAAAGAGCAGGAAAGACTTGAGCAGCTTGAGAAGGAAAAGGAGAATATGCCAGGAATTCCAACAGCGCACCGCGAGAGGGAACCAAAGAAGGAAAAAGTCAAGAAGGAAAAATCTTCCGAGCAATCAACGTCTGTAAAAATAAATTTAAACAAACTGAAAGGCTCAATAAAATCTGCCAGCAGCACGGAAAGCTTAGAGGAAGAAGAAGTGAAGCCGAAGAATCAACCGCTCGAAGTCAGAATTCCACTTACAGACATCTTTGAAATTGCACCGATTCCCGACTTCTGTATGAACAAAGACAACTGCGTCATTAGACGAAGCGAGGGATGCTTTTTATCGTTGTTGAAGCGAAAGGAAATTGTGAGAATGGATTCAAAATATCTTATTCAAATAGCGGAACTTCGTGGTATCTTTGGTGATAAAGACAAACCTAAGAAAACAAAAAGTAAAGCTCAATTGCGTGCTGAGAAGAAACAAGAAGCAGCAATGAAGAAAGAACGTGATGCCCTCGAGAGACGAAAGATTGAGAAGTTTAACCCAAGCAATATTGACAAGATAGTTGAACGATTGATGAAGCCAACTCAAGCGACAATAATTCGCATTACACGAGATGAGATATGGAGAAGGAAATATCATATAATGACACTCAGATACAATCAACTTTTTCCACCACGTTGTGCACGATGCGATTACTACTCTCAGAACTATTATTTTCTTTCTGATAAATTTGTAGCCATTAAGCAGTTTGACGATACAATTTCGTTGAGATTCGAAGAAGAATCGTCTTTTCATCAATCTATTACGAGGCGAAGAGCTGAAAAATGGTGGAGTGAGTTGCTAAAGCATTTACGGAAGCTTCAAATGGCTGCAGCTTTATCGGGAGTTAGATTTTCGCTCGACACTTTAGATAAAAATTTAATGCCGCCTTTAAAGCTTGTGAGATTTCCACGCGGTTACGTTGCACCTCCGATTCAGAAGAAGCGTTGTGAAGGTGTGAGACAACAGTATTCATTATCGATAACCATTCTCGACATTGATCATCCAGTTCGACGAATGTAAGTTCACTCAATTAACATTGTTCGATGAAATCTTCGACAATTTATAAATCTTCTTCTTGTCTTCTCATAATTTTTATTATTTCATCATTCAGGCGTCTCAAATCTCGCAGTCAATCAGTTACACCTCGACTATTAACCTTGAAGAACTACAACAAATGTTTCTTATGTCTCAACGAATACCTGCGAATCAACAGTGGAATTCAATCGAATGAAAACATCTTTTTAAAGTGAATGAAATCTTTTTTCAGTTTTTTTTTATTTGTTAAACTTTTCATCATTTTTTTTTGTTTTCTTTAACACATTGATAATAAAAATTATATTTTATAATAGGGTAAATTTACATATACGTCTCAACAAAATAAAAAATATCAAAAATTCAATTTATGTCGTCTTCTGTTATAAATTTACTATTTATATTATTAAATGTTTCTTCTATCATTTATTTTCTTATCAAAACTCAAGAAAAATATATTTTCTTTTCATCATGTCATTCTTTAAAAATTTTCTCTTTCTTTTTTTAAGTTTTCCACTTTTAAATGTTCTTTTTAGATTTTTTTTTTTCTTTTGATAGTTTGAAGATTCATTGCTTTGACGCATCGTTGTGAGTAATCTTAATCAATGAATTTGCAATTTTGATTTCAATATCATTGATTAAATTTACTAAACGTTGACTTCATGGTCTTAATCAGTTAACCGTAAACGAACTGCATATGCATACACAAGATTTTGATTGCAAAAATTGCACATTGAGTTGCAGTTTTGCTTGTTTTTCTTTCAAATTTTCTTCATATGATTGGAATTCATTTGCTCTACATTTGTGTTTCGCTTTACGGTATAATTTAAATATTTTAAACCATTCTTCTTTTAATTCGTTTAATTATTGCATTTTCTTTTATCTTCTCTCATCTAATTATGGAACTAATATTTAATGTTTATAAATTCACGATGATTTTCATGTTTCATTTCTTTCTTTTCATATTTTTTTTGTTCTGTTTAAGTATGGTTTCCTTCTTTCATCTACATAAAGTAATAATGAATGAATTATATCAATAATAAATGTTCTTCCATCATAAAGTTTTAATAATACATTTTATGTTGCATAATGCTCGTAAATGTTTCGCTGTTGGAAGGAAAATAAGTAATAAATTATGTGTTGGCTGTTGGAAGAGAGATGTGTTGGCTGGCTGGATGGTAAGTGATTTTTTTTTCAACAACTTTAAACAATTCTTACTTCAATAAAACTAGTTTTGGGATAATTCGCAAATTACATCATGTTTCATGAATTTATTCATATTTTGATTGAATATGTGTTCACATTTTATGGATGCGTGGGAGTAAACATTGTTATAAATTACTCAAGTTTAATGATGCATCACGTAATTCATGAACAATCTCATTATAAATATTTCCTTGTTTATGGAATGTCTTGAGCGATATAATTCTATAAACTGCAATCATCTTAGAAGATCATCAAAGATCGTTTCCCAATTACCCTTTGCTCTTTCCCTTCGTAAAAAATGGCACAAATATATACGAAACATTTAAATTAAAAAAACAAAACATTCGGAAATATTTTTTTAACTTTTTTCTTATGTTAAATTTCGCTCTGGTTTTATTTTCTTACTTTAAAAAGTCGAACAACGTCTAGAAATGTGTTTTTTAATTATTTTTTCTTTTCGAAACGCAGGAATAAGATTTTTCTTACTAATCACATGATTAAGGGGTTTAAAGACCGCTGCGACAACTTTGGAATGTTAAGGTTTTTGATTAAGTTGCTAGATACAAATGGAGAGCATTTTACATATTCGCATTCGTTTTGTTTCTTCAATTAAACACACAAAGATTCTTCCCATCGGAAGTTTTCTCTTACACTTGTTCATAACGTGATTACTTTTTAGAATAGAAATTGTTTCTTTCTCGAGTATTTGGAAGAAGAAAAATTTTCTTAACTTTTTTTATTTCTAGATAGTGAAATTAAATGAAACAATTTTAAGAGGAAGAGAAAAGTAAAATTGACTTAAATTATTCAAGCAAATATGTAATGAAATAATCAATCAAATCATTTAACAATCGTATGAATTTCATTATGAGAGAAACTCCCATTCGCAAATAAAAGTCATCAAATGTGAGAAGATCAATCAATGTTGTAGTAAAACAATCCAAACGTTTCTAGATGAAATTTGCAAAATGCGATAATTCTTTATAGTCTAATAGCTCTCGTTACCGGAAATGTTAAACACCATTTATCATCGAGAAGATTTCAAATAAAAAAAGAAAGGAAACAAAAGTTGTCGCTGTTCTTAATGATTTGAATTCAAGTGAACTTTTTTTTAGATATTTTTTAAGTTTTTTTAATTCTCATTACGCTTACGTTTGTTTAATTCATTTCCGGTTAACTTCATTCCAACACCCACATATTTGACTATTTCTTTTCAACCCATTGCGGTTCTCGTTCCAGTGAATTGATTTCTGCTAACAATTGATGGTATGCCCGTTCGGTGTCATTGTTGATGATTATCATGTCGAACAAATGACCCCATCTCGCTTCCATGTCGCGAGCTGTTGCAATTATTTCTTTCAGTTCTTCCTCCTGTTGTCAAATCATGTTTTTAATATAAAATAATTAAAATAACTCATTTCTATTCTCACTTTATAAGGCTCTCCTGCTCGTATTCGTTTCTGACGAAGCTTTTCCAAGCTTGGAGGTGCAACCAACACAGTGTATGGTTTCAGATCTGACTGTCGTAGAAGCTTCAAACTTTGTGGATGTAAATTAAGAACGCAAATCTTTCCACTTGCTACAACAGCTCGTATTGCTTCCAATGATGTGCCTTGAGATTTAAGAATTGAATTTTTATTTCTTATCTTTGAATATGTAAAGGAAATTCTCACCGTAATATGCTTTCTCGTATTCTCCATGCTCAACAAATTTACGTGCTAAGATATCAGATTCGAATTGTTGTCTCGAAATGAAATGATAATCTTGTCCTGGTACTTCACCTTCTCGTCGAGGTCTTGACGTGTCTGAATACAAAGAAATTCAATTAAAGAAATGTTTTAGAGACAAAAAGGATTCTTACGTGGAATGGCAGCAGCAAATCGATCCGAGTCTGCCATTAAACGTTGTCGTAACTCATGACGACCGATGTTAGGCGGTCCAATAAGAACAATCGGTCGTTTATGTGAAGCTCGAGGATAGTAAAGCGTCACTTCCTCGTATGTTAAAATTTCTGGTTCAGGTTCTTCGGCTGTTGTTGTAGCATAAAGTGGATAGCCATGCTCGTTATTTGCCTTCTTTCGTTTTCTTCGTCCTTTACGAGCACAAAGTAACGTGGAAGTTGCACTTTTAGTCTCTCGATTCTTAGCACGACTTCCAATTTCACCAGCAATTGCAAGTTTCATCGATTCACGCTGATGTTGGAAAGATTGACTCGGAATCAATCCAGCAAGTGTTTGATCTTCTTCTCCTTCACGATAAGCTTGCCACCAATTTGGATCCTCGCGTGAGATGACATGTAAGACGTCACCTTTCTGAAAACTTATTCCCAACTCACGACATGGAATGTACAAGTCATCTTCGGGATCATAATCAAAATGTGCCCGAACATGAAGCACTGGCGGATCGCGACCACCACCCATCGACGGTACACGATTAGCAGGCACAACCAAAAACGTTAATGTACCCGTCATTCCGCTTAATATTGAACAAACATCATTCACAGATTTACCACGCATTTCTATTCCATTGACTTCAAGAATTTCATCGCCTTCATGTAACAATCCTGACTTTTCAGCTGCACCGCCACGAACAACACGTCCTATCACAACGGCTTCACCCTCATTACGAATTGTTGCACCTAAAGGCTCTGATGACTTTTCAATTTGAATTATTCTAATGTGATCTTGACTGCCATCGCGTAAAACACCGAAAGGAGCAGCAGTTATAGGTTCAGGTTTCTACAAAAAGTAAACATAAATTAAGAATTTTATTTACTTTCTTTTATTTTCTCACCTTTTTAATATCCTCGTTTGAACTGCTGTAACCTTTACTTTCTGGTTGCATACTATTGTTAGAAATTGTTTGATGAAGAGGAATTTTAGCTGGTATTGTATTCATGTTAGTTTGCGAGACACTGACACGATCTGTCAATGAAGCGATACTGTCATGAGCTTGAAGTAATCCTTCCATTTCATAAGATGTCAAAAGGTCGCAGAGTTCCACGGCAAGAGCGGAATTTGATTCAGATAATGCTTCAACGCACTGAAACAAATTTCAAATGGAATTTAAGATTTTTTTGAATTAATTAATTAATTGACAACTTACATCTTTCGTTAACTTTTGAGCATTATAAGAAATGGGGTTATGAACTCTTGGGAAACGTCTTTGAAGAAGTTGAACTCTTGTGTCCAATGCTTTTGCGACGACAGATTTGAGTAGTAGATTTTGAGCAATGTTAAGACGACTGGCGAGAGCGTGCATTCCATGTTTTTTGAAGTTTGTTTGAAGTCTTTGCATTGTAGCTACCATTTCATCATAATCTAAAAGATAAAAGTTGAATTAATTTAAAATATCATCAAATTTAAATGTTAATTTTACAAAACATGCGTAAGTTACGCATATAAAAACAAAACTTCACGTAACTCACCAATTAAATTCAATTTGTTAACATCGTCATCATCTTCAACAAGATAAGCATCATTGTCAAATCCGATCGGTGGCGCAATATGATCGGCTTTAAGTGCTTGTAGTTTGTTAGATCCACGAACACTATTGCGTAGAAATTCATTTGTAGCTGCGATTCTTTCTTCTTTCTCACGTCGTAACCGCAACTGATCTTGATACTTTTTAATGCTATCCATTTGATCCAATGTTGGCTCGAGAATTTGTCCAATTTTTCCCGTTTGTTTGCTGGGAAGTTGTGGTGTGACTCGATCATTATTATCGATACGTGGTGGTGGTACAGGACGCATATCATTGAGTATTGGTTTTGCTGTTGATGTTTGATTATTTAGCGTTCTCGGTGGTGGATAGCGTGGTTGAGTTTTATTATGTGCAATGAATGACTCTGGCACATCAACAGCCATCTCACGATGCTGTCCGTTTTCCATTGAATGCATGTCGGCGTGATTAATGAAATTACCGCTAGATATTTGCTTCAATGAATCATCACCCAACACAAGAATGCTGGATCGTGATGGTCTTCGGACTCTACGAATAAGTAAATTTCGAGGTGTTAACAAACAGAAAAAGAAAAAAAACTTGTTAATTGCTATTAAATTTATTTATGTACCTGTTATCGGCTTTCAAACTAAGATCTCCAAGAAGAACTTCAGTGCCACCTCTCGATATGGTATTACCGTCGAAACTATCTCCTTGAGCTGTATCAGACTCTAAAGTAAACTGTAGAAGATGATAAAAGATTTCACATTTTTTATTTTCGCATTTCTATGCTTCATTTTCATTGAATAGTAAAAAGTTTTCTTTTTTCTATCTTTTCGCACATTAATCTCGATGTAATGGTGACTAGTATGAATATTTAAAATGATATTTAATGATTGTTAACTGTGAAAATTAAAATGTTATCAACGTTAGTCTAACGTTTGAACGTATAGTTGTTAAGTGTTACGTAGTAACATGATAAGTTTTACTAACAAATTTGGACGTTACGTTTGTCACACGCAATGCGTTAACTTAACGTAGATATGATTAATGCAGCAACATGAAATGATATTTAGCATTTATTTACATTATAAAAAGCAATTTCAGAATTTTTAGTTTCATGAATTTTACAGTCGCCGTCCCTGACTTTAAGCATTCAATGATATTCAAATATTATTTTTTTCATATGAATACGGGGGCGTAAATAATGAGAGAAATAATTATTCACAAAAAAATAAGAAAAAATGTCAAGATAAGAAATGTTTGCATATCTATTTATATACCTCATTAGTGCGATTATTTGAATAGTAACTAGTGCAACCGTCGATCGGATCAAAGTCTAAATTATTTGGCAACTGGTTACTGCTGGCATTGTTGAGCACATTTATGTTATTGTGAAAGTTAATGCTATTGTTATTATTCACTACGTTACTAGCACTATTTTTGATTAAATCACTACTAGGATCATATAATGGTATTGCTGTTAGTGTTCCTTGGGCTGTCGATGGGCCCGCCACCAGTTTGCTGCTTTGCTGAAGCTGATGCAGTTGTGTCGAGGAGGGATTTGATGTTGAAGCAATGTAATTAATGTTATTCTGAACCGTCTTATTGTCAAACGTAGAGGAGGTGATTGGTTTGCGAATGATTGAAGTTGTTAGTAATTGATTACTTTGTGTGCTGTTAGTCTGATGCAGTTCAGGATGTGGATTATTACCGAATAAATCAAGTGGATTACTATTACTTTTTACTGTGGGACTCTTCACCGTTGGATTTGATATTTTTGCTGTCGATATTGCTGCACTTGTCACGGTACTATTGTTATTAGAAAGTGACGTCACATATATCGGTGATGCTTCGTTTAAAAAGCTGTAATCTTGAGTTGTTGTTGCCCCTTTGGGGTTCTGTTGATTCAACTAAAAAAAGCAACGCAAAAAGAAGAGAATAAATAAATTTATACATTTATTTGTTGTTAGTCTGATCGTCACTGATTCAAAAAAATCATAAAAACACCACAATAAAGAGAATCGCTCATTAACATAAAAATCTAGGTGTGTCGTTCAACAACGTCTCATTCTATCACATACGGGATGTCGCTGATCATATGAGCAATTTATAAGCAGAAAAAGTACACAAAAAATTAATTGTTATGCGAAATTTACCTTTATAGAAAGCTGCGTTATGTCGACTGGAGTAATTCTCTTAAGCGCAGACAAGCGTTGCAAACGTTCTCGAGCTTGTTGTTCAACAGCGATGACAAATGCATCCTGAACAGTATTACAAAGTTCACCAGCTAAAATAATAAATGATGTTCAAAGTCATTAAGATGCTTCTTGACCGCAATTTTTTTCAACATATTTCATAGATATTTGTCTTTCACTTCGATTAATCATTTAATTGGCACACTTTTTAACTCATATTCACACACACACATACTGGGGAATAATAAGCAAACTACAATAAATTCAAATACGCCAGTTATTTGAAAGCACTCATCGAGCTTATCAAAACATAAATTACAAGCGTAAATACGTGAAACGCACTCAAGAGCCAAACCGGAATACAAAGCAAAAAAAATCATAAAAAAATCAATGGACAATTCACAGTTAAACAACAAATGAAGTAAATGAGCTGACTCTAACATGTATTAGCTTGAATACTATTTTTATTCGCGACGATTCATGTCTTCTTCATATCCATTGTTGGAGATCTCAAAAGAATCTTCAATTATTAGTACTTGAGTTTGCCTTGAAGTTGATACTGCTGATGGGAATAAAAAATGCTATCCGCTGCTTTTAACAATGTTACTTGTTTCCAAGTATCGCGACAACACTCGTAAAGACTAAAATTTTTGCGTATTTTAGCTATACTTATTGAAACATTCTTCACCAATGTATCATCAGCAGACACGCTCTCAGGGGACGAAAAGGGCACGTGAACAAATTTTCTGATTTTATATTTTAATTGCAGTTATTATGATGGATATCATCGTTAAATATTAGTTGAGAGTTTTTCAGGAAAACACTAATTAAAGCAACTCATCCATTATACAATTCACGATGAATTTTGTGATGTTTTTTTCAAATATTTTATCGACTTAAAATAATGAAGAAAAAAATATTAAAAAATATTTTCTACTGCTTTTGACAGTCACACAATACACCGAGAAATCATTTTTTTCCTTCTTCTTCTTATTCTCATATTTGTGAACTCACTTTCTTGTCGAGAAATTCTTCAGATCGTCTTATCTTAAACTTTATACTTTTTTTCTCTGGAATTTCTAAAGTCTACGATCAAACACAAAAACTTTTTTTCTATCTATACAAGTTTATCAGCAACTTTTATAATTTTTTCAGTGAAATTTCACCGCGAAATGATGACAATTCTTGCACCTTCGATCACTTAATTAAATTTAAAATTTACTTTGAACTACGAATACGAAAACCAAGCAACGTTGTGCGAGTGTTGAATGTGAGAAAAAGAGAGAGAATGAAATTAATGGCTTAAAAGAACTGTGTAAGTAGAATTGATGACGACACAAGAGCTCAACACTCGTACAAGCGGCGACGATGAAAACTTATGAAATACCAACCAACATTGACCGTCCGTAGATATAAAACATAGAAGTATTAATAATAAAAAATATTTTTGAAAAGTATGTACACAAGCACAACGGAAAGAAAAGCACTTATCGGTGTGTTGAGGCGTATCAGGTAATATAGGGTAATGAATAAGAGAGAAACAGACAGGTGAGTGAATGATGCAGGTAATTATTGGTTTAAGGACTCAACTGTTCAAATGGAAATGAAAATGTAATCATAAAAAGGAAACACTTCGCACACATTCAAGATTCAGTGACTAAGGTAAGACAACACTTGAATAAACACAGGTTTCGGGTGATTTTTCAACAATATATCTTCTTACTGCTTTCACATGAAATGTCTTTCTGCCAAAAAAAAACGCTCTATAAATATTTAAACAACAAAACTCACCAAGACGTGAATCACTTCTTCGTTTCACTCGAAGTTTTATCATTCCCGATTGAATGCACTAAAATGATTTTCTCATGAAAATAATTTTTATGACTTCTACATTGCAAATCATCACTCACTTCATGAATATGTTTGATGACGAGGGCACGAGGAACGTCATCTAATTTACGTTCGTTAACATCAAGTATCTCGTCAGCTACTTCCAAGCCATCTCGATCGGCTGGGCTTCCATAAAGTTTTATTTTTCCATCACGTCCCTCGACAAGTATAATAACATATCCCTCCAATTCAACGACTTGCTGCTTGTGAAAGTAAAGGATATAAGAAAAAAACAAGAATATCATAAAATAGAAGAAAAATAAGGAGACAACGTTTAGCATCCTTTTCCAAGTGCTTAAATTATTAACTTAGTCATTAATGTTATAGTCGACGGTGCAGATGCGAGTGAGTGGCTCACTCATGATGCTGATTATTAATTCATTAAAAATTACATGACATGGGAGAAACGACACCCACATGATATGAACGGAGAGACGTCTTTATTGTCCTACACTTTTTTCTCTCATGTTTTCAATTTCCCTCACACTTTTCCCCCTTCCCCCCCCCCCCCACAAGAACTTTCGTCTTTTCTTTTCCTTTCTTTTCTTTTCTTACTTTCATTCATCATCCGTGCAATTGTTGGTAGTTCTTCTCCTGCTTGCTTTTTCCTTTCAACTTATTTTCAACTGTGTTTGAACACAGATAGAAAAAAATAGATAGAAAAACAAATGAATCGTTGTGAGACTTTTTTATGTCTTTTCTTGATACATTGTAACTCACAACTGATGGGTGGGTGGAGGTGAAGATGCTGATGGGCATAATGGCGAGAGAGCGAGAATAGGATTTCAAAAAAAAAGAATCTCTCAATGGTGTGAACAGCTTTTTCATCTTTTTCCTTTTCTCTCAATTTTCCATTTTTCATTTTTTAACTCTTGTTTCCCCCATAAAAAAATTTGAGATAAAATTATTGAAATCTCACCTTAGAAGAGTTTTGAGGTGTCAAAGCAGGTTTGGTGGTCATCCTTGGTTCTTTATAACTTTGATAAAAGCTGATTTAAATGCTATTTCACCTTCTCTACTTCTTTTATCTCACTTCTTTTTTACATCACCAATCCCATAACCTTTTTCTCATATTTTTTCTTTGCATAATGAAATGATTCACGATGTTTCAGGAAATTTAACACTTTAACATTCCTCAATTATATTCACTCGAATTGAATACAAATTCATTGTGAATGAACCACATTCACTTTGAATCTGATGTTAAAAAAATAGGATGAAAAAAATCTTCTGACTTTTGCTTTCCGTACGAATGGTTATAGAATTTCTTTTTTCTTCCCGACACGAATTCACAAATTTTCTTAATTTTCTTTATCCTAGATGAAATTCTTAATTCTTTTATAATCCTAAAATTGTTGAGCTACAAATTCACAATATTAAACTAATTTTAACAGTTCTTTCATGCACTGACTTTCTTAAACTTTATTTCTTGAAAAAAAGTGGATCCTAAAATTGCGAAAAAGGATTTTCAAGTGAGTGCGCAAAAGCAACATCTTTGTCAATGCAGGGTTGAACTTGTCTTTTATTTTTTAGGAGAGTGGAATTTTATTATATCAATATTTTAGATTAAGGGGAAGATTTCCCTTCACACAGCTTTCCATATATGTGATGCTGCTGTATTATTTACAATGGCAATTTATTTTAATTTCATTCATTTTCATAATCTTTATAATAAATAAGCAACTGAGATAAAATATTAAAAAGATGTTTTGAAAAAGTTGGAAAAAGTTGTGCAAAAGTCTGCTTTGAGAATTTCTCGAGAATATTTTTCTCCTCTCTAACATGCTTTGTGGTGGAAACAAGAAATTCACCACAAATGTAATCCGAACAATGTTTTTATCCGTACAATAACAAAACAAAATATTATTTTAGAATATTCAAGATAACTGCTTAGAATTATCATAAATTTGTATTTTTATCATCAAAAATGATGAACTTGAAACCGATATTAACGTGTAAGTTGAAGACAATGCGAAATAATGTCAATTATTCGAATAATTGTTCTCAATTTTTTGTGAACTAAATTTTACAAAATATTTTTCTTTGCAAACGTTGATAATTGAGATAAAAATTGTTTTAATCATAACTTCCAGATTCCGGAGACATTCCTCTCTTCAAATCAATGGAATCAAGAATTGAACAAGCAGTTCCAACCGATACAATTGAGTGGAAAAGATCCTATGGACGAATGACTGTGAAAAATATCAAACTCGAATGTAATTTTAAGACATTTGAAAGTTGTAAGACACAAATTGAAAGCTACAATACACAAAACTATTCCATTGTGGATCCAGTGCTTCACATCTTTTGTGCAGAGTGTAATGTAAGAAAGTTAATTAATTATGAGAATTTTGGGATTAAATTTTAGAGGAGAGAAACGCCATTCCTATGCAACGCCTAGGAATGCAATTTCACTTCAAGTTTTTAAATTTGAATTTTAAAGAAGTTTCACTATTGATTGCGCTAAAACTTTCACAAAACAATCAATAGTAGTGAGTCTTCAAAACGTATTACAACGATTTAATTACAAAATATTTTTTCCCAAAGGACATCGAAACATACAAAGCTGTTCTCAAGGATGAAATCGATTCATGGCTGAAAAATCTTGCTTCTTATGGAATCACCGACTGGATGATACTCATAGTTGAAACAATCGATATTAAAAAGACAAAAAATATTCTTCCACGACAATCAGTTCTTGACAAAATTAGAATGGATTTCGCATCAAAGAATGCAGATCGATGTGTGTCAATATTAAATCCATTGAAGTTTGAAAACAAATCTACAGAGTCATTTCGTTCAATGATTCAACGAATTCGACATTTGATTCTGTCAGCTTATAATAAAAATATTATAAAGTTTGAAGAAATTATTCGATCGAGACGAGAAGAAAGAAATAAAGATGATTGGGACTTTCGCAATTATTTCTTACTTCAAGAGCAACTTGCCTTCGTTCTTGAAATGTTGAGTCTCCATTCCGATGCTCTAGTTCAATATGATGAGCTTGACGCTATGTTAAATTTGTTCATCATGAATACACAATTTGGTGAGAAACCAAAATGGATGGCGACGTTTGAAAAGCAATTAAATAATGTTCGTGGGATTACAATGTGTAAGAAAGACATCCAAGAAGAGCGTGAAAAGATTATTGATGGTTCTGTGACTTTAATTGAGTTCAGAAATTATTTATTCCAACGACAATGTACTTTACTTAACTCAATGAATCAACAATGGGAAATTGCGCAAAGACTTTTTCCATTTCTCTTTTCAACTTTGAAAGAAACCGAAGCTTTGAGATTGGAAGCTTATAATGGTTCGTTAGCCTGTTGGCAGTTTGTCAACTGTTTAGAAGTTCTCAACATGTGTGACTGTGTAAATGGAAACGAGAACATCATCAGATGTTCACAATTCACAGCTTCAATATGGAATCTTGCAAAAGACAAACTTTACGAGTTAGGAAAACTTTGCGGTTTGTTACCGAATTTCACACCAACTTCCGAACAATTGCATATTGTTGTTCAGTTGTCATCTGCAATAGGAGAAATTCCAGAAAGAGATGTGAATGAACAACGTGAATTGGAAATCAAAAGATCACATTCGCCAATAAGAAAAATTCCTAAAGCTGGATGTGAGAAACTTCGTGAAGCTTTAAGTTCAAACGAAGGTTTTAAGAAACTCTATTTGGAGTTGTGTGAACTTGCAATCAGCACATATAAACACGTTTCAAGATTACGTTCAGCTCGTCTTGTTGGACTTGATTTGGGGAACTTTTATTGCTTGTTAAATGAACCGCAAAAATCCATCGTTTTCTTCACAGATTTGTTACGTGAATTAAAAACTGAGAAGTGGAATGCATTAGCAAGTCAAACACTTTTGGAACTTGCAAACTGTTACAAGAAAATGGATGACTCTTTGAGTTACACAAAAGTTTGTGCAGCAATTTCATGTTGTCATGATTTGGAAACTTTAGTAAGAACTTTTTATTTTGACGAATTTCTGAAGTCGTTAAAGAACTTACAAAGAACTTTGAATGTTTCGGAGAAGGGACAAAACAATTACGTGACATTAGATGATCATTTCAAAATTGATGACATTCATTTGTTCAATAAAAGTCCTGTTATTCAAGACAGCGTTCTTAACATTGAAATTAAGATTGAATCAAATTTTCCACGAGAAATTCTTTGTGAAAATATTTCGATTAGTTTTGAATTGATGGAAAAGCAATCGAATCAAGAAATTGCTGAAACAGCTGACTTTGATATTCTTCCTTTCTCAATTCATCTCGATTACAAGCAAGACAATACTTTGAGTGAAGCTTTAGTGGTTTGTGAAATGAAAGGAAAAGTTCGAAGAACAAGCAGCGGAAAGAATGAAAATGCGCCAACGATTCGATCGAATTTCGCCAATTCTGCGAGTTTAGAGAATGTTTTGCTTCATCCAGGCTCAAATGTCATTTCATTGACAACAAAGGCAGCTGAAGTTGGAACATGGAGCTTCAAACAAATCTCAATTCAATTCCAACATTTAGATTTTCTATCGAAAACAATTCCAATGAAATTGAAGTCATTTGAAATCACAACAAAACCAAGTTCAGCTTCGTTACATTTCTCGAATCTCGTTGCTGGATTGGATCAAAAAATGAAGCTTATGATATCTGGGGGATCTTTCCACTTTCCAAAAGAAGCTACAATCACTTTGAAAGGTTCAAAAGGGTTACAGATGAAGACTGAAGATGATGCTGACTATAAGAGAACCATCAGCATAAAGCTCGTCGATTTTAAGTTATTTGAAGAACGAACTGTTGAACTTCAAGCACTTTGTGAACTTCCTTGTCGGCGTGATGAAACGATGATTGATCAGAAAGTGATGCTTCATTGCCCATGGACAGAATCAGAAATTCAAATTCCATTGAAATTTCTTCCAATTCTTACAGCTTGTTGTCGTCTTCATTCGTCGGGTTCGAAGAAGTTCTTACAAGTTATCACGAAATCACTTTATGATAAAGAATTGATACTCATGGATGCTGTCATGAAATGTAACAACGAAGGTGTAGTCATCACAGACTTGAATCCCAAGTCACAAAGTAAATTAATTGTCGCAAAAAATATTTCCGTGTCTTATTTATTTGAGATCGAAGTTGAACCTCTCAAGACACAAGACGAACTTCCAGTTATCAGCATTGAATTTAATTTAATGTATGCGGAAGGGGAAAAGCCTGATCTCATTCGACGTTACAATTGTCCATTCGATGTCACAGATTATAAAACTTTGTTCCAAGTTAAAGTTAAAGTTGAACCTTCGGAACTGTGTAGAGTTGGTTCGGTTTGTCATTTAAATTTAACAATAACAAAGCTGAATGATCATCATCAACATAACGATCTGATGTATGAAGTTTTATTCGATCAGAATCTTTGGGCTGTCTACGGACGATCAGCTGGCGTAATTTCCATGGCGGAAACAAACGAAACAATCATAACTTTGGATGTTTTTCCACTCACCGCAGGTTTCCTTCCACTTCCCAATATTCGCCTATCAAAATACGTCGCAAACAAAACGAAAAATGATAATCCAAAATTAATTCCATTCGCACCAACGCAAGTTTACAATTCAACGAAAAGTTTACAAATTCACGTTCTTGCAAGTACTAACGTCGAACAGCAATGATGATGATGATGATAAGTAGAAAAGCAATAAATTTAAACTTCAATTCAAAATAATCAATCTCATTCTTTTTATTGTAATCAAGAGAAAAAGAAAATACTTTTTTGACGTCAACTCCAATCTTAAATCTTATTTATAATTAAGGTGAAGAAATGTCAAGGAATGAAATAAAAATAAAGTCTTTTAGCATTTAATGTTAAAACAATTCTTTTTTTAAATAAATGTTGTGGGTGGCTGCATTTGAAATATTGAAAAACTCTGTTTGATATTTTTATGATGAAAGTTTTGTTTGCTTTTAATTTTACCTTCTTAGCTTCTCAAGAGAAATCTTTAAAGAACAAAACTTTCTCAAATATTTTATCAAAATAAAATTCAATGTTTCAAATGTAACTTCCCATTTAGTTCAGAAAATTAGATTTTACTTAGACTAGAATGACAATCTCATCAATCAGGGGAACGAAGAATGTTGAGCGAACGTTAACTTCTCATTAGCATCACGCTTTTGGAATTTTCAGTCATACTTAATTCATTTCAAAAATTCCAATCGAAGCAACAACGAATGTGTAAATCCAAACTTTTCACAATACTTTAGTAATTTCCATTATAAGTTTGAAACTTGAAGAAATATTTACTTAAACTGTTTAATATACAATGAAGTCTTATGAAGTTCATTTTCAGTGAATTTTGATTAAGATAATGTAAATTTTCCGAATGTTTGAATATTAAACTTTCAATCAGGTTTTGTGGTCACTCAAAAATGGACGCACAGTGTCTATTTCGCCCAACCTTTTACTTTACTAATAAATTTATGAAAATATGATCGATTATGAGTCGAAAACTTTGTTAACATCAAATGAAATTTCGGTGAAAGTTAGAGGTTAGAGATAAAAGCAGAATAATTATTTTCACAACGAAAAGGCCAAGAAAAAAGCTTAAAAATATTAATTATTTAGGCGTATAAATTTACAAGCTTCTGACCAGAGATTCGTAAGCTTTCTGACTCAAATGAAAAATTTATTTTCTTTTTGATATTTTCCAATAATGACATGAAATTATTCACGCTTGGAAAATATCAAAAAACTTTTTGATAACTCTTAACATTGCTTTAATGCAGGTACAATTTCGACAAATAAATTTCTACTTCGCCAGATATCTAAACATTCATTTCATCGTCATCATCATATCAATTCTTAAATATCTTAAAAAATATCTGCACGAACATAAAAAAAACATCACGCTTTTATCAAAATTTTAAGTCAATCTCAAATGTTTTTAAATTCAACACGAATTATTATTTCCCATCTTTTGTTTTTTGTTTTGTTTTGGCTAATGGAGTGCGTTATTACATATTTTTCTTTTAATGTCAATGAACGATAGCACCTAATTAATTTTTGTTTTCTTCTTAATTTAATTACGAAAAGATGAAGAAAGAAAAAGTTATTTACATTCGACGATTTTATCCATTTAATGGATACACAGAATACTTATTTATGACTTTTCACCTTCTTCCAACTCCATCGTACGACGAATCATTGCACGTTGAAGATTCGCTACAGCCATTCGACTCGTTGGACTGAAGGCATTGTTATCGGTAAGAAAATTTTCCGGACTAAATCGAACACGATTTTGTGACGAGAGTGCACTAAGATAAGAACTATCATCACTGAAGCTATCTTGTGGTGTTGAATGCGTGGGTGTACATCCTGTGCTTCCAGTAATCTTTGATGACGACATATTCGTGATTATATTATCATTAGATGGATGACTCTCATCACCATTTCTTGTACACTGTGTGACATTATTTTGTGTTGCTTCAATATTCACTTCAGGATTAAAGAACATCTCACGACGTAATGAATTTGTGATGGAAGTTGTCTTAATGTAATCATGATTTGATGTATGATCAATACTTGAGGTTTTCAACGGAATTTGAGCTTGTGATGATGGATCGCGATGATGTTGGAAGTTGCTGACATTCTCGTACAATCGCATTCTATTCGGAATCTGATGTGTGTTTGTATTGTCAGGATGATTAACACTATATGGCACTGAATGAAATTGTAATGGCTGTTCAATGGCACCCGAAATGTTGAAGTTATTAAAACGATAATCAACTTCCAAAGGATTTATGACTTCACCATAATCAACTTGACCACCTCGACTACTATATTGCGATGAAGCATTTGAAAGTGTACGACGATGAACAATCGTTCTTGTGCCCATGACTGGTGTTCTGATTGGTGTTTTCGGTGGAGGTTGTGGCGGTTGTTCCACATAATTTGGATGTCCATAATAATCAACATCGTATTGAGAAAATTCTATAAAGCTTTGTGAACCTGAATTTCCAAATGCTGTCGTCGATGTTTGAGCAAATGGATTTAAATTGGAATGTTGTTGTGATGGAATGTAAATATCTGTTTTGTTCGGAAATATATTTTTAGAATGACTTGTTGATCGTATTAAACAATTAACTTACCACCATATCCTGTTGTTTCATAATGTTGATTCATTTTTTGTGGCGATATGAATCTCGGTTGATTTTCACCTTCAGGAATGAACAAATATTCGTCAGTTGTTGTTGGTAGGTCACTTTCAAGGAATGACGATGAGGTTCCAGGGGTGAATTTTGCTTTTCTATTATCACTCATTAAACTACTTAAAGATGAATCGATTGGATCTGTTGTGTAGGAAGTGTAATTGGAACCGAGTCCACTTGTTGTCGTCAGTGTTGTTGATTGCAAGTAATGGGGTGTGCGTGCTTGTTGAAATGCTGAAAGTTGATTCAATGATGACCTATTGACATGACATAAACATTCATTCATTCATTAATCAATTTCGTGACCTCTTCCGTCTCACTCAATGTCAATTCACCTGATTTTTTGTTTTGTCGGTCCGTGATAAGTTTCAAGTCCATAAAGTCGATTCAAATGTGGATTTCCAACATTCAAAACATCTTTCTCATGCATGTAGATGCCTTTGTAAATCGGACTGTTATGCAATCTTGGACTATCAAAGTCACCTTCTTGAATTTGTGTCATATTTTGAAGTCGTGGATGAATTGGATGTGGTTGAAGATTTGTTACACGAACATCGAAGCCCATTGCAAAACTTGCGAGAAACGAAGCCATATTGTAAAGAACCATTTCAACAACACCCATCCGCTTTCTCTCACGATCACCCAACGGTTGAAAACCACAAAGCTGCAAACTCGAACCAATATCATCTCGCGACCACTCGTCAGAATCACCATCTAAGAATTTCAAACAAGGTTGGACAAATGTTTGTTCAGCATTAGACAGAAAGCGTATAACGAGCGAGAAAAGATTAATCAATGTCAGTGTTTTTTCATTTCTTTCTTTCCCTTCTAACATTTAAACAACATCAGCCAATAAAAATTAAAACCACAACCAAAAATTGCAAAATGAAAGAAAAATTTATTTTTCAACTTTTCTTTTTTAGTTCAACTTTCTTAATAATTTTTTTGTTGTTTTGACGATCAAACAAAAAATTAAAAGTAAATTTTTTACATACAAAATATAAAAACTAAAAAGCTTTTAATCTTACGACCAAAGACCGAAAATGAAGATTTTAATTAATTTTTATTTTTGATTAAGAAAGTAGAAAGAATTTTATTAAAAGAATAAAGTACAGGAAAGTGACTTAAAGTTTATAAGAATGGAAATGAGTGCGGATTAAAAATTCATTTACTTCCACCAGGAATTAAGTCAAAAATAGTTTTACGAGAAAAGATTTGGAAGATCTTGCTGTGATTGGAAACATTTTAAAATAAAATTATTAAAAGAATATAAAAGAGAAAATTAAAGGGTCGTGATTGTGTTGAATTGTTAAGCAGATAGAATTGAAATTAAATTCCAATCTACAACAACTTCACAATAATTATTTCGTGTAATAAAGATTCAAAGAAATCTTAGCAAACATTCTAAGAATTAAGATCTTTTTCCTTTCAATTCTCTTCATAAAAATTAAATTTTGCATGCAAACGAAGTTTTGAACATTTTCAATTATCAACTACAAAGATTCACATACAAAAGTGTCGAAATGATTACAGAAAAAAAATATAATTTTGACAATGAATCACAATTTAATTAAATATAACTTAAAAAAGAAATCGTTTGTCGTCATTTTTTTAAACTTCACTGTTACACTCAAAATTGTGACATAAAAAACTAAAAGAAATAATTAAAATTACAACACAATTCAACTTATGAATCTTAAACATCAAAATTGAACATAAAAAGAAATTTTATAAAAAAGTTTTTCGACTTAAGTAAATAATCTACGATACAATAAGAGGCTTAATTAAATTATTTTATTAATAAATTTGATGAAAATTAAATTGTGCATCATGCAATTAAAATTGTGAGTGATTTTCCTTTCTTTTGTTTAATGCTTTCGTGGAACTGTGACAAGGAATAAAGTTGAGGAATTTTGGCATTCATTACAAGTTTCATAGGAATTTACTTAAATGCAACAACAACGTTTATAATTTTGCATTTCTATGTATATAAATATAAAAAAGTTGTTTACAGCTATACGAAGCTTAACAAAAAAGATTCTACACCATTAAGTTGTCCCATGATAGAAACGAAACTTTTATAAGTAGAATAAAAAAAATTGTTTTGTTGTTTGAAAGTTGTTTGTAAATGATGTCAAGATTGATTCTTTTTTTTTGAAATTTCTTTAGTCTTTTCGTCACTTACAGTCATTGCTAACACGACAAAGAACTACAAAGCAGCGAAAAGATTGACGAAGATGACACTTAATACTGTTTCTCGCTCCATGGAACTTTTCTCGTCGTTGATTCTTGTGATGATTCACTATCACGAGCTCTTGTGTCGTATCCATTCTTACGACCACCGTTCTTTAAGAAACATTCCCAAGTGAACTGTGAACCACCACGATGAAATTGAAAATCACCGCCTGTTGATAAATCATCAATTGATTTTGAATAAATCTTTTCAGGCGTTTCATCTTCTTCAATCTCATACGAATCGATCGCGTCGAGACTCTTCTGAAGTCTCGTCGATAATTTTGTTTTGTTTTTAGTCTTTTTTGCTCTAATGTAAATGTTATCTTCTTCATCAAGCTCATACGATCCAACAGCATCGAGACTTTGCTCAAATCTTTTATAAAACATTAAATCCACATTGAACTTCGCCTTTGGCGTTGTGAACTCTTCAAATTGAATCTTTTTCTTTGGATCTGTGCTACTTTTTCTCAAGCCTGAGCCTTTCGATTTCTTATCAATCGATGGCAACAATTGGCGATTTTCGAGATCAGGTGAGTTCGCTTTGGGGAGTTTCTTGTACTTCTTCTTGCTCTCATTCGATGAACTGTTACCAACAAATGAGAAGCAACCGACAGACACATTACGCTCTGAATTATCAGAATCATAATCATGACTTTCAATTGACTGCTCATGTGATGTTATCGATGCTGAGCTCATTTTACGTCGTTGGCCATCTTCGTCAATCCCCCCACCACCACCGCTACCACTTTTTGATATTTCTCTTTCGTAATATATTGAATGATAGTTCGTGTTAGTGTAGTGATGAATATTCGTATTCGAAGACGCTGTGATTGTCATTAAACTATCACAATGATCGGCGCTGTTACCTAGAATGTTATCAGTCGATGTCGATGTTGATGAGCGCGATTTGTTATCTAAATTAGGTGCGGATTTGACTAAATTGTGGAGACGCTCGGTTGGTCTTAAAGCTGGCAGAAAACTTCTCTCCCTCTGATGTGACATAGACGATGGTCCCCAAGTTTTGCCTTTGGTGGTCGTCGACGATGCATCATCATCGGATGGAACTTTAGAAAGTTTTGAAATCATTAAAGAATCTGTTTTTGTTTGTCATATTTCAGTGTTTTCTATTTTTTTCTTTTTGACCATTTCGCGACCTGACCTTCTTTTACTTTTCTTTATTTTTCGAGTTGGAAAAAAACCTTTAATTTATTTATTTATTTCAGAAAAATAAGAATGAAAAACCATGCAAACTCGGACACGAATAAAACTTCTAAGAAAATATTTTTCTTTCTTTTTTTCTTTTGCAAGCTACATGAAGACAAGAACGAAAAGATATTTATGTATGAAGAAAAAAACTTTTATGTGACAATAAAGAAAACACGAAACGAAAGACGATGTCAAACGTAAAAAAAGAAAAAAGATCAAAACTAATCTCAAAGTAACGATTTTTGTATAATTAAAGAGTTGTGGAAATTACTCACGTGCAATTGCTCGAAGTCGAGGTTTGATTGCTGGTGAACCTGGTGGAGTGTTTGCTTGTAAATGCGTCTCATCAAAGCTTCCCGTATGCATAACTGTGATTTTATGTTTAAAGTCCAATGGAAATGATATCTGACCTGGAGCTTTCTTTAAAAGCTGCTTGAAGATACGAAAAATTGGGATCGATTTCTTCTTTCGTCTTCGCAATGCTTACCTTCAACTTTGATGTTCCAATCTTTCCTCTTCGTTTTAATGGCGTTGGTGCATTATTCATAATGATTTTAAGTTCACGTCCTAACACATCCAACTCGCGATTCTTCAATTCTTGTGCAAGTTTCATGAGATTTTCTTGTTCACGTTTCTGTTGTTGCTGCATCCGACTAAGTTCTTCTTCTTTACAGCGTAATTCCTGAATAAAGAATGCATTGACATTAATTTCATTGACAAATTATTCATTTCAATCAGAGAAAGGGCAAAAAAATGATAAAACACACAAAATTCAATTAGAAATCAAAAGCAAAGCGTTTGTTGTTCAAGCCTTTGCCTTACCTCTTCGAAATTCTTAAAAGCCTTTAAATTTTTGAACATTTCAAAAGGGAGAAAGAGAGAGAGAGATAGAAAATGTTTAATTGAAGAACAGAATTTGCTTTTACGAAGTTAATTCCAGTTTTGAAGATTTAAAAGAGTTGAAAGTCGCGAAATTTTACTCACTTTTTCTTTTAAACGCAGTTCATGAAGAACTTCGGCAATTTCTTTCTTCCAACAATCTTGCATGTTGTGAAAAGACTCGTGAGGCGTTTGTAAAAATCCCGATGCTGCAATCTCTTCGAGATCTCTTAAGATTGATTTGAATTGTGGTCGTTTATGCGAATCAATTTCCCAGCAAGCTGTTAAACGACAAAAATTAATATATTTTCAAATGAAAGTGAATGAACTTACATTTCATTAAATTTCCCCAAGCTTCAGGGCAAGTTTTTGGTATTGGAAGAGTCAAAGTGTTGATGGCAACACCATAAGCAACTGAAAGTGAATCAAATCCTTTGTAAGGAATTTCACCAGTCAACAACTCCCATAATAAAACTCCATAAGACCAAACATCGGAAGCTCTGAAATCAACAAATAAGAAAATTAAATTCACACGCGTTTAATGTTCAACTTACTTTGAATAAGTTCCAGCCTTAATAACTTCCGGAGGCATCCACGCGTATGTTCCAGCCGCTGACATTCGTGTCGTATTGTAAGCCTCGCGTGCAAGTCCAAAGTCTGTGATCTTCAATGTTTTCCCACGCAAATCACCATCGTCAATTGACTCACTGATTAACACATTCGAGCTTTTAAGATCACGATGAATAACAGAAATCGGCGCTCCATTATGGAGATAATTCATTCCTCGTCCGATCTGAATCGCCCAATCAATCAGCACATCTGGTGGTATTCGTCTGTTGCCAGATAATATCCGATTCAATGATCCACCCATTGCATACTCCATCACAAGACAAAACTTCGGTGGTTGAAGACAAATACCACGTAATGAAACAATGTTCGGATGATGCAATGTCCAAAACAATTCCGCTTCTTGTAACACATTTTTTCGTGTGACGTTGTAATCAAGTTCGGGATTGTGACGAGCTTCTTTGACAGCTACGATTTCATTACCAAGAAAAGCACGTTTAACTTCCCCAAATCCCCCTGGAATGATAATAATGATGATTGTGATGGGCGAAAACATAAAAAATAATTTTAGCTCACCAGCTCCTATTACTTCCTTGACATCTAAATCATCGTAATTGATCTCATCTGGTTGTGGATTCACCATCGTCATATCAACATTTGTCACATAATTAGCTGGAAATATTCCAACTTTGTCACCAATCTTTCCGGTCCACCATCCATAATCTCCAGATATAGACTCGTCTTTCGACAGAACCCAAACAATTTGTCCGACTTTGAGATCAAGCTCATCTTCACCTAATTATTACAATCATTGAATTTTTATGTCGTTACAACATAAATTTATATTAAGCGTCATTACCTTGAGCTTGATAATCAAACTTTGCTGTATAAAGAGGTGACTCTTGATTGTCTAAAAGTGAAAACGTCTCGTTTGGGCTTTCAGAAGACATTGTGAAAAAATTGCGTCGCTGTTCACAAAAGTCATTGAAATGGTTCTACTTCTAATGTATCAGGCACTGTTTTGCAATTCTCATTCGTGTTTAATTCTGTTGATCTAAGCTAAGCTATCACGAGGAAGTTGTGCAAATTTTTTTTCTTTTTACTTTTTTAATATTTTTTTTATTAAAAAGACTCGGAACTTCTCTTTTGTTGAGGGGAAATTTTTTGAAAAACTATTTTTTAGCTTTCATAGAAAACCAAAACAACAAAATAAATCATTCACTTGTTATCGTCGACCTTATGTTGGTCGTTAAATTACATATTAGAGCTTAGAAAGTCGTCTAACTAGAATAAAAATTGAAAGAACTGAACTTTTCTGCAAAATATTTTTTATATGAATACTAAACGCACTCGATTATGTTTGAGTGCGTTTAGTGAAAAGTGTTTTCTTGTGTCGTTATTTTCAAATGATTCTTTCATACTAAAGTTTCGCGCCAAAATATTTACGAGAAAGAAATAAGGAAATAAAAATAATTTGTTAATTATTGAGTACACAATCAGAGTTAACGAAAATTTAACAATGTCTCAACCAAACCAAACACCAAGACGTGATGAACAACCAGAAAATTCTCAAGGTGAGCTACAAAATTATATTGAAAGATTCTAATTTTTTACACAATAAAATAACAATAATTTAATAGATACACCGATGAGAATGCCGGCGTATGATGCAGCAAGAACTCCAATTCATGAAGGTTCTGAATCTTTCAGTATTCCAGCTGCAACACCACAACATTTAAGCTCATCTGAAATTGATTTGGGTTCGCCATTAAATTATGGCACACCAAGTTCCATCGGATCGATTAGAACTCCACATTCGGGTATCCAAAACACGCCATTAAAACTACGACCAGATATTCGCATAGATAAACGTTTGCGACAAGTCAATGTCGGTCAACTTGAACCAATCAATGAAAACGATTCACAATCAGAGAGTGGAGTTTCTTCTCAAGCTCAATTGTTGGTTTGGGGAACAAATGTTGTTATAAGTGAATGCAAAGCAAAGTTTAGAAAATTTCTCATGCGTTACATTGACCCCGAAGTTGAACAAGATGAGATTGAAGATGGAATGAACCTCAATGAGCCATTGTATATGCAGAAACTTGATGAAGTTGCGACACTTGAAGAACCATTTTTAAATGTAAACTGCAGTCATTTTAAGATGTTTGATGAACAACTTTACAATCAATTAATTTGTTATCCTCAAGAAGTCATTCCATCATTTGATATGGCTACAAATGAGATTTTCTTTGAAAAATATCCAGCAGCTGTTCTTGAACATCAAATTCAAGTTCGACCATTTAATGCTGAAAAAACACGCAACATGCGAGCTTTAAATCCAGAAGACATCGATCAACTTATTTCTATCAGTGGAATGGTTATCAGATGTTCCAATATCATCCCAGAAATGCGTGAAGCTTTCTTCAAATGCATCGTCTGTTCATTCACAACGTCAGTTGAAATCGATCGTGGACGAATCCAAGAACCAAATTTATGTACACATTGCAACACAAATCATTGCTTTCAAATGATTCATAATCGTTCGCATTTCACTGACAAACAATTGATAAAATTGCAGGAATCTCAAGAAGATATGGCAGCAGGTCAAACGCCTCATAATGTTCTTTTATTCGCTTACAATGATTTGGTTGATAAAGTCCAGCCTGGTGATCGTATAACTGTGACTGGAATCTACAGAGCTATTCCGATTCAAGATAATCCACGACAACGTAGTGTCTCGTCTGTCTATAAAACTCACATTGATGTGGTTCATTTCAGAAAGTTAGATAAGAAACGATTATATGAGTCGGAAGACGGCAAAGAACATTTGTTCTCACCGGAGCGCATTGAATTGTTACACATGTTGTCACAAAAGCCTGATGTTTACGATAGGCTTGCTCGTACAATTGCACCATCAATTTACGAGAACGTCGATATAAAGAAAGGAATTTTACTTCAACTTTTCGGGGGAACTAAAAAGAAACATTCGGCAGGTGGTCGTCAAGGATTTCGAGCTGAAATTCACATTTTATTGTGTGGTGATCCTGGTACAAGTAAATCACAATTGTTGCAATATGTTTTCAATTTAATGCCACGATCACAATATACATCCGGTAAAGGCTCATCAGCAGTTGGTTTAACTGCTTACATTACAAGAGATCCTGACACTCGTCAATTGACTTTACAAACGTAAGTTGACTTTGATTTTTCTAACTTTTATTTCATTTTTATTTTCTTAAAGTGGTTCGTTGGTTCTTGCTGACAACGGAATTTGTTGCATTGACGAGTTTGATAAAATGTCTGACGCTACTCGAAGTGTTTTACACGAAGTCATGGAACAATCAACTTTAAGTATTGCAAAAGCTGGAATTATTTGTCAATTGAATGCTCGGACATCGATTCTTGCTTCTTGTAATCCGTCAGAATCACAATGGAATAAGAACAAGACAATCATTGAAAATGTTAATTTACCTCACACATTAATGTCGAGATTTGATTTAATTTTCTTGATTCTCGATCCTCAAGATGAATTGTTTGATAAACGGTTGGCTACACATCTTGTGTCTATGTATTATTCCGGCAGTGTTGATGATGAAGATACTTTGTTTGTGAGTATTTTTAAGAAAAGCTTCTTAATTCAAAAATGTATCTATGAATGCTTATTTCATTTATTTTCGAATAGGACATGGGAGTTTTGCGTGACTACATTGCATATGCTCGTGAACATGTTCATCCCACATTAACTGATGAAGCTCAACAAAGACTGATTCAAGCGTATGTAGATATGCGAAAAATTGGTTCCGGTCGAGGACAAATATCTGCTTATCCACGCCAACTTGAAAGCTTGATTCGTCTTGCCGAAGCTCATGCGAAAATTCGTCTTAGCCAGAAGGTTGAAAATGTTGATGTGGAAGAGGCTTGGCGTCTACATCGTGAAGCTTTGAAACAGTCAGCTACAGATCCTTTATCTGGAAAGATTGATGTCGGAATTCTAACGACCGGACTTTCTGCTGCAGCAAGAAAGAAGCGTGCCGATCTTATTGCATTTATCAAAGATATTTTAAAGAAGAAGAATAAGATGAAGACAATTCCTTATCAGAAATTCTTCTCAGATATCAAAGAAAGTTCACAAATTGTAAGTTCAATTCAATTAAAATTCCATTAGTATCGTTTCTATAATTAACATTTTGATTTCCAGTTCATTACACGAGAACAATTTGAAGATGCATTGAAAGAATTACAAGACGACGGTGTTGTTGCAGTAATGGGAAACACAGTTCGCATCTGTTAATTAGTAAAGTTTAAGAGTTTAATATTAAAGTTTTGTCTCTTTTTTTTAATAAAATGATTTCCTTTTCAAGTTAATTGTTTTCTTTTTCTAGATAATAGTTTGAGTAGAAAAAGTTCTGTTCCAATTGTAGACGTTAATGATGATAATTATTAATTAATAAAACTATTCAACAAGTTTAGCTTCTCTTTTTTTATTTAAGCTAAAGTCACAGATTCCTGCAACTTTTTTATTCATTAACTGTATAAAAACCATTCAGACCATCATAAAATCTCAACTGTTGCTTCTTTTCAAGCTTCTTTTCATTGAACAACAACATCAGCATCAAAATTCTTCTTTTTTTCTCTCTACAAAAAAAAGCACAAATCAAGAGAGAACTTTTCTCAGAGAGTAAAAAGCTTTCTCTCAAAATAATTCTAAGCTTCTCGAAAGCTCTCAAGGTTTCATTTATCTCAGAAATTGACATAACACTAACTAAATTGGAAAATGTCTTCAATTATTTAACTTGCACTTGAAAAGAAAAGTCACGCTTTCATTATAGTTTTCCTTTCTTGTTAAAACAACATGCGCTTGATAAAATAAATGCAAATAATGAAATAATGGAAGCCTTTATTGAACTTGTTTATTGTAGGAATTAAACAAATGTCATAAATTATTGTAGGGAATAAGTAATGTAAGTAACAAAAGTCATTGGCATTATTGTTAACCGAAATATTGAATTTGACATTATAAAGAATGAAATATAAGATGATGCTATAGATAATTAATATAGAATAGAATAACAAAAACTTAACAGACCGAATCTTTGTTTAAGAGTGCATCATTTAATCATCTGTTGCTTCAACTTCTCCCCCAACATCAAAAACTTTCTCTCCATTAAGAGCAGAAAAGCATTGAAAAATAATTTTCCGAACACAAAAATATCCGGTATAAAATGCTCTTTTATTCATGTTTTTCTTATTATTTTTCATCAAGCAAGGAATTGGTTCCCATCTAAGGAAACAAAGAGAAAGAGATGCTCAAAAGAAAAGCACATTAAATAGTATGATTTTGGTTTGAAGAATATTGGAAGAGGAAGCTATTTAATTTGATTAGGTAGCTGTGTCGATAAAACATTTTCTGCGCTGTCTAGTCTTTGTTTTAATATTTTTTGAATAACTGCCTAAGAAAGAATGAAAAGAAATTAATTACTCAAATCAATCACTCTATTGTAGTTTCTCCAAAAGTTTTGTAGATTTAAATAACTTTTATTTCTATCAGCTTATTTTGAGCTTATGTTTTTACATTTCTTTGTTTAAGATAGCAAAAATGTATAAACAGAAGACTTAATTGAGCTTATGTCACATTTCATTCATAAATTTATATGATTGATCCACGTGATTGAATCATTTTTTATGCTCAAATAAATCGTATTTCCCAATGTTATGAAAGATTTCTCTAATGATGCATGGCATGCGATATAGAAATTTCTTTCTTCTTTTATTGCTTTCGTAATAACCAGTAAAGGATTCTTGTGTGGTTTATCTTTCTTCCATTGAGTTTTTTAGTATCTACACATAAATCATATCACATTTCTTCGTTTAGAACAGCAACTCGTTCTGACATTCCAATTCCTGAAGTACGTAAAGTGAAAATTTTCTTTAGTGAATTAAATTCGCACATTTTCAACTACATTAAGATTGAAATAATCGAATGAAGCGTTTAAGCGTGGGTAGATTTCTAATTCAACATTTTTCTGTTTTTCCATTATGCATATACTGATAATCTTTGCGAGGAAAAGCTTTCCTCAAATATTTCTCTCTGAAATTTTCTCATTTTCATTCCTCTCAACAATTTCCCCTATTCGCCAGCTTTTGAAGCAAATTTTTTCTTACCAACAGTATTCAACAAATTTTCAACGCGTTCGGTTGGAAAACCGATTTACTCAAAAGTGGAAATTGCTCAAATATTTGTAAAACATATTAATTTTATTCATATCGAAATTGTTGTTATAAAAAAAAAAAGTACTTGTAGAGTAAAAGCTGACATAAAAAAAATTTGTTCGGTCCGGTTTCAGACATTTAAAACTGTGAAGGTGGAAAAAAAATTAAACTAAGTGATAAAGTGTGTATGAAAGAAAAGGAAAAGTAGGGAAAATTATAATTGGCAAAGTAAGTGACCGAAAAGGAAAAGATGAAATATTTATATTCATCTTCGCTGAACCCGAACTAAGATATCTAGCTGATACTATTTAAAGGTTGGCGATTTCTCTTCTTGGATCCTCCAGCGGATTTGTTTTGATCCTTTTTCAAATGTTTTTTTTTCTGTGGTAGAAAGTGAAAGAAATACAACAAATTGTAGAAAAATAGAAAATAAAAGTTCATGAAGAAGTAGTGAAATCGAAAATTGCAAAATGTGAGGGATAAAAGCTGTCATGACCTTGACGAAGGCTGATAGAGAATCGGGAAAGCATTTTTGGGTTTTCTTTCTTTGTTATGTTTCAGTTTTCAGATTTTCCTCTCGCTGCTTTCAATTAACATAAAAATTCAATTTTATTTTTGTAACGAAAATTTAACGCTGTTAACGCGCATTTAAAATCTTGATGAGATATTTTATTAGCGTTTAATTGTTTTGAAGATGATTTCATTGTACTGTTAGGTAGTTCAACTTAAATTAAAACATTTTCTTCACAACTTAAAAGCATGACTAATTACACGAGATGTAATTTTGTTACAATTGCAAAGAATTATAATTTTATTGCTGCTATATTAAATAAAAAGAAACTCTTTATTAATGTCGGAACCAACAGACTTCTTTTTTATTTTATGTACGAAAAAGGTTTCCTTCGTACAACTCGTAATTTTTCACTTGTTGCTTCTTAGGTGGAAAGAGAGATTGGAAAGGAAATTTCCTCAAGTGAAACGCAATAAAGAGTAATAAAATAAGATTCTTATATTTATTTTTAATTTCGGTTGTCCTGGTGATTGATTCAAGAGTTTCCAAGTTTTTAGAAACATAAATGAAAATTATCTCATTAAATGCTGACCAGAAACTTTATTCTACTTTAACTTATGCTTTATATTTGTTGTGCGTGAGTTTAATCTTCGAAGTCTATATAAATAAACTTGCAACTTTGCCAACTTTCTAAATCAGGATAAAATGATGGAGTAATTGAGTTATTGTTGATAGCGTTACGGAAAGAAGAAGGAAGAGGGAAAATAATTTTATCTGCTGTAATTTTCTTCCACACCAAACAGCATCTGCTAAGTATGCTTTCCCAATGGAAAATAATTTAAAAGTAATATCTTTATAGAATTTATAAAAGTGCTCGTGATATTTCATAACAACAACTAAGTATCTTTAGAATAATAACTAAATAAGAAGATGTCTTCTTTATCAAGTTTCAATTGTGAAGTTTCAAACTTAAATTGCATTTTGAAACTTTTTGCTATGGCGGAATGCGATGTAACAAATTTTCCTTCATGAATCAATGACGGATAAATAGTTTATGTGGTAATAGATAGAGGAATACTTTCATTATAAATATCGATCGTTGCACCACATACTCGATTTGTTGGGCTGATAAATGAAGCATTTTATTATTCCTATAATCATAAATTATGCATAAGATTTCTACGTGTTAGTTAGTTGAGCAGAACATGTTTCAGTGTTTTTATCTGATAGAAAGTAAAAGTATCTTTGCAGACAAATAGGAAACCTAAATTAAGGTTTTGGATAATATTGTAAATATCCATATGAACTCAGTTTATAAATATTTGCGAAAACTTTGCTTAATTTTATAATTTTGTCTAAAATATTTGAGATAGTTATGTAAACATTCAACATTTTTTAATATCAAGTTCATGCTTCTAGCACCAAAGCTTACAAGTTTTACCAAAAATTTCATGAAAAACACAAAAATATGTTTTGAAAATGAAAAACTCTTAAAATATTCTTACAAAGTCTCCAACAAAAAGCATTTTGATCTTTTTTTTCTAAATTCTTCATTGAAAACCACACTGGGATACCTTCTAGATACTTACAGTTCAAATTTATTTTCTATAAATATTTGTTCATTCCAAAATATCTACCAGACAGCAGCGTTTATTTATCAAGAAAAAGAAGAAATCAAAAAAAGTGTCAAAGAACACTCGACTTCGTTTTACTCCAATAGCTTTTTTCTAATTTCCATGACTGTCAAGTACAGCAGATTGCGATATCGATTAGAAAGATGTTTTTTCTTCCAATATTTAATTCAAACTTCACTTTCATTCAAGATTAGGTGCTCATTTACTTGAACATTTCTATTACTTAAAGTTAGTTGAAATAAATTTCGTTCGTTTAATTCATGAAAGTAGTGGAAATCATTCAATTATTTCAAACGTTATTCGTAATGAAAATATAATTTCAATTAAATAAATATTCATTTAGTAGCCTCATTTCACATGTTGCGATAAAATAAATTAGTATTCACATGTGAAACACTTCAATAATGAAAGCTTTAGTGAAGCTATAAAGTTTTATTACTGATTTTCTCTTATCAAAATGAATCTGAAGGAAAGGGATTGTTCCTAATTCCACGAAATATTCGTAGAATGTCTAAAAGCTTTTAACGCTTAAGTAAATTAAATTTATACATCTTATCTGTCATGAAGAAATATTCGCATTAAAAATGCGCGAATATTACTTTGATGTAACATAGCAACAAGAACATAAAAATTGTGAAACGAAAATTTTGTGGTATTTATTCACAACATTGAAATTAATGTTATTAACGTGAAAAGATTATGCGAAGGCGATGCTTTTACTTCTGAGACAAAATTATTAACGATGAAATAAAACATCGCTGAATGCGTTCTCAATTTTTCAAAAGTTCGGGCAGGAAAGAAAATATAACATCTGAAGAAAAAAATGAAAGGATTAAAATGAAACGAAGGCAATGAATACCTTTTCTTCATGTGGAAAATTTCTCATTTGTATCAAAGAAATATTTCCTTGTCAAACAAAAGGATAAGATGATGAACATGATTTAAAAGCCCCTTATGTTAAAAAGAATTTTGTATTTATCTTTGAGTGACAAGATTGAGTTCATCAGATTGAAGCTTGCTTGCGAACACTTTTTTTCATTAACCAAAGTCATTCATAGCCCGCATTTTATACGACTTTCATGGATGGATTAATCATCTCATGCTTTTTCTTGTTTTTCCCAAACATTTGACTTTAAATTAAAAAAAAATAAAGCAGCACGAGAAAATGTCGTGGAATCATACACCCCCGCCACTCAGCCCTAGAAGGCCGAAAGTTCAACAATCTTGGGAGGGAACGCCCACGATTAGCCTCTATGATTCAAGTCGTGAATTTTTCGATAGCAGCCAAAACATGCAAAAGACGGGATCACCGATACAAAACCAAATGATCCGAAAAAGTCCCACGAGTCAAGTCAAAAAATTGAATTATGGAAAATATTGTCTGCCAAATCCAAGACATCAAATGTCAGATCCGGGTAGCTATTACAGCATGATTTCAGCAGTACCGAATTCTCCAAATTCCCCTGCCTCTCAAACGTTTGATATGGAACTTTCAGTAACGCCCCAACACTCTCGAACTCCCTTAAAATCAGTCGGTACAAATCGTCGCTTCTATGACGATACGACAACAACATCATCAGATTCAGCACCCGCTACTCTTGTCTCGTCTTCATCATCTTCATCACCACCAAGAAAATATGAATTTGGTGCTGTCAGCCCCAAGCTGGATAATCCAGGTATGCATTAAAAGTTTTACGCTTTTGAAAAATTACCAAATCTATCAATCAAAAGCATCCTTTTCATTTTTACCCACAGGCACAAAGAAATTTGAATACGGCAGCTCAAGTCTAAAAGAAGACCTGAAAACGAAGAACATGGATTTTCATTCGGAAATGGCTGAGCTTTATTGTATCAAAAACAAGAAAGAAGAGGAAAGAGGTAGAGAGAGAGATAGAGATAGAGATAGAGAAAGGGAGAGTAATAAGCCATCATCAATATCACCCTTCTTGGATAATCAAGTTTATTTTGCAACTTGCAGTCCCAGAAAGAGTAGAAATATCAAAAAACGTCACTATAACGTTTCGCCAGATGGTGTTTCATCACTAGACGAATACGCGACAACAACAATTACCTACGAAACTAACACTCCATCTGGTGGTCGTCGAATGTCAATAACGATTTCTGATGGAAACAGCAGTAGTGAAATGAGTAGTGAACCACCAGTTATTGCTGAGTCAATGGAAACATCAAGTCTTATAACACAATCAACAAACTGTTCACGCACTACGGGATCTCCTTTGCCATTATCCGGACTTTCACTTGTGTCAGCAACTACTTGTAAGATTAATCCAATTTTAAAAATTAAAAATAGCCAATTTAATTAAGTGTGAATATTTATGTACAATGCAAGCAGTCGGTACGATGGATTCCATGCAATCGCAAGCAAATCGACCAAAAAGCCTTTGCAAGAAAATTGGCGAAGAAGCAGATGATGTAATAACTTCACAAGAAAATCTACATGTCGATTTACATAAAAGACGACATGCCATCAACATAACAAACAATCCAGGATATCGAGTGAGTGTAATATAAGAATATTTTTATACTTCGGATTTCTTATCTTCGTCATGGAAACTTTGTTTTGAGAGACAAAGATGAAATGTCTTACATACAATATGAAAGTATGGAAAAAATTTCCTATTTCCTTTCTTTCATGAAATGGTTCAAGAGTTTAATTGAATAAAACGTTTCAGACTTGATGAGACGAAAGTTTATTACCGAAAAAATATTTTCACCCAGAAAATCTTTAAAATAAATATCATAAATATTTTTGCTTTTCAATTTGCTGGTCTACTCTTGACTCCTAGCAACATTCATGAAAGCAAACGTAATCAAGATTCATGAAAAGGTTTTTCAACAAGCATTTGTAAACAACTTTCTTAATCTATATTCATGGTTCATGCTTTTTTATTTCATAAAAATTGATATCTTAAGAGATTCTTCAAAATTTCCAACAAATTAATTTTTATTAAAAACAATTTTCTGCTTATCTTCGACACTTCAAGGCTTTTAATTGTTTCTCTTCCTTTTCAAACACGAGAACTGTTTTAGGAAGAAAGTAATGGAACAGCTTTAATAGTTGTTAGTCGTTGTTCAATTCAATTGAAACTTTATAAATAACTAAAACAATTGCCAACTTTGTCATTTATAAATTGTATTTGAAATTAAAGTGATTGCTTGCCATTAGATATAAAGTTTTGTAATGGAAATTATTCTTATCAATTCAATTTTCTCTCTAATTCCATTCAAATAACCCTGAAGGCTTTGCACAACTCTCATTCAACTCTCGATAGAACATGCAGTGACAGCATCGTATCGCTTAAACATAGAAAATCAACAAGTGATTTAACCAACGATGATTCCTATCGTAAAGAAAATGAGAATGTAACATCAGCAACAGCTGGGGCATCAGGAAAACATCGTCGTAGGGGAAGTTCAAAGGGTGGTTTAGCTTATTTAGTGGAGAAGCGAGATTCGCGACGTGGTTCGAGGGACAGTGTCATGTCACAACAAACAAACTTTTCTAACGAAGACATTGGTCCCTTGACTAACTTTCAACAAACACAGCGCGGACGACAAAGACGAACTTCCAATTTCCTCGAATTGCCAGGTAAAAATGAACATTTTGATTTCTCGAAGGAGACGTTAGGATCTTAATAAGTTATCCTTTATTCATTAAATTATCATTATACTAGTTCCGGATCATATTCGCCCACGTGTTTGTTCACTGCCAGACCGTCCATATACACCTTATAATCCAAGAGTTAGTGAAGATTTGTATAGATTAAGAACATTTTCAATCAGCAAAGGAACTGTCGTTAATTGCGGAGATTCAATCATTTCACGTCGTTCGAGAAGCAACACATCTGTGAACTCTACAACAAGCAGGCGAGTACACTAACTTTATGTGATTCAGTGTCATCAAAATTGAATTAAAGTTGATGATTAATATCTTAATGATCAACGAACTGTATTGATTATCAGCTGAGTTGAGTGACACAGCTACTTGTTGTTTGTTTCTTTTTTTTCCTTTCTTATCATCACTCCGAACTCAATCAATTATCATAGCTTTAAGCCATTAAGCTGCCATAAATATTTACATTCGAGTCATAGAATGCTTTCAAAGATAGCAATAATCAAGAAATTAGTGACAGACTTCTATTAAAAGTTATGCTTCACAAAACATAATACATAAGTGCTGACCCAAATCTTTGTCTTTTGCTTCCGTTCATTTATTTTTCGCAACTTAAAGACTTAAATTTCATTTTTCTTTTGCTAATGGCTTTCTCAACTGTAGCGCATTTAAAATGATTAATTACACATTTCCAACTTTCCCCAATTCTCAGTAATAAAAATATGAATGAAGGTAAAAAGAAAAATATGAAATAAAACCTCCATGAAATAGCGAGAGGAAAAGTTTTCAGAGAAATGAAAATATCTTCCAGGAAAATTAAAAAATATGTCTAAAAACTCGAGGTTCATATCATAAATTTTAACATAAGTGAACTGGGGAGAGATTGTCTCAACGAAGTCGGAAAATTCAGTTGTATGTTGGCGAATGTCTTTTCATCTCCACACGGAAAATTCTAGAATTGCAAAAAAAAAAATCATAAGTGAAACGAAGAAAATATTTTTGTATTATATTTTGTAATTCTTTGCGACTCACGTCATAAGCTTCACTTGCTTGTTATGTCAATTTCTTATGTAGCATCTTACAAAACTTTTTTTTTCGGTAGCTTAAATCGTAACGAAAATTCATTGGATTAATAAGACATTTATTTTATTTTGTTTGAAGTCAGAAAGCTCTTTAAAAGCTTTCATCAAAAAAATGAAAGTTTAAGCGAGCTTGAAATCTCTTGAAATGTCATCTTATGATGATGGCCGTCAAAGAAATGAAACAGCATCCACTTGTGCAATTAGTTGCACAATTTTTAATTATTTTTTTTACTCAAACGTCCCAAGTAACCTTAAGATGAGAGAAAATTGTCATTGATGTAAAGCAAATAAAGCTTTAAAGTGTTATCATGTTAAGATCGAAGAATTGATGTACATAGTTGAATGCGGGGAAATATTTTCCACTTTGATTCGTTGATGAAACGTGATACCAAATTCCATTCGATACTTGTGAAACCGCTTTTCATTATAACAATGAACATTCTTTCCCTTGACTTTGTCCTATGATGTTTCATTCAGCTACACATCAATACATTTGCTCGTTTTATTTTTCTTAAGTGCTGCTTCTTCGATTCACTTGTGAAAAACTGTAAAATATTTTTACCTTCTCCATGAAAAACCTTTCGAACCTGTTTAGGTGAATATTTCTGGTGTTGAAAATTGTTTTCAATACTGATGATGCTCAAATTTCTCATAAATTTTCCGTATCGTTCTTTTCATATATTCCAGGTGTTCTATTTGCCCTTTTTCATATGTATACACTTTTTTTTCATGAAATGTTATCGAAGCTTTCGGTAATGTTTGCAAATTGATAAGACGACGTTCTATAACTTTTCTTTCTTACGCAAATGTTTTTCAATCGATTTTTCCCACGCGCAAAAATCGCTTAGGACCTGCGGTTGATAACAACAAGCAACGTTCAATAATTCATGGATTATTTTTTTAAAGAATGCTCGACACAGCTAAAAAATATCTTTATCAAATCAGCTTTTTGTCAGCAATATTGAGACTTTAGGTAAGCGATTTTCAAGTAAGACTTGTGTTAGATTCATGTCAAGTGGAATACAAAGACTTAATGTAGATACAAACTTTTTAGGGCAGAACATTTATTTTTTTCAAAGGTATTAAAAGCATTGCTTACCACCCACGGATCGCAGACAATGAAGTAACCTAATTCATAGACTTAAAGCAAGAATGTCGAAGTCAACTGAAAACAGCGCGACTCATTCATGAATTCATGAAAAGAAAATCGAATGAAATCTTAACAAATCATGCGTTGGCGTATGATGAGAGAGATAAAGCAGAATTATATAAAAATGATGATGAAAGGAGAAAATTTTGTTTTGTCTCGTCAATATTCATTCGTGAATAAAGATTTATGAGATTCACATCGATTTTCTTTAACCTGCCAATACGAATAAGATAAATCATTGACAGGAGACTTGAGATTCTTCGGCGTTTCTTATTCTTTTATCATTCAATTTGTTTCAAATTACATGTTGAATATAACCGGGGAGATTGATGACAAATTGTAATGATAAATTATTTGTTTGATGAATTTTGTGTTACATAAATTCAGATTCCAATGTAACAGTAAATTGAGAGGGTTTTGTTTATATTGTATAACAGATTAAAAGCGAATTCATTGATTCTTGAATGTCTACATGAATTCAATGACTGATCCTATTAGGTAAAATGGTAACGATGAAGATTAAATTGATATGTTTTGTATAAAGTCGAGGATGGATGTTAAACTTGATATCAAATTTTTTTATGTCAGATCAATGAACTGAATTAATTCGAAATTTGAGGGAATAAAAAAGTATCAAGAATGACGACCATTAACCTTCATGTTATTTAATCAGTTCAATGAACAAGTTTCGTTCGAAAAGGCGCGACTCATGATTAAATTGGAAAATAAGCTGTTATCATACTTCTGGTTCGGAACAAAGAAATAAGAACATGTCAAGGCAGCAATTTATCGAAGTTTGATCGTTTATTGCTTTGTATCGATAAATTTTTACATCAAAATATTTCTCATAAATCAAATTCACATAAATTACCTGTTAATGTGTCGAATTAAATTGAAGTTTATTACGCTATCATATTCAAGCATGACAGGAACATTGTGCTTTATAATTTGATACGAAAAATAATAAAAAATAAAATATTTTTTTATGCCTTCCGGATGTTTATGTTTCAGCTTCCATTGTATAAATTTCCCGTTCGTTGAAGCTAAAAGCTATGACGAAGGAATGTTGATGCCTTTTGTTTCAAAGGCAGACAAAAGAAAAAGCTAACAACAGAAGCCATGACAATGACAAAAAGTTTTCCGGAAATTGAATCAATCAGTTCGAGGACCAAATGTCATGATTTTTCTTCTTCTTCTTCTCCTTCATTCCAACCCCGTTTTGAAGATAATTGCGACTTAACAACAATGAAAGCTTTTATCAATTTCTTTTCTTTTTCAGTTCAAATAGCAAGCTCATTCTCATTTGGATACTTATTGAAGTATTTTGCATTTGAATGTGAGGATAATGCGTAAATTTGGGTCAAATTATTTAACTTTCTGACTGTTCATGCAGAAACATTTTTTCCGTTTGACCTCGTTTTCAATTTTATTTTTTTCAGTGAAGTAAAAAAAGTCAAAACATTTGAATGATCATCGTCAAAAGCAAATGAAGTATCATCGAATTTATGCAATTATGTTAGATAACTTTTAATGAACTCTCGAACATAATTAGAATGAAAATTTATGTTAATTTTGAGGCAAAGTTGTATGTTAAAGTCTCGGAAACTTTGTACTCGTACATCTCATTGTTTTCACTTCATTTCATCCTCGTACATGATTATATGAAATAACAAAGATAAACCGAGAAATCATCGTATTTATGTTGCGTTCAGAAACCTTGTATCATCGAAAATAAAAACTTTGAGATGAAAAAAGCGAATTCACGAAAAGATGGGAAAAAACTCATCTTCGAAGATGAAAAAAGGGTGAGAAAAGCGTACGAATGCGGAAAGTTGATTTAGTTCGGTTTATTGAAAATGAATTTGTATGGAAGTGCTATTGATGATATTCAAATGAAGTCTTCACACTTTATTCCTGACGAAAGGAATCGAATGTGAAGAGAACTTTTAATATTTCTTTATTGATTTTGAGTTTAGATAAATTTTATCTCGTTTCCGATAAATGTAGAAAATTGTTGCTTTTGGGGAATATCGAATTATTGATTAAAATTAGTGGCTCATAATAATTAATCTTCAAATAGAATTTTATTTCAAATCACAGAAAACAAATTTGTGGCAGTTTAATCAAATTAATTTTGGGCACACGCGCTTATCGGACTTTGACGACGAGCATGGCAACTCAACAGGATATTTTATTTGCTATCGTTGATCTGTAATAGCTTTAAATCATACCCTTAAGTTAATCGAAACGTAGATTTCGAGGCGAGTGACTTTCACTGCTTCCACTCAGTGTGAACGAACGCAAATTTTATGGTAATTTTTTCGACTATTAAATTAGTTGAGGAAAACATCTGCAAAGCATTCACAACGAATAATAAAGTCTCCTGTTTGATAAACAAAGACAAATTACTCGAAAATTTTCTATTTCTGATAAGCTCATTTCCAAGACCGACTAACTCAATTTCTGTGTAAATTTCTCTTTGTGCTCTTACGTGAATAAATATTAAGCGATTTTTTCTATCTTCACTAATTTTGTTGACTTTTTTCCTTTCTTCATTCACTTCACGATCCCAAAACCGGCTGTTTTTGGTTGAAATAAAAAAAATATTTAAATTTATGACGCAGATAAAAATATTACACCACAGGCTATAAAGCTATTATGATAATGGTACAAAAATTGGGTTCCTTCGATTGACGATGAACATCAATTTTATGCTGTTCAAGTATCTTCTTTTGTTCATCCTTTGCTGTCAATGGGAGATTAAATGCTGAAAAACATTGCTTTTTGTTTGATTCTCGCTTTTGTACCATTCAAGTCATGCAACACGTTTCACAAACATTAACAAATCCTCGAACTTTCATAGCAAGCCCCTTCAAGCATTGATAAAGTTAAAATAGATTGTCAAGTTGTTATTCATGCGAAAGTATTTATTGTTTTAAAAATTCTGGACATGATAATGATGTGAGATGAATGAAATGTGACGTAAGCAAGGAACAATCAAACCTTAATTAAAATTCGTACATTTTTCCATTTTTTTGTGGAAAATCAATAAACAAACATTTCAAGATCATTTTTCATGCGTCATGTTTGCATAAAGTTAAATAAGTCTCGTTTATTTTTGATGTCATTTTCACCTTTTCTAAACATCACTTAAACAACCCTTCAGATGCAAACATAAATAAATTAAGCCTTTGAGGTACTCAAAACTTAGATTAATCTTTTAATTAGGTGCTAGAAGCGACAAAGATGAAGAGAAACTTTTTGAATCTTCGGAATCAAAAGATTATTTTTTTATTTCCAAATATTTTCATGTTGAACCCGGGCGAAAGTATTTATTGTGCTTGAGCTCTAACCGTAGATGAAAATCAATAAAATGAAATGACATTGCCGAAAATTGTTGGGCTGCGTAAGTCATAAAAAAACAAAAATAAAAGAAAGAAACGAAATTGAAACGAAAAGAAAAGCAATCGGAAAAGACTTTAAATCCATTAGGGAAATTCAAGTGTTTGACATGATTGTCAGTTACCGGCTCGAGAGGCTGAACTTTGTATTATCGATGAAATTCATTTTTAATGTTTAACTTTAAAGCTAAGTGATCCTAAAATTTGTCCTGTTGCAATAGGAAAAGGAAAATGTTTTCCACATGATTGATTGTTCTATTATTTTGCACCATTTGATGAACTCAATCTAGAGAACCAACATCACGCACTTCCCAATGTTGTTGCACGTCTTCATACGCATTCCTTCTATCTATTATAACAACAAAGGCGTGTCTGAAAACCATTTGAAAAAGATCTTAAACGTGAGCGAATGAAAAAGAAAATTAGAATTTTCCTAGATTGAAAGCTTACTAAAGTCAAGATACAATCTCAACCAAAATATATGCAACATGATGGATGACATAATGTTATTCACAAAAGCTGTATCATGATTAAATATAGAATCAACAAAACCTTCTTTAGTTGAGATTGTAAATAGATTAGAGTTGTTATTATGAGCCCATAACGTCAACATGTGATCTTAAATAGAAAGCATATGGGTTTGATTAGCTGCTTTAATTCAGTTTGATTGAGAGGTAATAATGTGAAAAGAGAAAGTTAAGAAAATAATTAAAAATGTATTTCATTGAAATTGTTAAGAGAAAAGTGAAACCAAATTTATTAATAAATGAAGTTATTAAATAATGAAAAGGATTTGTTCAAGTAACCAACCGTAACCTGTCTTAAGAAGAAATCTAGGGAATGTTAATTGAATTATTTATGTGAAAGGAAAATCGAAACTGCTGTCAAATTAAATTTTCTCATGTCATAAACAAACTTATAATTAATTTAATTTAATTAAATTTTGGTTTAAATACATTCAGCTAGAAAGTTAACTTCCGTGAACTGAAATTAATGTTGATTAAATAACAAAAAATCATTTTCAACAACAACTCAATGAATAGCATTAGTCATGGTTCATTTTGATTCGTTCCTTAATCATTCGCTGCGGGAGTTCTTCATACGCAATTATTTATGTTTGAAAAGGTTCCAAAGAATTTCCCTTGAAATGAAAATATGAGAAATGATAATTGTGAGAATTAAAAGTTGGCTGACTGCAGGGGTCTAATTACATTTTAACCCTTCAAGAAGAATTTTCAATTTCTTTGCCCTTCCTTCGCTTGTTTTGCACACAACTCGCATTAAACCGGATTAATGACTTTTTAGAGAAGAATGATGTCATGAACAGAGAAATATTTTTGGAACTTTAAGTTAATCATAAACATTTTTCTTTGTTTTCTTCATCTATTCAAAATAAATGACAAGCAAATTAGATTTATTCTATATGCATGTGAAACTGATAAATTAACATATTGTCATTTGATAATTATCTTCTTTTGAAATGTTAATTGAGTAATGCGAGATGTTTATTCAGAAATACTTCATCAAACTTTTCACATTTTGTTTGGTTTGATCCTCATACATCACTGAAATTATTTGTTAACTTTAACATTTAAACAAATGTATAAATAAGTAATTGATAATGGGTAATTAGAAAAGAATGATAGCAGCTATTTTACCATAAAGTAATTAATTAATTAAATATCATATTCCATCGATTAAAGAGCGATACAATGAGCAACAGAGTTGGGATTTGACTGACTGACTGAAAGACATTGACATGTCAGTCAGTCAGTCAATCGAGTTGAACGGAACATTTGCCCATCTCATTGAGCAAACCTTGAAGTAAACAATGAGTTATATTAAACTGAAAAGTTATCTTCGTTCTCATCCAATTATGTATCAGAAATGTAATCTTTTCAAAGTATAAAAGCAACACAAAATAAGATTATTTAATATCAATTTATATCGTCAATAATAACATGAAATATTCCAAGAATATCTAAATCATTGTTTAAAGTTGAAAGTGAAACTTTGGACAATTTCAATGAAAATAAATGCTCTTTTGAATTAGTTATTGAAATTAAATTAATTATTTCGCCTTGCTGCTCTAATAATTTCTTTTTTTGTTTGAAGATTTTCTATCTATTGAACGAGAAAGTTTAAAATATTTTACGTGCCGTTTTTGTTCTCTTTATTGAAACTTTTCTATATTTTAAAATTTGTATTGGTTGTTCAGTATAAATAATGTCGAAATAAATTATCTATTTTAAGTTCATTAGACAAAAGAGTGATGATGGTTGAAATATTTGTGAATTCAAGCATTTGATTGAATAGATTTTTTCATATGCTTTTATTTGTTTAGTGCGAAAGCTCCATGCGTAATTATTAATTTATGAACATAGGATAACTAATAATGAGTTATGTGAATAAGCATAAATAAACTCAATTAAAAATTTTGCAGTCTAATGTTATTAATATTCTGATAATTAATCATAAGCACTTATTGACAACAACGGTTTGAAACTTTCCCAATGTAGCTTTCAACAATCAATCATGTCTACTCACTAAATAATCATAAATTTTCTTTATTTATTTTCCCTTTGCATTATCACATTTTCTGTAGATTAAGCGAGCGTTCACCTTTTGATGGCTCTTGTTGTGGGGGTTATACGGGAGGTGATGATACGAAATCATGTAGCAGTGACAGTGAACCAACTCCTTCACCAAGATATCGTGTTGTTATGCTCGGTGATTCAGCAACTGGGAAAACAGGTGAAATTTAATTTCTTTCGTCACTAAACTTTCATTTTAAAAAATCGTGGTTTGATTATTAATACGATTTCTGAACTCGTCATTCTCTCTTTTTTCACAGCACTAGTTAATCAATTTATGACCTCAGAGTATATGCATACTTACGATGCATCCCTTGATGATGAATTTGGAGAGAAGACTGTAAGCATTCTACTAGATGGAGAAGAATCTGAAATGATTTTTATTGATCATCCTGCAAGTGAAATGAGTGTAAGCTCAATTTTTCACTGAATAAATTGGTTTTTTCTTCTTCTACAAGATATTTCAATCAACAGGTAGAAAACTCGCTATCAACTTATGAACCGCATGCTTGTATCATTGTTTATTCCATCGTTCAGAAAAGTTCGTTTCGGTGTGCCGAAGAGATATTGAATTACTTATGGCGTGAGAATGTAACAAAAGATAAGGCTGTTATTGTTGTTGGTAACAAAGCTGATTTGGCTCGTTCACGCGCCATTTCGACTACAGGTAAATAATTTCCTCAATTCGACATATTCGTACCAAGGGAAAATTTTCTAAATTCAATTAACTTCTTTCTGCTTAGAGGGTAAACAATTAGCAGCAAGTAGAGACGTTAAATTTATTGAAACATCAAGTGGAATACAACACAATGTAGATGAATTGCTTGTTGGAATATTAAAGCAGGTATATATTTAAATTATGCTCTTTACTTTATTAATTACACTTCCAATTAACGCTTTCTTGCTTTGAAAACAGATTCGCCTGAAGGAAACTCGTGAAAAGAAGCAATCATCGTCAAAGATGAAGAATTCTCGCACTCATTCATCTCTTCATATGGCCAAAGAGATTCTTCAGAAGATTTGCTTCAGTCAACTCGACATTTCCAAATCGAAGAGTTGTGAAAATTTACATGTCTTATAAAGAGAGTTTGTTTCTTCATGCCCTTTCTTCATTGGATCGAGTCAGTCAATTAGGCCGAAAAAAAAGTTTGAAAGAAAAATAAAATCCGAACGAGCTCAAGTCTTTAATAAAGCGAGACAATAAGACTCTAGGGGTTCTAAGACTTAAAGGTTTTGTTTGCGTAGTGAGTTTTCTTTTGATTGTGAACTTTGAACTTTGTGGGTGAAAATTGAACCCCAAATATTTAGGGATTGTTCGTAACTTAAAAAATAATGCTCGCAGATGAATTTTTCAACACAATTTTCAAGGTCTTTAGTCTAATGTTTCTCAAAACGATTCTTCTTTTGTCACTTAACCGATGTACATTCCCTATATTGAATTTATTTAAAATAAATAAGCTCAAATTAAATGGCTCAACATAGAGATGGAGAAACCTTTGAGACCTGAATAAATTAAAAGCAAAAGAAAGAAGAAAATTCTTCCTCTTGTGCTTCTTCCACATCTGAAAAAATCTCCGAGCTTCGGCTTTCTTACCCGCTCGCAAATTACGTTTGAATGAAAGTAAATTTATGTGTTTAAATATATGTGAAAACATTGAAGTAGACAAACGGCCTAAACATAAATCACACGATACGCTTCGATGCGTAAATGTGAAGTTAAATTAGGATCCAATAAATTCATAAGATCGAACGACAAAGAAGCGTTCCGTGAGATTTCCTCAAGGGCGAATAATGACAATTAAATAAAGTTAGATAAGTGAAGTTAAAACGACCCTTAACACACTTCAATAAATTTAATCAAATATTAATGCAAAATAAGTTTCATATATCGCACATATCGCTGATTCCTTTTATGTTATAAATTAGAATTGATGTCCAATGTTTGTGGCCTAACTAAACTTTTTGATGCACGCTGCTTTAACACATTTAGAGTCTTTAAAAGGTGATGAAAATATTCTTTTAGCTACTTATATCAAAGAGTATTTATTTAGATAAGCAGTAAGTCGAAAAAGAAAAATTTTGATATTTATTTTTGCTATGGAAAAAACAGGAAACTTCAAAGCATTTGGTGGCAAACAAATATCTATACTTATGTGGAAACATAAAAAATTCAGTGTTATTTGCATAAACATATTTATTTACAAAACTAAATCAAAAACTTCAGTTTAACTTAAAAGAAAATGTAAGCAAAAGTTTGAGTAAATATAAGCTTTAAATTAAGTTCAGTTTAAACACTTACAAAATCTTCAACAGAGACAAACTTAACAAGGCAGTTAAAGTTTAGCTTTAGTTTTCTTCTACGATAGCTTTTTAATTCATTTGAAGTCATTTTAACGAAGTGTAAACACGTAGAGCTAAAATAATTAAGAACGTACGATTAATTGCACTAAACAGTTGAATGGCAGAGTCGCATTCTTAATTTTAAACTTTGTAAAACTTCGAAGTCTTTTATTATGATATAAATTGTAAAGACGTGAAATATACATTCAAGTATGACAATCAATTAAAACTTGCAACAATGTTTCAGGTTGAAAAAATATGAGATGAAAAAAGCAGAAAAGATTTCTTAACAAGATGACAAAACAAAAGTTGAAGGAAAAGTTGTTATGAAAAGAAGGAAAAATTAGATGCCAGTTTTGAATCAAACTTTCTTTTGTTAATATGAAAAGAAAGTTTCTATATAGATGATATAAATGCAAGAAAGCATAAAAATAATACAAAAAACTAATGCAAGCCAGAAATATTTGCTAAACTTCATTCAGAGTCATGCATCTTCGTTCTAAGTAATCTCCTAACACGAGATACATTAAATAAAATTCTCCTGCAACACTTTGTATCTTGTTTAAATATTTGCTAACAAAAATTAAATTAAAGAAGCAAAAGTTCGTGAAGGAAAATTCTTTTCGTGTATTTTGTAAAAAGTTTCATTTAAAGTTTAAATAAAGCTTAAAAGCTCAAAATGTGTACGCAACACATTTACATTAGCTCAGTATGTACTTTGTTTAGATTGAGACGAGTTTTTAAACAAAATAAGGAGAATTCTTAAACATGAAACTTTTTCATCTTTTCAATCGTCGTTGTGGTTGTCCGGGTTTCATTCAAGGTCACTTGATGCGAACCAACAACGAATCGTCACAACTTCAATTCTAAATATTGTTTTCATTATTTTCACAATGTGAACTTTCAATGGTTTCAGTTCATTCATCAACGACAAAAGGAAATTTAGGTCAAGAACTTATCTAACTAATAGAATCTAACATTTTCCGGATGGACTTGTATCGATTTTACAAAGCTTTTTCTTTATTAATTGAAGCTTTGAAACCAACTTTTTTATTATCAGCTACTTCAGGTCAATTTCTCAAGTTTTAAAATAACTTAAATAAGATGCAAGTGATTGAGAGTTTAAGGCATCCAAAGCATATATTTAACAAATAAAATGATAAAGTTCTGAAGATAGATAATATATAAAACAGAAAAAAAATGTGTAAAGGAAAACATTATAAAGTCTGATAATAAATTATAAGAACCTAACAAAACTTCCTGTTTTAATTAATTTTTCTTACAGATAAAGTTCATTATGCAACGGAAATATGACGTTGGCTACGTTAGATTTTAAATTGAATATCAACAATTTTTATCAATGCCACGAGAGCTTGATAAGAGTCTTTCAAATTTAACGAAGTTGATAGGAAATCGGCAATAAAAATATCATACGATAAGTGATAAGAGAATTAAGAAACAAAAGTTAATGATGAAATATTTCGATTTATTAATTTAGACGTTACTTAAGCGGGAGCGGACTTTATGACCGAAATTCTTAATGAAAGCTTCGTAAGGTGTAAGTTCAGTTTCTCTGCAGGTGACCGGATCTCCAGCAATACAACGATTAATTGTGGCATCAAAAATGTAGAACATGGGGCATCTGAATTGAATCATGTTAAAGTTCAAACAAACAAAGAAATCCACACAATTATCGGGGTCGGGATGGCGATGAATGGTGTTGAAGTTATTATCACAAGCGTCATCTGGAATCTGGGGAATGATAAATTCGCATGTTTCTGCGTCTCCCGGACGGCATGCAATTCTGTCAACGTCGAATATATCTCCTGGATCGCAGCTAAAGTCAATTCGTTGTCCAATCATGCAAATGAAGAAATCGACACAGCTTCCTTCTCGGCGAGAAACTCTGAAAAATTCTTCGCTGCAATCGATTTCTTGTCCCATCGATGGTGTGAAAGCCAATGCGATCAAAGCTAATGCAATATCTGCAAATAAATTTAAATATTTTTTTAACTCTTCTGTTTACATTCTTGCACTTCTGATTTCTCTTTCGATTAAATTTCACACAAATAAAATATAATAAAATAATAAAATTACTCACAATGCTTCATGATTATTTTTTTCTTAATTTTTGCTCCAATTCAGCGAGGGTTTTCAATGAAAAACTGAGCAATAATGGTTGAAAATAATTTTCTTCACATTACTTTATGTATTTTATATTTCGAAACTTTAATCTTATCAGCATCTTCCCCGAGTATTAAAGAAGCTTAAGTTACGATAAAGAAAAAAACTTTTGATAAAACATATTCTGCTTAGTATCAAGTCTTTTGCTGCAGTTTTTCAATTTCATGTGTAATAACTTTCCCCTCAAGTTTATTTATGAAAAATTTTAAAGCACAATTGCACTAAAAAGATTTAAAAGAATTTTTGAATTTCAATTGCTTTAAACTGAAGTTAAAGGGAACTGTTTAAAGTAAATTCTGTTTAAAGTAAAAAATATATTTTCGTCTAACATAAAAACAATTTCATTGTATTTACAATTATCTTTCGAACATTTACAATGACTTAGTTTGCTACACACGTTTCTCAACTGCCAGACACACAACTTTCATTCACTAAATCAAATATGAAGTCGGGGTCGCAATGGAATTTTATTAATTTGTAATTGAGATAAATCACGACGTCCAAACATGAATGGCAAGGGAACAAAAAGAAATTCAACCCTTTGAAAGTAGAATTCAGATTTGCTTCCTAAAATCTTGAGATCTCTTGTCCAATCAAATTCCAAAAGCGAATGCAATCCCTTGCCAATACATGAATTAAATTCTCATTTATAAATGTCAATTTCATTTCAATTTGATGTTTGATTAGTCTTACATTAATAATAACAAAATATCAATAACTTCTCGCAATATTTCATTTTTATTTCTTCGAGACACTCCTCTGAGGTTTACGATGGGGCAATGAATGAAACCAATCTTGTATTGAAAGTTTAAGTGCTTTTCAATCGTGACATTAATCTAATCAGTTGTAAACTTATTAATGGTATTGAAAAATGTCGCCTTAGATAAAATAAAATTACAAAAAATCAGAATTATTTGTAAAGGAAGTTTTAAACTGCTTTAAACTGCTTAAAAAGCTTTAAACTGTCATTCGTGTCTCTTTCTCAAGTTTCATCTAAACTTTGAGCTTTTTATGAGCTTTTTTAGTCATGATATTTTATTATTTTACAACTTCAAAACGCCCATAAAAGCTTCGAAAATGACGCAAATTGCACTCTTTGAATGTCAATTCCTTTATCTAAAAAATCATATCACATTCTTAGATAAAATGAAATCGGAAAGAAATTTTGATTGTCTCAGTTCATGTTTTGATCGCAACAAAATCAGACCTAGACTGTTTGGAATTTGAACTTCTAAAATTGGATTTAGCCTTGAAAATGGGATTAACTTACTGTAAATCATTGTTTTCAAAATCAAAGACGGAAACTTCACCTCCTTATCAAGTGAATGGTCAACCATCTGTAGCACAGCCAGCAAATGCTGCTGATTTCCAAATTTCCACAGTTCAAAATGCTTTGGATGGTGAGTTATGTCACAACTCTCAATTATTTTGTTTAAAGATAAGAATTAAAGAAACAAAAAATTGTCGTCATCTTGCTAAGGATTCTGAATGAGATTCGCCTTAACTTTCATTTTTAGAAAGCCAAGAAACAACTCAAACAATAGCAACCGCATCTGTCACCCACAATCGTACCAGTGATGCAGAAGAAAACATCGAAAAAATTGCATGCAATGAAACTGTCGTCATTGTAGGTGGAGGGCCATGCTCGCAAACGTGCGCTGAGAATTTACGTCAAAACGGTTTCCTGGGTCGAATCGTAATGGTTTGTAAAGAACGATTCTTGCCCTACGATCGATCAAGACTCAGTAAATTTATGAACACGACAATCGAAGAAGCCCAATTGAGAAATCAAACATTTTATGACGAAAATAAAATTGAAGTTCTTTTAAATGTCAAGGCAACATCGTTAAATACTTCATCTCATGAAATAAATCTAGATTCAGGAAAAATAATTAAATACAACAAGCTTTTCATCGCAACGGGATCACGCCCCAGGAGACCGAATATTCCTGGTGTCGATTTAAAAAATATTTTCAACCTACGCGACATCAATGAAGCAAATGAAATTAATTTGAATCTTAAAAAATCTTCCCGTGTTGTCATTTTGGGTTCAAGTTTCATTGCAATGGAAGCGGCTGCTTATTGTGTTGATAAGGTAGCGAAGGTTACAATCATTGGACGTGGTTCAGTTCCGCTTGCTGAAGAATTTGGAGAGTCTATTGGGAATCGAATAATGAAAATGTTTGAATCACAAAATATTCAATTTATTATGCACAGCGGGATCGATAGCTTTATGGCAATTAATCAAGAGGAAGCATTAAGTGCCGTGAAATTAATCGACGGGCAGATTCTGAAAGCCGATTTATGCATTTTTGGTATTGGATCTGAATTGAACACAGAATTCTTGCATGACAGCGGCTTAACAGTCAACAGCGATGGATCGATTGACACAAATTCATATTTGGAGACAAACATCCCGAATATTTATGTTGGTGGTGACATTGCCAACAGTCCCATCTTCACAAATCAGAGATCGACAATCGGTCATTATGCTTTAGCTCAATATCATGGGAAAATTGCTGCACTCAACATGATTGGAATGAAGACCGAACTCAAAGCTGTTCCGTATTTCTTCACAGTTATGTTCGGGAAATGCATTACTTACACTGGTCATGGATCTCCATCAGAAATCTTCATTGAAGGAGATTTGGAGTCAATGAAATTCGTTGCATTTTACTTTGATGAAGCTGAGAATGTTATCGGCATGGCATCATCTCAACCAGATAAAAGCATCGCTGAATTTGCAGAAAAACTTTCACAAGGACAACGTTTTGTTAAAAATGATTTATCAAAACTTTTTGGTGAGTAAAGCTTTAATGGATAAAAATGAATGTTTGTTAGATCTCTTAAGCAGGGCTTGAAATTTGTGTAATTTGCAATTTAAATTCAGTAAAGTTGGGAAATTATCATAAGAACATGGATCGTCCATAGAACATTAAAGTAACTACGTAGTAAGATTTAATTTAGATTTCCATTTTTTATTTATAAATATGAATTTAAATTCTGAAGCTGGAAAAAATACACAAAATCAGATTTCAATTCTCAACTCTGATTTTAAGTTTTCTCATTGCAAACTTTCTAAATTGTCTTCAATTGTCAACTCAATTTTAGTCTCCTTTTGTCAAAGTTTCTTTTATCTTTCTTTACCAACGCTTGTGTTTCTTAATGCTACTGCTTTCTATTTGTTGTCACTTTTGATATAAAATTTCAGAATATTAAACTCATAAATGTGTTTGTTGAATTTTGAGAGCTTGCGTTGACTAATCATTAGCTAAAGTACACATTATTAATCATAATTAGTTTAAAGCTTCAATATTATATATTAATTTTCTTTCTGTTTGGTGTATGTATTTAGACATAGACTTTTATGAAGACATCAAGAAAAGCGACGTTTCGAAGGAAGAAGAAATTGAAAAGATTGTCTGTAATGAGTCGGAACTTGAAGACAACTCAATGAGAGAAGTTGAGATGGAAGACGAGAAGAAAATTCTGTTGATAAAACAAAATGGAAAGATCTCAGCCATTGGAGCTAAATGTGGTCACTACGGTGCACCGCTTGTCATGGGAGCTCTTGGTGAAGGCAGAGTTCGATGTCCATTTCATGGCGCTTGTTTCAATATTGAAACTGGAGATATTGAAGAATTTCCTGGATTAGATTCGATTCCATGTTTTCAAGTGAAAGTAGAAGAAGGCGTTGTTAAAGTGAGGGCGAAGAAATCTGATCTGAAATCAGATCGACGAATTCAGAGGAAAACGTCGAAAGTAATGAATTCGAACGAAACATTTGTCATTGTCGGTGGTGGGCCAAGTGGTCAGACATGTGCTGAAACATTACGTCAAAACGGATACCATGGAAGAATAATTATGATTTGTAAAGAAAACTTTCTCCCATACGACCGAGTGAGAGTTAGCAAAGCAATGAATAAATCAATTGACGACATTCAACTCAGACCCAAAACATTTTATGACGACAATAAAATTGAAACTTTTTTGAATACTGAAGCAGTTTCACTTAACGCATCAAAGAATGAAATAACTTTGAGTTCGAACGATATTATGAAATATGACAGAATTTTCATCGCAACGGGATCAAGAGCAAGAAAACCGAATGTTCCTGGCAGCGAACTCAAAAATATCTTCACATTACGCAACATCAATGACGCAAATGAAATTGAGGAAAAACTAACTTCAAAGAGCCATGTTGTAATACTTGGGTCAAGTTTTATTGGAATGGAATCTGCCGCGTATTGTGCTGATAAGGTAGCGAAGGTCACGATTATTGGAAAACACGAAGTGCCATTAAAAGAACTTTTTGGTGAGGCTATCGGAAAACGAATCATGAAGCTTTTTGAATCGAAAAATGTCGAATTTCTTATGAGAAAGAAGATTAAAGCCTTTGTTGGAATTGAGAACCTTGTCGGTGTTGAATTAACGGATGGGTCAAAAATATCGGCTGATATTTGCATTATGGGAATTGGATCTGAATTGAACACAGAATTCTTGCATGACAGCGGCTTAACAGTCAACAGCGATGGATCGATTGACACAAATTCATATTTGGAGACAAACATCCCGAATATTTATGTTGGTGGTGACATTGCCAACAGTCCCATCTTCACAAATCAGAGATCGACAATCGGTCATTATGCTTTAGCTCAATATCATGGGAAAATTGCTGCACTCAACATGATTGGAATGAAGACCGAACTCAAAGCTGTTCCGTATTTCTTCACAGTTATGTTCGGGAAATGCATTACTTACACTGGTCATGGATCTCCATCAGAAATCTTCATTGAAGGAGATTTGGAGTCAATGAAATTCGTTGCATTTTACTTTGATGAAGCTGAGAATGTTATCGGCATGGCATCATGTCAACCAGATAAAAGCATCGCTGAATTTGCAGAAAAACTGACTCAAGGTTATAAATTTCATAAAAATGATATCGAGTGGGTGAATGAAAACTGATAACTTCAGATAAGATATCAAATATTTGTTGAAGTATTTTTGGTCAGATTAATAAATAAAGCCGATAATTGTTTAAGGAAATGATAAAGTTTGATAACTTTATTTGTTTCAAATCACATTCTCGAGACTTCCCCCCGGAGTACTTAACTGTTTGATTAAATTGTGAGACTTTGTCATCAGAAAATCTGTTAATAAAAAGTTATTAAATTTGTCATAAAATGATTCGGTTTTTTTCTTTTTTTCGATATCAGACAGACTTATTTATTCAGTCGTTTGATTTCCTTTTTTAATTTTAATTCATAATCGTAATTAAACAGGAAATGGTGGGTCCAAAGTTTAGTGTTTCAGTAAGAAGTCAAAATCAAATTTCTTTGGTTTTTCGTAAGGCACAATATCAATTGCGTATTCACAGGTGTCTGGATAACTGGCACGACATTCAATTCTTTCTGGATCAAAAATGGTACCTTCGTCGCAGAAGAAATCAACACGGCTTCCAATCATACACACAAAGAACAAGTGGCAATCAGTTTCATCGAGATTTGTTCTTGAAACTCTGAAGAATTCTTCAGCGCAATTAATTTGTGCGTTTGTTGATGCAAGGATTGCAAGAAATGCTAATGCCAGGACTATGAAAAATTTAACAATTATTAAATAAATTCCTTTTCTAAACATTGAAATCCACCAAACTCACAGAATTTCATTTTGATTGAGCTGAATTCAAACTTTTGCTTCTGTTCAATAAATCGACTGAAACTATTTTGTCTTTAAACTTAACTTACGCATGGGCTTTTAAATGAACGTGATAATATTTTATGACATCCTAATCTTATCATTTTAGTTAGTTTCCTTTCTGAGAGATTAAAATAAAAAGATTATTGAAATAAATCTTTTGATAAGATAAGATTCGGAATTGATTACAATTTTTTTTTTATTATTTTTCAAAACTAAATTAAGAAAACTGCATAAATATAAGATGAAGACTTCATCATGAAGTTGAATGACATCTAGTTAAATTGAAATTGCATCCTGAACTTTTATTAAAATTCGTCTGGATACTTACTAGATATTGTTGAATAAATTATAAATAGCCATTAATTATTTAAAGTCCACTGCTTTAACAACTGGAAAAATTTATCTCTACATAATTCCCAACGTTTGATCCCTCATTAAATAACATCAAAATATCTCATTATTTCCTGTAATTTTCCTGTTGTTTATTGTTAAAAAAAGGTGAAATATCAAGGGACAAGATTAATTAAGTAAGAAGTCGAAATCAATTTTCTTTGCTTCGTAAGGCACAATGTCCATTGCGTATTCACAGGTGTCTGGATAACTGGTACGGCACTCAATTCTCTCAGGATCAAAAATGGTGCCTTCGTCGCAGAGGAAATCAACACGTCTTCCAATCATACACACAAAGAACAAGTGGCAATCAGTTTCATCGAGATTTGCTCTTGAAACTCTGAAGAATTCCTCCGTACAATCAATTTGTGCGTTTGTAGATGCAAGCATCAAAGCGAGAAATGCTAATGCAAGATCTATGGAATAGTCAACATTTAATTAAAAACTGTTCACTTCTCTCACTGCTTTTTTATTTAACTCACAGAGTTTCATTTTAACTGCGATGAAGTTTCAACTTTCCCTTTAGTTCAATCGAAAGGTGCAAAAATTGTGGTGCAAATTTAATGAAAAGTGAAGCTTTTAAAAACATTTTTGGAAAAAATATAAAAAGTCTTTTTTAATCTTATCAATAAAACTGCGTTTCCTTTTATTTAGATAAAGAATTGGAATTACATACAGAGAGTTTATTTGATAAGATACTAAAGTGAGACGTTGACCATAACAATTACAGAAAATTTTCCCATTGCATTTCCATTGGGTTATCTTTCGAAAAATATGGAAATTAACAGAAAACAAAGAGAAAGAAACTTAGAACGAGACAAAAGTTGAAAATTGAATTTATTTTTTAAGAAGTTTCTCCATGGCGCTAGTCCAATTTAAGAAAACGCGTGGCCAGAATCCTAAAATTGGAATATCAGAGAATCTTTCAAGAAGTGGCATATATAAACCGGTGACATTATCCCAAAGTCCAATAATCCTTTTGATTGGAATTGTTTTTTTGTGGCTTTTAACTTCGTGAAGCAATAAATGAAAAAATGCCATGGGATCACGCCATATTTTAGGGTCATAAAATTTCATCCTAGTTTCTCCACATTCGTTGTAGTGTTCCAAGAAATCTCTGCGAATAAATGGATTGAAATGATATTCGTCACCCAACTCATGTTCAACAGTGAACTGAACTCTCTGATTGACTCGTTCAAGAAGACCCGCATATACTTGAGGAGATTGTGTTGATATGTTAAACAATAGTTGAGCTATCATATCATCTTCCCATCCTTCCAAACTTTGTTGAATCATCCTCATGTCTTTTTTTCTTTCAAGAGAAACTCTAAATTGTCTACGCATATCGTACAAGTCCGTAACATGATTATGAATCTTTGGATAAGTATACATAAGGCTGAGTTTTTGTTTTTCAGTAGCAGCTTCATAAGTTGGATGAACTGTATCAGTATCACAGTCACTGGGAATAGACTCTTCGGAATCTGATCCTGTATATAAAGGAAAGTTTTTCACCGCATTTTCACGAGCGTTAAAGAACATTTCACTAGCATTTATAGCAGCTTCATTGAAATTTGATAAAAATGTATTTGCAACATCTTTTGCAGTATCTGCGGCATTTGACAGAGCTTCGGATGCGTGCTCAACAGCGCCATCAACTTTTGATGCAGCGGCATCATCTTCATCTTGTTCACATTCAGGACATTCTTCCTCGATGGTTTCCTCGCAAATTCTTGGAAAGCTAGTGTTATTAATAAAACAATAAGTAATGCGCTCCTTCTAATAACATGCACCACAAAGTTCATTTAAATTTATAAAGTTACCTTCCAGTCATAGACATGTTTTCAATATCAATTTAAATAATTTCAAGAAAACAGAAACTTCTCTCTATAAAGACAATTTAACACTGACGATGATTTTAATAGAGCAGACGCGAGATAATGTATCGACAACTCTCTTTGTGAGAAAATTGGAATGATAATGAACCAGCCAGTCTTTTGTTTCACAACGTTCTTCTTACTCTTTTCATTAACAGAATGCAATGTGCATTGATGATATAATAACAAACTTGAAGGTTTAATACAAAATATTCCAACTTTACAATTCGCGATGGTATTTGAGTAGCTGAAAATGAATTCATTTAAGAAATTTGTAAGAATCTGTAATGAAAAGTTTAAAGTTAAAAACATCGAAAAGCAAAATTAAAAGGTTCAATCAGAAAGATGGCCAACTACATAAAAGGTCGCTTACCTAAGAATTCTTTTCAATTATATCTTTAAGAACTTGATATCTGTTCTTCTATTACCATTAACATTGACAGCTATTAAAAGAAATTATTTTTAACAAAAGAAATCGAGACAGAAATATCGTGATTTGATTCAAGTCTGGAAATACTTTTCCTACTAATTTTTTTCTTCTGAAATTGACACAAAGAATCTGCTTCTTCGAATTGCCAACGATACGTTTCTGAGCAACCAAAAACGTTTGAAACAAATTTAGATGCTGCAAATCTAGCTGACTGCTCAGAAACAAAATTAAGTTGTAAAGCAATTACCTTCTTTCCTGCAGGAGACAATCTGTAATAAAATAAAACTTTCATCTAATATTGATCACTAGAATTAAAAACTTTTTCTTTGTTTAGCTATTCATTTTTCGATTTATATTTATTTATTGATACATCTGAGTCGCTTCTTTTTCAAACTCTTATATAATTCTATCTTCTTTTCTAAGCGGAAAAAAAAATATGAAACAAAATATGAAAGTTTGCAGAAACAAATTATTATGATAAGAAAATAAAAAGCTTACATTTGAAAAAAGAAAACTTACAAAAGCTTGACCAGAAAGTTTTTTCAGTTTAAATTTTTGGAGTTGATAAAAATTTTGAAATTTTATTTATGTCATGTAAGTAAAAAAGTTTATAAGAAACCTAGAATTCTCTTTTCCTTTTTTTTCCTAAGAAAAATTAACAATTCAAGCAGTTATCTACAAATCTAGGCTATTTATGTCACTATTTGCTCTCTCATCTCCTATAACTCTAAAAAGCATGATCACATTTCAATTGTAGCCTAAATGACAAACATACAATAACTTAAATAAATTTTTGCGACTTTAGTCGAGGCAATAATTTATTATCATTAATGGATTCATCTCTCGCTTAATGGATTTGTGGAGTCGTCAAATAAATCCTTCAAAGATGTTTACTAAAATTTTATTCAATTTAAATTTGTGGAAAAACAAAACAATTTTTTGTTTTTTTGAAACATCAACTTTCGATTTCCTCCCATTATTGTTTCAATTTCATTTCATTCATCTCAAACATGTGTAAATTTTTCTTGATTTCTATTTTTATTCTTCTTTATCATTCTTATTTTTTACAATTTATTCAATCATTTAACATTTCGCAAGCGACGACCCCAAATTTTTTATTTATTTATATTTTTTGTTTCTTGGAATGACTTTCGATTTGTAATCAATCAATTGACATCTTCGGAAGAAAGAAACCCTGAAGTTGATTGGAGCGAAAAATTGAACGAAAAAAATATCTTTTGTCGTGTTTGTCTCTAAAAGCTAAACAGAGCCCTCAAATATATAAGCTGAGATCTTTTTTTCCTCTACAAAGGATTTATGCTTGTAATCGCTATTGCTACAGGTGTTTGGAGGTTGAAAGTAATTGTTTCATTTTTTTTTCTTAGAACCATTTCACCATTTACATTTATGATGTGTAGAAATACTAACTATTTAGTATCAAATGATTGGAGCTATTTCAAACAAAAGGAATTTATCTCATTTCGTTTTGGTTGAAAGCTAAAGTCAATCAATTTTCATGAAAATTTAATCATTTTTCATCCAACCCGTATTATCAAAAGTGAAATACCGCATCACTACAACAGTAAGCTTCTTTCATGTCCTCTAACGCAATGATTAATTATCATGATTCAAAAAGCTTAACACTTTCCGCTCTTTATTGTTCGCACTTTTCGGTTAATTAACTTTTAATGGCATTGACTTCTGAAAGCGTTTCTCGTTGCTCTCGCAAAAAAATAAATATATAAAGTAAATGAAATGCGAGTTCATTTATTGACTTAAACGTTTAAAAAACAAAATGCGTAGGAGGATGAACAACAGAGACCTCTCACGTTCAGGATGGGTGTGAAATTACTTCACAATTAGCGTTTCTTTTAGTCGACGAACCATATGAAATCCAATGTCACGTACGTCAGGCCACGTTCGAACGACAAATATTATAAATAATACAGAAAGAACGGTTGTAAGGACACGAACTCTGTAATGAATGAAATTATGCACATATTAATCCTTTTAATAACTCATTAAATATATTTTTCTATAGGGAATTTTTATGAAACGTCAACGTTATGTGCTAAATTTCCTAACGTACGTATCCTATTATGTACGTTCATTGTAATTCAAGTTAAGTTAAATAAACGTTGACGTAAGCATAAATGAGGAAGCAAAAAGCTTACCTAGTTTTGAGAAACGGCATAAGAATTCCAGCAGCGGTTGCTGTCAATAAAAGCACGACTTGGAGTATTGTTAAAACTACATTTATTAATTTTACAACTAAAGCACGTGCATTTGAATTGTCAATTCCTTCAACAGTGAATTGTTGTTGTGAAAGATGCTCCATTTTCTGAATCTAGAATTTTGTAAAGAGAAGATGGTAAGAATTTAATTAAGCACAATGTTGTATCATCGCGGAAACTCACTCTTGTTTGGCAATTTTCAAGCACCTCATGAACGTCTCGTAATCTTTCGTCACTTTGATATTGAACCTTTTCCTCCATGTCTGCCATTGCTTGCTTAAGGTTTTCAATTTCATTCTGTAATTAGATTTGAGGAAATTAATTAATGCTTTGAGTTAAATTTTATTTAATTACCTGATGGAGCTCAGTCAGATCGTTGATTTGACCTTCAAGTCTTTCAGCACGATAACGTTCACTTTCAAGTGCTAAAGATAAATCAGCAAGCTCTTTTTGTGTTGCCTAAAGTCATCAAGAAATTTACATTGAAATAACCAATTTTTTTTGACGTTGTAATTTTTCATTTTCTTATCAACTCACCTCTAGTCTATCAATTTTTTGTTTCATTTTCTCGAAGTCTTCTTTCCTCTCTCGAAATTCAGAAAGTTCAGCTAACAAATTAATTGCCAGCTGTTGTGATTTATCAACATCTTTATTGTTGCAATTGTTTCCTGCTCCACCACTTCCGCTACCTGCTGTATGTTTACATTTTAGGAAGAGTCTAAAAATAAAAGAATTTTAATTAAACGAGTGGCAATTATTAGAATGAAGAATGACTAACCCTCCAGGAGCACTGTCACTTGTCACACTACTGCATTCACTATCATGTTCTCCACTGAATTTCCCGCTGCTTCCACCACCACCTCCGCCTAAATTATTTGAACTGATGTGCCCTTGCGTTACTTGTCCATTGTCACCAGCAGTATTCTCTAAGTTAAGAACACCTTGTCTATGTCCCTGACCATCCTGATCTGTTGTATACCAGGAGGCTTTAAATTAAATTATTTTCTTTTATCAATATTTCAAGTTCACAGACACACAAGTTTTATTCTTTAATTAACGGAGTATACATAGGTATGTGTATGTAGATAAATATTTGATGAAAAGTTATATCTAATAGAAGAAATATATTGACTTAGGTCATGAAAACGTCTCGACACTAACATCTGTTTGAATTTGTCATTTGTTTACTACAGCAAAAGTATTTAAATCTCATGATTCGTTAAAGTGTCAAGTAAAATATTCATTCATTTAGATATGAGAAGTTAAGTTTACTGTTTGAAATACAAAAATCTACTGGAATATGAAGCGAAAGTCAAGATAATTAACAAATGAATGTTGATTAAATATAATCTTTCGTTATCGATGAAAACGTTATCAGACTTCAAGCTGTGAAAGAACGCGAAGATTAAAAGCAACCAGAAAAGGAAAATGAAAACAGTTTGAGAATCTCTGGTTTTGCATAAAGATAATTAATATTTATCATCATCACCTAAATATGACCTCAAAATGTTAAATATATATATAGAAAAAAAAACTAAAGCTTCGAAATAATCGGATGAGATCGATTACAAAGTAAAGGAAGTCGTTGGCTGTTGTCATAAGCAATTATCTATTTGAAATGTGTGTTTATGGGACATGATTTTTTTCTTTGTCTAAAATGTTTACTCACTTGACGACATTTGATTGATGTTATCAGCACTACCGAATTTATTTTTAATCAAATGAGCGAATTCTCGTGGCTTTGACATAACAGAAGCAACACCTGTTGTGACGCCGTCTCTAATATTTTCACCAACATTCTTCAAACCTTGTCCAACATCTCGAAGCACTTCTCGTGGTTGTCGATAATCCTTTTGTTGTTGTGCTTTCATAAGTTGCTGCTGTTCTAAATCCTTGTATCTTTTATTGTATGATTCCAGCTTCTTTTGAAGCTGTGAAATGTTATGTGCGCTTTTCTGATTCTTTTTTTCAAATACGGCTTTAATTCTCTGGAGTTGAGTCTTGTCAGCGCTAGCTGCTAACTTCAGGTACTCATTAACATTGTCTAAAATTATTAATTACATTTCTTCATTTAATAAATATTAAACTTTTGTAGGTAATTTAATTTTAATTACCATCTCTTGCAGTCTGCTCTCTCCTTATACTTTCTTTGGTACATGCAATTTTTGTTGTAAGTCGATCAATTGCCTGTAAACTATTTGTACGTTGATGACGACTTGATGGCGTTGATTGATGAAGTTTGTAGTCACTATCGGTATGCTCCAATTCTTCAGAGTTTAACGATGGATAACCGAGAATGTCTTCCACAATTCTCGTTTCATCATGATACAAATCGATATGATCTGCAGTCATCTCAGTACTTTGCTCTTTGTTTGTATCTCTGTCAATTCTTTCACGTTCTCTGCTTCGTCGATTTGTTGTCGAAGGACTCTGATTGCGGAATCGAATGTTTTGTGATGATGTAATTCCTGGTGTTGAGTCGTTTGTTGTTTCTCGGTCTCTCGACACTAAAGTGAAAACATTAAAATCATAAAACGTCACAGAAAGGAACAAAAATATTGTTAGATTGATATTGACATTCAGAAAAACATTAAACTTTGACAACTTCAGTTAGTATCTTATGGGAAAAGGTTTATTATTTTGATATTGAGTCATGACAGAGTAAAAAAATGTGTTTTAAAAATAATTTCATGTCAGTGTGCCTCGGGCAATTTCAAAAAAGACAATGAAAATTATTTTGACAGCATCAGATTTATTATTACTCTACACTTGCAATTGTCATTCTCTTCGTAATCAATCAAAAAAATTTAAAAAATTCATGCGGAAGAGAAAAAGAGATGAAATTCAATTTAATTTAAAGTTGTTGCATGCAAATCAAATCGCGAGCAATCTCAGATAATTTTGCGATGATTAATGTTGTTGATGCTGTTTTTAATTTTGTTTATTTATTAATTTTTTTTTTGCGACGAATTGAAAACAATCTTTCATTCATTATTTATTACTAAAAATAACTGAACAAAAAATATTTAATGATTATTCTTTCAATTCTTTGATTGTTCAGCTCAAACATTCTACAAATTTTGTTGAAAACAAAATTCAAATTTATTGTCTAATTCAAAATAGTGAGCGATAATAAGAAATGAAGCCAAAACCACACAAAAAGAAAGTTTACAGTCAAAAGTACTTTTTCTTGCTTTAAAGTTGTTGCTCAAAAAGTTTACACAACTAAAAGTAATCAATTTGCATCTCACTTTTTTCCTTCAATGCTTCTTGGACGATGCTTTGGGAAACTTTCATTGCAAACGAAAGTCGGGCCTTGATTTATGTAAAATCAGCGGTTTCGGTGGTCTCAGTCTTAAATAATTATCGTTCTCGATTCAAGTAACTTCCTAATTATAGCTTTGAGCATTCTACCAAAAAAATTAATCAACTCAACAAAGCTGCGAATTCTTGTGAAATTGAAAATCGCTTGGTGATGACAAGAATTAAAATAAAATATAAAAATAGCCAAAACTAAAGTTTCAGATCTACTGATTAGCGAATACTTGGAGCGAAATTTTTGATAAAGAATTTCTCTAAACTTATTAATTTTTCTTTAATATTTTTTTCTTTAGCTCAACGAAATTAAATGGATTTGAATTCAAAAATCTGAAATTGAAAGAAAATTAGAGAAAATGAATTTAAAGAAATGCAATACATTAAGTATGTAAATATGTAAATGTGGAATATAAAAGTGATGTGAAAATAAAATCAAAAACAATGAATTGCAAGCACAAATTAATGCGAGTGGGTGGGGAATTCTTCAAGGTATTTCTTTTTTGTGACTTTTAATTAGAAGCATGACATGCAGGATATTTGAATTCTTTTCCTACAATGACTTATTAAAGCGTTAAATATCGTAAGAGAGAATCTTGAAACGAGTTAATGAACAAGCAACTAACACTCACAAATTGCATTTAAAATAAAGGAAGTGAAATTTTATTACGTAAACATTGTCAGATTGAATCATGAATTTCAACATTTCATATTTTTTTTGCATTCCATTTCTAATTTTATGCGAGTTAAAATTTCCATGATTCCAATCAAAATAAAAATGATAAAAAAACGGAGACAAAATAAAAATAAAATCCAATCAAAAGCAAAACCACGTTATACCTAAATTGTGTAAAACAAAATACAAAGCTTTCAAGCTTCGAAATCCGAGTGTCATATTAAGAGCTGGCGTTGATTCAATTTACGACTCGTCTGATGATGATTATGCCATATATTTGTTTCGCCGATTCTTCTTTGTTTTGCGATGTCATTAAAATGTTTAGGGGTGAACAATCAAACTAAACCAAAAGGCACGAACAGTGACAACAACAAATGTTGGAATGATAATGAAAATATCACAACTCAATTAAATTAAAAAGAGAAACAGTCAAAGGTTCGACTTTCTTTTTTTACTAAAGTAATTTTTCACTACGATGAAGAAAATAATTTTTTCGTCAACACTTTTGTCTTTGTTGGTACATCAACGGAACATTCAACAGATAAACACAAATCTAGTGACATAACAAATCAATTGTTCAATTTAAACAATAAAGATATGCTTTTGATTCCAAATTGTATCAACACGTCACTAAATACAAACACTAAACAACTGCTTTTCTACTTAGACGGTTAATTACTTTGTTGTTGTTCATAACGAGACGGCGATGGTGTGCGCGACGAATGTCGACTGCCACCTGATTGTGACGCTTGAAATACTTGCAATGTGTCCATTTAATACTCAAGTCTTCCACTTGTTGATCAAACACTAGAATTGCTTTGGTTTCTTTCAGCTGATTTTCGTTTACAATTTTCGATCTATTTTTAAAATATTTTTTGTGATTCCAATTTTCATCGATTTTTCGGAAAGACAGTCCACTTGATGAAAACTCAATCGCTCATATGGGGATTTTATTTTTCGCGTTTTGAGATGAATTTGATTGTCTGTAGAGAGAAAGAGTGAGAGAAAGAATTGTAAATTAAAGATCGTTGTGCTTAATATTTTTAAAAGTTCAATTCACATAAAAATAATCTCGAAAGGTCGATAACCGATCAACGAGAATTTTTTATGTTTTTCGATTTACTCTTGTTGTATTTATGTCGCTCTACAAGTGCTATGTAATCTCAGTAAAGCAATAAAAAATGTTCATGCGGAGAAATATTCGGCACGTGTTTAAATGGAAGCGACAAAATTTATGCAGCACAATGCATTGTCATGGTTCGATGATATTATGAGGGAATGAATTCATTCAAATTTAAGCTGTTTGAACTCGGAAATATTTCAGTTCATTAATCATAAAACAGTCAATACTCAATTGGACATGTTGTTTTCCCATAATTCCAAATTCCTAAAATTCCACTATTATTGTCGTAAGCTAACATTCTTCTACAAGTTGTTTCTAGAAAAACAACACATTACTATCTATTGTGCTTCTAGTTAAATATTTATTTTACTTTAGGCGTTTTAAAAATTCTTAAAACTTCGATAATCAATGAACAATTATCAGGAATACCCACGAATAGTTATTGATAAGTAATTGATAACGATATCAATACACAATTTGAAGCTTTTATTTTATTAAACATTTAATAAAGTTATTCGCTTTGTTAACAAGCACAATTTATGAGGTGACGAATCATTAAAATATTTACATACATATGTACGTGCGTTGATAAATAAAAGCGAAGTGAGGAAAAAAATAATCAAATTGACCTTTCGACTGTGCTTAAATAAAAAGTTGATGCGACGCGCGGTTAGAAGCTTGTGAATAAATATAAACCACTCGGACTTTATTCAATTAAGTTGCAAACTTCAACAACTCAACCATTTAGATACTTGATATAAATGATTTAAAAAAGTTTTTCTTTGTAATGATGAATCATCATAATTCGATTAAAAGTTTTTCTAGTTGCATGATCAATGAAAATGACTCAATCTGTGACTGATTTTTATTTCCGAATTATTAAGTGATAATGTGTGAGCGGCTATTGAACTATGCGATTGATTTAAACTCAAATTTCAACAATCAATCTTAGAACTTTTCTTTTACCTTCTTTTGAAACGGGTTTGACATTGAATGTTCCAAAGTTTTCATCTTAAATTATATGACTCGCCCTGTTTCCGCGCGATTGATAAAATACCATAAATTATTTATCGAGACACTCCTTTCAAGTCAGACGATTACGTATGTTGTGTGGGTTGTTAACATTCTGAACTTTTACTCCTTTATTAATAAAAAGGATCAGAAACTATCGTAACCATTTGTTCTTTGCCTCAAACTAACCATTGGAACTGAATAAGTTCTCACTAAAGAAAGCCAAGTTTCTTTCTATGATGAATAACAAACCACGCTAAATATGTAGAAATTTTTTTATTTCTTTTTCCCCAAATATTCAGACACGACAAAGGCCTGCCATGACAATAAAATACTCAATTAAGTTTTCCGTGTTTCACCCAGCCCCAAAATCAAAAAAGAAAGAACTTTGTAATTAAATTCGTAGCTTTAACTATACCGCAACAAATTTTTTGTTTGTCTTCTCTTTTTTTTGAAGTTAGAGAAATGTTTTGTTTGTGCAGACACATTGGCGAGGAAAAGTTGTTAAAATTTCTTTTATGATCATTAAATGATGAGAAATTGCAGTGAAAAGTTAAATTACTTTGCTTTATTTTCTGAACTTTAATCATCTTGACCACTTGCTTTCATCAAATCTCTTTTCAACAGCAGCAATTATGACTCTCTATCACTAATAAACAGCAAGAGATATAACAGTAGACGCCAAAAATATACGAATAGGTCAGAAATGTTTTTTTTTTTGCTAATGGACTTTTGCCGTTCTGCACGCTTCGAATTTCTTTTTTGCCTGCTTGCTTTCTGCCTTTTTCTTTTTTTCTTTTTTAGACTGAAAGAATGCTTTAAGTAACTTTCATTATGAATAACGAGCGACAAACATGGAATAGAGGCGTAATAGACTTTTAGACTTTTATATACGGATTTATTTCAAAGAAGTAATTAAAAAGGTTAAAGTCTGAAAGCTTTAAGGTTATCATCATGTGCTTGTTAATTCTGCTGCTATTTGCTAATTAAAGCATCAATTGCCTTTATGTCTTCTTTGTTTCTTTTTTTCATTTGTGATGATTTATCATTTTCAACGTGCAAAGATTTTTTCTGCTTAGCTTCGAACTTGGCATAAATTCTTAATTTCTTTTTCAATAAAATCCTTATCAAATGATTATAAATTAACAACACTTGTTTAAGTGTTTAATCTTGAAAAAAAAGTAAAGAAATTTAATAAATACGAGTATGACGTTGTCGCACTGTCCACAAACAATTATCTTGAATTCATCGTTTGTATAAATTTCAGGGAGTCAATGGTTAATTTCTTACGTCAATGAGCCATTTATTATTCATTTGTCGCTTTTGTAGAATTTGAACCTCTGTTAATTTTTTGGCGTCTTATTTCATAATTCTATTTGTCATTGATAATGCTTTTTAATAAATTTGTTTACAATCATAAAGCATAAGCAATTCATTGGAGGGAGACTCGCTTAATTCGCTTGTGCTTTTTAGAAGGTCACGTTAGGAAAGAATTTCTACACAATGTGAACATCATACAAAACTAAATTTTAATCACATTGGATTACGTCACATGTATTTAACCAACTGTTTCGAGATTCTTAGTCGACATAAATAAATTCTGAATTTCTGTGTACCTCCGAAGCTTGTGTCGTGTGCTTAATCTTATAAGAAACCAGATGCTACTTTATCGTTTACTGAAAAACTAATATGTATCAAAGCTCTTTACGTATTAACTTGTTTTTATTCTTTACGACATGGCAACTGTTGGAAGCCCCAAAGTCATAAAAAATCCACGATTATTAAGGCACATGAGAAATTAAAATAAATTTATGGGAACTCTTAAATAGTTGAGTTTTTGTTTTGACATTGAGATATGTTATTAAAGCAAACAAGAAGGAATTGCATTTTTATAAGAGTTCAACTTCCACTCACAACAATCATCAGAAATTTCAACTGGTTCGTCGTAAAAGCAAAATATTAAAAATTATTTTTGAATTGTTTTCATCGCAATGATCAAGCTTTAAATCGCAACATTTCACGTTCATATTAATTTGATATAATTTTCCAGCATCTCGCACATCACGTCCACTTCCATCATGCAATGACTCCGCGTCCCCAGATATATTTATGTACAAACGTGTAACTTATTAAACTCGTTCTATTAAGATAAAACTGCAGTGGTCAGGTTGTGTTTGATTGTAGTGCATCAAGCTCCCTTCTCTAATTGACGTAACATCAGAAAATTATAACTTGAAGCGGAATTATTTATGATAACCATGACGCCAATGAAAAGTCGATTCCAGACAATAACTTGAAGTTTTCTCGTCACTTCTTTGTTTTTCCCTTTGAAGGAATTTCTCGGATTAATAATTTACAAAGACTAAAAGAAAGGTGACGATGTCATAAAACATCCTTGAACGAGCTTTAGTTCTTTATTACTGTTTGAGCTGGCACTTTGAAATAATTGAATTGTTTTTTAATAAGAAAAAGGCACAAGATTTAGGTTAGCTTTTATCAGCGGAAGTCCTTTCCTTTTACAAGTTTCAAGAAGGAATTATGGCACTTTTGAGTCAATTTCCTACATTTAAAATAAAATACTTTGTAAGCTTAACCTTGTGACTGACTACATCAACTTCATAAAATATCTTCTACCTAGCGAGATGAGAGGAAATGAAACTTTGTTGTCAACTTTCATAAATTTATGGTAACTAACAAAGCTTAATATTTTGATTGGAATTGAATAACAACATTTCGCTTTCACAATGCAAATTCATAAGATGATGAGAAGTTTGATGAAGAAGACAAAACGAAAGGTAAAAATTGGCAACATTGCAAATTAAAACAAAATACGAAGCAATGAGTCAATTGTGTGGAATGATTCAAAAGATCACTATTTAAGTATTGGAATGCTATCAACCATAATAAACATAGCAACTGCATTGCTTAAGCCCTGTGTAACGTTGTGTTGAAAGAAGGAAGTCAATTCAACGACGATGCTTTAATTTGATTAAATTAATTCAGAAAGGCTTTTTTTTTCTTAGTCTATTAAGCAATTTTGGACGGGCGTTAAACGACTGACGGATGAAATCGTTTGTTTAGTTTTCTACTTTCTGTAATTTCATGAATGACTCAATTAGTTTTTAACAATTTAATGAAAAACTGCAAATTTTAAATTTTTGCTGGTGTTCTTCGAGATGGCGTGAAATTAATCGCGTGAGAAATGATTCCAGATGGAATGACGAGGATTGCGTCAAACATTTTAATGAACATCTAATAGGTTTAATTATAAACGTTCGAAAAGGAATGTCTGGATATCATCACAAAAATAATTTCGATGTTTTATGTAAACACAAACTGTTTGAAATGTTTGTCCTTGATTTATCACATAGAATTGTAAGATTAAGATTGAATGACAGACTTGGGTTGGGTGTGTGGAAGTATTCTCATGAATCTACTTCGAATTCATGCAAAAAATAAACTTGCCAATATTTATCCATGCAAGGTTGTCGTTTGTACCGAATATGGAAATAAATTTACATGAACTATGATTTCTCACGACAAAAGTCTTTTAGAATGTTAACGAATCTAACATCCCCACGCCCTTGCTTCCCATCTTTATTCGATCGATTTGGTTTTGCTTGTTGCTAATGTTTTAGCATTTATAGTCACATTATAAATGAGATTATCAGAAATAGCTTTAAATGTTGACCTTTGTTCTTTGACCATTTCACAAATGAGACTATGCTCGCACAAATCATGTTAAGTGGAACGAAAACGAACTAAATTAAAGATGTTAAAGTTCGCATCGAAACGCCGAAAATGATATCATAAATATTTCAAGTTAAAAGCGGCTATCAACAGAGTGAATCAATAAAGTAATTGAAGACTCATAAAGCATGATATATGACTCGTATACATTTGATGGGTCATCGTGCGAGTATAAGCAGCTGATTACAAACATTTTCACGTGAAAAATAAAGTTGTCACAACTATTTACTTAAGAATTGGTGTGATTTCAGTAACGATTAAATCACTTTCCGGTTATTTGCATAACAAGTTTTATTAATTTTGTTTCGAAACAGACAGAAATTCTACTGCGCTTAACGAAATCCCCAGATAAAGTGAAAAGTAGAATGAGATATTCTGCTACCAAAAACTTTTACTCACTTTTTATGTGGTCGCTGCTATAATTAGATGCACTATTTATGTCTTGAGTTGTTTACACTAGTTGTCTCTTCTTTCTCCGCTGTTGTTTATTTAAACTCCACTTAATTTCAAGTTCAATAGCAAATCAGATTTGTTAACTTTACGAGATAATCGCGATAAATTCCGATTTATAATATGAATGATCTGATGTGAATTTAAAATTTTTGATTTCCTTCCCCGGTTGTTTATTTCCACTCTTGTTTAACACTTATTAGATTTTGAAGCACTTTTGCAATATTAATTTGATAATTACTGTAAATCCGGTGTTTTATTTCTTGTTTTTTATACAGACGACAGATTGAGACCAATTTAAAGATTTACGAAAAATCAATTTTCTGATACACTCCTTAAAAATTTACGCGTGTTAGGAAACTTCTAAATATTTTTTTCTTTTGATAAAACGTTCAAACTACTTCGCCACCAATTTTATGACTGAATCTTACTGATTCTTTAGTTTAAGTAAATAAATTTTCTTTTTGATACACTCGAGCGGACGAAACTAAACTTCAGCACCTAAAATTTTACGCAACAGCCTTCAAGTGTAGACTTCATTCAAATATTTTGCAACCGTTATTTTTTAAAGAATAAAAAAATTAACAAAGTTAAACTTAAGTTAAGTTTCAAATCGAAAATCTGAGTTTATTTTCATGAGATTAATGTTTTAAAGACATGGAAATGAATTTTTGTCTCTAGGTTCATAAAGTTTGCCTCATTTCACAATATAAATATTTAAGCTTAGATTTTGTTGAAAGCAGCAATGTCCACAGATTGAACGAAATCTTCAAATTCTTGAATCTTTTCCTGCAATTCATCTACAGATACTTTGTCATCTTCAATGACGCACATTATTTGAAGTTTCTTGATGCCATATGCAAGAGGAACCAATTTAGATGCTCCCCATAATAAACCATCCATTTGAACTGTTCGCACTAAGCGTTCCATCTCCTTCATATCGGTCTGAAAAATGATGTGAACATAAAAAACAGTAATTGACGCAAATATTTATGTATGTCTACCTCATCATCCCAAGGTTTTACATCCATAAGGATTGAAGATTTAGCAATTAATGCAGGTTTCTTTGATTTCTTGGCTGCATATGCTTTGACACGTTCTTCCTTGATTTTCTCGGCTTCTTCATCCTCATCTTCGGAACCGAACAAGTCAACATCGTCGTCGTCATGATCAGCGGGAGCTAAAATTTAAAATTGTTTTAATCTATTTTTAAATATTAATTAAGCTAATAAAAATGTTACTTTGCTTTGCTAGCGCTGAACTAGCTGGTGTTGTTGTCGGTTTGGCGGAAGAACCTCCCTCTAATGATTTCAAACGGCCTTCCATTGACATTACTAGTTTTTGTAAACCTTCAATAACTCCACGAAGCTGAGCATTTTCTTTTTCGACCGAGGAAATTCTGTCCAAAAGCTCTACACCTGGTCCACTCATAGCTGAAGCTCCATCAACACGCTCCAAAGAAGATTTGATGTGTTGTCTAGCTTTGGCGATTTCCGAAACAAGAGTTGAGGTTGTTGCTGTGCCAACACCGTTCTACGATAAGAAAAAACGCGACTTTTGTAATTTCCTTCACGTTTGATAAGAAAAATAAAAAAAAACATGCAAAAATATAAAAGTAAAAGGAAAAAAAAATTAGAGTGAAACGAAATGAGTTGAGAGAGCAAAATATGTATGAGATTCAAGCCAAAACACTAAGACTATAGGAAGCAATTCATTGAGTAAATTGAACCTTGTCATTCTCATTGTCTTTGGGCTTTACAGATTCAGCAGTATTTTTGGTTTTCTTTTTCTTGTCCTTTGATTTTGATGTAGAAGAAGCTTGCGATTGGGTCAAGTTGGGAGTCAAATCAATGACAATTTTTTCTTTAGATGGACATTCTTTTGTAGTGATAGATTGCACTGATTGGTCTTGCTGTTGTTGTGTAGCAGCCAATGCAGCTGCTGCTTTCTTTTCTCTTTGTTTTTTGGATTTGGATTTCTTTTTAGAAGCAGATGATTCCGAAGGTTCATCAACAATTCCTGAATCAGTTTTTGCTGATACATCCTCAATTGTATCATCCTTCGAGATCGAAACTGTTACTTTTTCTTCTTTTGTCAACTCAGCAAGTGATGTTTCTGATGAAACTGAATCCTTCTTTTTTTTATTCTTATTTTTCTTGTTCTTTGATTCTTGAGAAGTTTGTTGTACTTGTGAAAGCTGTGGTTGTTCTAAAGAACTTTTTTTGTTTCCTTGTTTATCATCCTTAAGCAGCTTGTAAAAATATAAGTTCAAAGTTATGCAAAATTTGATATAAGAAATTTAGAAACAATTTTGCTTTCCTCGAATATCCTGAAATCAACGTGAAAATGCATTAAAGGATATTTACCTGATAATATTTTGCTTCAGCATCTTTGTACTGATAGTAATTTTGGATACGGTCTACGGCAATCGACATAATGACTGATGACTGACAATTCTATAAATATAAAGAAAAAAATTGATGATGTCGCAGTTTCCTTGGCAGTTTCAATTTTCAAATATGTACATGAAAATTTTCTTTGACATTGAATTAGTGAAAACATTTTCTCGTATGATCTTTAGTGGTGTGCATATTGCAATTCTAGATTCATAAAAATGCAAAAACTTTTGTACCTACACGAAGTTATTGATTTTTTTTGCAGTGATTTTTCATTCAATTAGGTACTTTGTAGGTTAATAACTTTCAAATTGTTTAAAGATAATTAAAAAGCAAAAATTGTATCATCGCTTTTATTATTTAGTTAATAAACTATTAGTACAAAGGAATATTATGACCTTACCTCTGAGACACTTCAATATATTGTGAAAAAAAGCAAAAGATTCTAATAGGAACGTTTACGTTTTCAGACTTTTTGCGCAACTCGTTGCTAGAATGTTAATTTGGTGCTCTCGTAGTTCGAACTGCGAATAAAGAAAGATTTGGAAAATAATTAATGAAAAGTTTATGTTCTACCGTAATAAATAATTCCTTCAGTACTTTAAGGATTTAATCTAGCAATGTATTGATAAAGCGAGTAAACTTTCATTCATAAATACCTAAAAAAATTAAAATTAAATCATCGCAGTAGTCCGAACGATGATGGTTGGAAGCTCTGATCAGATTTCTTGAAACAACACGTCAGAATATTTGTGCTGCCTCGAACAGAATCATCATCGCGATCAGTATTCAATGAAAATCTTTTGTAATAAGATTGAAAGTTTATTTAATCAATAGTAGAATCGTTTAAAATATCAAATATATCTTATAAAATCTAGGAATCAATACAGAACCATGAATAATACTTTGAGAAATACAATAAACCTTTTTTTGGGCTTTCTATTTTTCGCCGCACTCTCTAACGTTTCAGCTGGCCTCAAAGAAGGAGATTGTGAAGTGTGTATAAAAACAGTAGAGAAGTTTGCTAACACATTAGAGGAAGCTGTTAAAAAGGACCCGAAAGCAATAGAAACTGAATTCAGAAAATATTGCAAGACCACCAAAAATAAAGAAAACCGTTTTGTAAGTTCTTGAAAGAATAAAGATGACGTGTTACCTAATCGTTTTGAACTGTATGTTCTGATAACAGTACATACAATACAACACGATTGACAAGTAGAGTAAAACGGAAATGAAAATATAAATTACCCTAATTTTCCAGTGTTATTACCTCGGAGGACTTGAAGAGTCAGCAACTGGTATTCTAGGAGAATTATCGAAACCGATAAGCTGGTCAATGCCAGCTGAAAAGATCTGTGAAAAGCTCAAAAAGAAAGATGTACAGATCTGTGACCTTAAGTTTGGTAGGACTTTCACTCATAATTTAAGGGCATTCCTTAATTTATCATTCTCCTTCTTTTTTTTCTAGATAAGCAAATTGACTTGAACACAGTAGACCTTAAGAAACTTAAAGTTCGGGATCTCAAAAAAATTCTCAGTGATTGGGATGAGACATGCGAAGGTTGCATCGAAAAGTCTGATTATATTAAGAGGATAGAGGAACTTAAACCTTTATATGCCTCATCAGGATCGGCAAAAAGTGAACTGTAAATATTCAGCACAAGCGTTTCAAAGTTCCACCCACAATGAGGATAATAATTTATCAATCAAACATCATTTCATTGAAATAACATTGTTTAAAATCAATTTTTTTTGTGAATAAATGGCTAATTGAATTTTTAAGACTCAAAAATAGTGTTTGAAATAGGATGTTTTAGTATTTGATCGAAACAGTTCATTGCAAAATTGTTGAATTAGCAGAAGAGCTTACTGATGAAAAATTGTAATCTTCTTGATAAGTTTCCAAAAGAAACGATCAACATCGGGAGACTCGTCGTAAAATGAAAATCTCTTGTGCAACATGTAACAAAATTCTATCGATTGATAAGCAGTTTATATGCAGCATCAATCAAGTTTCGTAAATATACAATATGATGAGCCATTTTAAAAGCGTTTATTCTGAAAAAGGATTCTTGACTTATTGTGATACTAAAATTTGAAAGTTCAATCAAGTTGCTTTCCACATAGCACGTCACATTCAACCGAATGCTTTTCAATGTCATTTATGCAATGTTCGAATAGATATTTTCAATACATATCACATTCAAAATCATCTGCCAGAAGGTGAACGAAATTTAAAATGTCTTGAACCAAACTGCAATCGTGATTTTGAGCTTCAAACACAATGAACGATTTGTCAAAAGTGTCTGAAGAGTAAACTTTGTTTGAGGGAACACATATGAATCCATCGCCATAAGTCGTAAAGAATTTAAACATAGTGACTTGAAACCATTTAGATTACGAGGTAATTATTAATTCACTCACTAATCACGTGAATGAACAACATTCTACTCAGCGATAATATCTTGTGAATTTTGTTTTACATATAACTTTTGTCAGCATTGGAAATTGTAAGTAATTAAAAAGCAAAAAAGAAAGGTTTACATATAAATATAAACTTGAATGAAATATTATTGAATTTTCATTAAAATTTCCTGAAGAAAATAAGGAAAGAAGAAATTTCACATTTCAATTTTTAAGACGATATGTCCTAACATGTTTCATTTAAGTTTCTTTTTTGAATAAAATCTAATTTTACTTCTCGATTGTAGTTGAACTCTTTCAATGAAGAAAGATGTCGATTGTCATAAATTAGGAATTGCAAAAATGTTCAAAGATTCATCCAATTTTTTTTTCACATTATTAACATGCATGCTTGATTGAGATTAATTTCAGGCCATTTTTCTGTGGAAAAGAAGTGAAAACTGCCAATGTTTAATGAATGGGATATCACTGCTGATGACTGCTTTTTAATGGATTATGATTAAGAATGGTTAATGATTGGAATCTCGCCGTGTTCTAATGACCAATGATAGCAGCGATAAAAAAAAATCTTTCTTTTTATTTTCATTAACTTAAAACTTACCTCGTGTAACCAAAAGCATTCTCGTTGTGATTCAAAAAGTATACGAACTTTTTATGTTGGGAGACTTGAGATTCGCGTGCTTCTGAGAGTTTCTCATTGCTTCCACTCTTATTGCCATTATAGTTTAAAGCATCGGTGTTAGTAACTTAAACACCACGTAAAAATGCCATGAAGATGTTGTAACCAGAAGTATCAAGAGCTACCTTCAAGTTTTCTGCAATTCCATTATAAATCTGTTTATCGAATGAAATAAGCTGAAACTTTCAAGTCAATATTGCAAACACAAAATAAAATTAAAGAATTAAATCATCAAGTCAGCATCATTGCATTTTATCTTAAAGAATTTTATTTGTTGCTACATTTGATGTTTCAATTTATTTCGCTTCTATTTCAAAAATTTAGTCAGACTTGGTTCAGAAATATGAAATTTAACCATAAAATCCTGTGAAATCGAAATCTGAATACCACTCGGAAATATTTCGTTTCTTCATAATGAATTTGGTCATTCCATTTTCTAAATTTTTCCGGGATGAGATGTTAGGAAATTCGTCTTCAAATAATATTTTTAAAGCTGAATCAGATGGACACTTCCTCAGTCCACCAAATCGAATGTCTTTAAGTCTGCTTCCAGCACTATGAATAAGTTCAATTGTTTCATGTTGAAAAGTAAATCTATCAAATTCAAGACTCAAATGTGTCAACTTTGGATGATCATCAAGAATTTGTTGTAGATCTTCGTGAACAATTCCGGTTAATTTTGATATTATAATTCGTTCCAGGTTTGGGCAGACACTGATTAGTTTGAGAAGTGTTCTAGTATTTTCAACGTTAAAGGTCTTGTTGTTAGTCACTTCCAATTGTTTAAGATTTTCATGTCTCAAATCTTCACTTATGATTAAAATATCTTCTGGAGGATGGAAATAGAATTCGAATACAATCAATTCGAGATTAGGAAAATATTCTAATATTGTTTTGATCAAGTTAATATTAACGATCCTTGAAGATAGGAATTCAATATGTTTTAGTTTTCGAAAATGTTGACTCAATTGTATCAAAATATCTTCTGAAATTTTCCTCTCAGGGCATAAAAGCGTAAGCTTTTCAATTTGCAAGGAATGCATCATACTGAACTCTAAAAGATGATGGCACTCATCGTCATCTCTATTGGTCCATAATTGAAGTTCCTTTAAATTGGACATTTTTTTCAGTGAGTTGAAAATGTTACAAGACACTTGACCGTGGCTCATTTTAGCGACTTCAAGATTTTTTAAGTCGCACATTACTGTAAAAATTTCGTTATCCATATCATTCTCATTTAATTCGAGATAACGAAGTTTTGGTTGCTGTCGTAACACCGCAGGCAACTCAAAAGTTAAGAAAATTTTCAAATGTTCGAGTTCCAGATGATTGAAGTTTATATCTTGGAATTCAAATACTTCAAGCTTTCTAATGTTGGTTTGTTGATTGAAGAATTTTTGGAAACTTGACACATCAAATTCAAAAGGTAGGAAGATCAAATCTCTTAATGTGTTCTTTGGAATTTTGTGTAAAATGTTTGGAAACATGAAAGAGCAAACATTAATCTCCAACTTCTTCAGTTTGTGCATGTTGAACTCAGATTTATCATGGTTCACATTCAAATCACTTTGAAAATGAATATTTGTCAGTGTCAAATCTTCTACATTGGGAAGACAATCCAATATTTTTATCAGACCCTCAGTTGTAAATTCTGAATCTTGATCTGGATTTGAAGACCACAATTTAAATCTTTTTAATCTTTCTCCAAACTTTCCCATCACATCTAAAATATATTCAATGTTGTCCACGGCAATATAATTGATATCGATTTTCAAGTGTTCAAATTTCCGATATGATTTTACAATTGAACTGCGAATTCCTGCATCACAGATCTGTGAATATTATTATTTTATATTTTTAATTTTTTATTTACTGTAGCATTCTCACCTGTTGATTAGAAATTTCTAATGGATGACAATCGCGTTCTACAATACATATCAGTTCATAAAACTTCCAGCATACTTGAGACACATTTTTACGTGAGGAGATATTAACATATTCAAAGATGCAGAGCAGTATTTCATCTGGGAGGTTTAAAATTTCAACATCTTGCATTTTCATTCTCTTCTTTTCGGTTTTATCTTGAACGTTCATTTTTCTTCGCACTCTTTCTGTATTATAAAAGATTAAATTAAACATAAAAGAACAGCTTTGGAAGAATTTGTAAGTGATTGGCGCTGCAACGTATTTCGATAGGTTACTTACCTTTGTTTTCAAAGGATTGTAATATTTTAAACAATTTAGTGTAGTTCGCTAGCAGTGTGGTCACTTCGAGATTGCGATTACTATTATGTACACTTAAAGCTCCTCCAAAAAGATTTAAGATACAAATACCTACCTGGTCAGATTAGCGTAGAAAATTAAGTGAACACTACTAAAAAGTGAACTACCTACTGTTATACCCGTTTTTTACCGTCAAAAAAATTTGAAAAATTTTGAAAGGTAGATTTAAAAAGACGACCANAATTCAAATTGAAAAAGCTCAAAAAAGTGTTAATAAACCATTGAATAGAACATTTGAAACAAAATTCAACATTTAAATAATTATTTGCTTTTAAAAATAATAATAAATGCGAACTAAAATTTAGTTTTGCTTCCTGGTGTCATTACTAGCCAAGGGAAGCAGAAGTGGTCCGTTACTAGTAGCGGACCATGGTGTCATAACTAGCCGAGGGAAGCAAAAAATGGTCCGCTACTAACCAAGGCTAGACTGTTACAAAAAATTAAATTGTAGCTTAACTAAGTAACGTTGAGCGCTCGCTAAAAAACAAAATGGTACCTAAAACATTATAATTTCAAATAGTAAAAGCAATTTTTTTATCTTTTATTCGCCTTCGGAAATATTAATGTTTTCATGAACCCTTAAAGTGTTAAGCCTTAAGTGGTGTCATTACTAAAGAACTACCCTATCTACCTACTGTTATACCCGTTTTTTACCGTCAAAAAAATTTGAAAAATTTTGAAAGGTAGATTTAAAAAGACGACCTCTGTAATTCGGAACGAACTATAAAAATAAGACCTATGAAGCCCGATTAGTTTGATTAAATCATGATCAGCATAAAATTTGCAAATAATCTACATATCTTAGTGGTTTTTGGTTTGCATAAATCTGCAAATCATTATGAAGATTATGAAATATTGTACAGGACTGTAAGCACAGTTGTGCATAGAGTGTTTACAAGCTTATTACTTTTCTGTTTACTTCTTTAATTAATTTCAAAAACAAACATTTTCAAATTTCACTTCAATGTGAAATTTCATCTTATTTCGTAAATGAACAAATAGTCCACGTCATTCACTTAAGTCTTCTAAGACTAGCGAACTCTGTGACAATATTGGAAATGGAAGAATTACTACAAAATGATGCACAACGAAAAACTACAAACAATTATCTTGGAAAGATTCTAATAGGAACATCCGCAGCAATTGCAGTAGGAATTTCTGTCGTTTGCTTTCCTTTTGTGTCACCGGCGCTAAGAAAGTTCACATTACCTTTCATACCAGCGACAGATAATCAATTGAGAAACATATTAAAAGTTTTACCGAAACATCCAAGCAAAGGGATTAAAGTTTTGGATATAGGAAGTGGTGATGGTAGGATTGTTATTGAAGCAGCAAAACGAGGGTATGTCGGAATTGTTTCTATGTAAAAAGAATAGTTTTCTATTGAAACATAATTTCATTTTTAGATTTGAAGCTCATGGAGTTGAATTAAACTATTGGCTGGGATTATATTCTCGTATCGCTGCCTTACGTGGAGGAGTCTCCAAAACAGCAAAATTCTATAGAAAGGATTTATGGAAATTTCCGCTTTCAAGTTATAATTATTGTGTGATCTTTGGTGTTGAAGAAATGATGGAGAAATTAGAAGAAAAGTTCCAAAACGAACTAAAAGATGGATCAACAATTATTGCCTGTCGTTTTCCTCTTAAAAATTGGAAGCCTACAAAAGTTCTATCTGATGGTGACACAGACACTGTATGGGTATACAATAAATCTGTTTAAAAATTATTTGTGAATTTAGTCAATACTTAAATAAAAGAACGAAAATTTAACGGCTGCTGAATTATTTAAATTTAATTGAATAGATAGAAATTGAAAGAAAACTTTAACAGTGTATTGTTTACGTTTTTCTGGCGATCTTCAAATAAGTTTAGTTTTTAATTTAAAATGGAAATGTAAGAGAATTAATTAATGCATTAAAGAAATTATACTATTTATCAAATTAATGCATTTCAGATTAAACCCAAAATATCAGGTTTTATCGAATCTTGAAGTCTTGATGGCTTTACGTGAAATCAAGGATCAAAAGTTATCTCAAGGTGCACGAAATTTAGCAACAATCACATATGAGGTAAAAAAGTAATAAATTTGAATGATTAGCTTATTATTAATTATTGTATTTTTATTTTGGTTTCTCCAGACAATTCAATATTTAGAAAACACTCCATGCAAAGATCAATCAGAAATCAACCTGCTTAAGTTTATAACCGAAGTGAAGCAGTTTAATAAGTTGACAAAATCTGAAGTATTATCTATGGTCAACGAACCACCATCACTACCACTTCACATACAACTAATCGTTGAAGATCTAGAAGAGCGTTTAACAGAATCTCAGGTTGACGAGTTGATACAGTTATCAAAGAAATATTTGATCCCATCAACACATGATTCCAGACATGAATAAATTTATCCATTTAAATATCTAATTAAATAAAAACAACAGAGTGATACAATCAATATCAAGTTTTATTGAAATCGTTTCCTTTAAAAATTCATCAACATTATTTATATACATTTTATTAAAATATGATGAAATTACAAGGTTGAGTTGTGCAAACTTCTACATCGTAGTATGAAATTCTTGTCACATAGTTTGGGTAAGTAATTGTTATAATAAATAATTGAAAGTTTGAATGCTGTTGAGATTATGAAAGCAGCTATTGAATCTAACAAGAAATCTAAGTTAGAAGAGATTATAGTTGACAACTAAATATTGAGCGGAAATGTTTTCTTTATATGTCGCGCCATTTTCTATTGTTTAACTTTAATTACTTCTCAGCCTCATGAAAGATATTCATTTAGAACATTTTGCAACCCAGCACGATGTTGCCATTCTTTGTACTTCTTCAATTTCATCATTACTAGAAATTTATGTCTTTCCTATCATTTCTAATCCTAAACGAGAATTTTCACAAACTTTAAATTAGTTTTTGAGACCAAATTCACGAAATATTGAAAAATATTAAGCTAACATCACTTAACACAAATTTGTTACTTCAAATTAATTATTGATTTGTCACTTTTTGGAATATTTAAAGTGAATTTCTTATCTTTGAGAATATGACTTGAAAAATTGCTTTATATAAATAATAGTTTTAATAAAAACAACAAGAACAAGACAAAGACATGAGGATATTTCATTAAACTCTTTAACAACTGAAAATCAAAATAATAATTTTATAAATAAAACATCACAGAAAACAAAGAAAATAAAATCAAACTAATTGTCAACTAACAACAAAAGACTTTTTTATTCTCTTTACCGTAAAATTCTTACTAACGACTGTGCTCAGCAGTTTATTCTTCATCATCAGTTTCATGTTTTTAGCCTGAGCGTTGACCTAGTAGTTTCATTATAAAATAAATTAATTAATTATAGATATTTTTCTTGTTACTTTTTCTTTCTCTTTTTTTTGGGATGGACATTCATTCAATGATAAAAGTAATTAAACTATTTTGGATGATTTCAATACGATCCATATTAATGGTTTTGTCTTTTAATCTTTAGCAATTTTTCTTTGCTTTTTGCTCGTTTTCTTATGAATTCGCTTGTGCCAACTCTGTGCAAGAGAGTTGATGATTGATAGGATAAAGTAGAGAATCATTCCTATCACGAATACTTCAAAAACCTTCTGAAGAACATTTCCTTTATGTTTAAGCGTTTTTCCACGGTGAAGTTTCTCTTTTTGGTTTGTTAGGAAAGCCTTGAACGGCTCCTGCATTTTCTGTCCCACGACAGGAATAAATGCTATCAGATCAACACCTTTATCGATCAAGTGCTCACTGAAAGCAACAATCACTACAATCTTCTGTAGATGCATTTTAATCACAGCTTTTCCAATGAGAGTTGCACCGAAGAAAGTCCAAAATGGCACCAAGAAATGTCCGCAAGTAATTCCTGCGAGATCGAAGAGTGGATTTGGAATCTAAAAAATTAATTAAAGAAGAAAATTAACTTAATATGAAACCATGAAGAATTTTATTAACTTACACTTGCACAAGCAAGAATTCCAAAGAATCCAACACGTTCAACAATACGTTCCATTCCCAACTTTAGTTTTTCAAATAAATTTAACTTCTCGCCAAGTTCACGCTTTTTCTGTAATTCTTCAAATTCTTGTAGATCTTCAGCATCTTCCGGATCATATCCTGAAAGTCTCGCTGCTCTCGCCATGAAATAAGGCGGCAATTCACCAAGAGCTGTACCAGCACCCCAAAGGAATGATTCGAGACGAACTTTCGACATGATACTCCATAATGATGGCACAAAGCCATTTGTTGGCTCATCAGGACAAACAATGCTGTTGATTATAAAATGTTTTAAAGTTTCAAAAGAAAGTGGAAAGAAATGTCAACTTACTCATTTGGATAAGGTGGCTCGGGGAAGTCTAAAGACCCGCATTCGTAAGCAGCTAACGTAACACTTGCTATGTGTGGTCCGAGATAAAGTAAAAAGGTATGAAGTCCAGTTCCTAATCCAATTGATGAAATAACTCCCAATCCAACCCAGTAAACAACAAAGAAAGCATTTTTTCGAATCCATTCGACATAAATTTGATGCTTTCCTGGTATGTACCAAAGTGTGAAGAAAGCGATTAAGATGAGTGTAACTAATGCAATCGTTTTCTTATGATTTAATAAGCTTCGTTTGTAAATTTGAAAGAGTGTTGTTGACTCAAGAACGCAATACTTGATTGTCAGAATTGGATGAGTCCATAATTTGATTCCTTCTCTCTCTTTACGTAGTCGCTCTTTCTCAACATTATTTCCTCCACTTGATAATGATCCATTTGGCGTTGATTTAGATATTTTCATTTGTCCACTCGATTGACGAATGTTGTTAAGTGAGCTTGAATGTCTGAGCGACATTTTGTAGCCCAATCTTTGTAACTACAAGTGAAAGAAAATTTTATGAGTAAATATTATCACAAGTTATAAAGCATCGACAGCAGCAATAATAAATAAGAATATTCTTAACAGACTTAAATCTGATAAGTAAAAAAAGTAATAAAACTCAAAGAAAAGAAATAATTCAACCAAGCAAAGTTTAACGAAATCATAAGAAAAAAGTCAACCATGCAAATGATCTACAAAAACATAAACATGACGATGAACTTCACAAGCCAATCTCTATTAAAATAAAGATCTATGTTCAAAAGTACTACGAAATTCTTTCTTTGTCATCATGCGCTAATCGCGAAAAGAAAGAAAGAAAAAAAAAATTAAACAAAAGTGAAATCAAGCGCACCAACAAGGGAATTATTTCGCCAGGCTCAAGTGTTTATTTTTAATCTTTACGAGAACCGTGAAATTTATTATTATAGTATCGTTTCTTCTTCTTTCTTGCCTTGATTGTTGAAATAAGAAGAAGAAGAAGACGAAGAACATTCATCCTTCGCTTGAAATTCTTCCGGATAACAATCTTGCCATAAATAGAACAATGATTGACATTCGGCACACATTCGTTATCATTCGAAGAAGAAAATAAGAAGTCTTACTGTTTCAATACATATACTGAAAGAGTAAGATGTGTGCTGTTGTAAAAACAGCTGATTTTAAATGCTAAAAGCATGGTAGCGTAGCGTAAAGGTGAATGAATCAAAATCGACATTGACAACGTCACAGAAAATTAAAGAAAAAATAAACTTATGAAATTCTTTCCAACAAAAAACGCAAAATATAATCGCTCGTGCCAATCCAAACAACGTAAATCGTGGAAAGGAAAAATAGGAAAACAATACCAGCTCGGTTTTAGTTCCAGCAGTTTTCTGGCCCCTTCGTTTTGCTTCAATTTTAAGTTGTTCCTTTGTTAATGACTCCAAAAATTCGTTTCTTTGCAGTTGTTGCTTTTGCTTAGCAGTTAACACGAAAACTTCATCGTCTTCATCATCATCATAAGTGAAATGAGTTGATGTACGTGTATTCTGTTCATTGGCTTTTTTAAAGTTTCTATTATTAATCACGTTTTGTCCGAATTTATTGATTCTACTAATCAACTTTGCTGTGGTTGAGTTAGATCCCGACTGACTGCTTCTTTTCTTCGGCATAATATTGCACTCGTTCTTCTACCTAAACCTTTTTGTAACCCTTGTTTTATTATCCTTTTTAAACAAAATAAAAAAGATAATTGTCAGAATTTTACATGAAAACAAAAATTCTTTTCTGTAGGTAAGCTTTGTTATCGTCAAAATAGGCGAAAAAGCGAAAGAATAATGAAAAAAAGGAATTAGCTTGTTACTTATAATCTTAGTTCTCAGGAAATAAATATATCATTTGACTATCATTTCTTTAACTATGTACACAGTACATGAGTGATAAAGCAAAAACAAATCTGCTGATCATCCCATTTACAATGAACCTTGAAATTTGAACAGAAACAATTTCCTATGATGGTTCCGTAAATTAATCTGCTTATGATTGATCGCGATAAGCCGAAGAATGTAATTTAGTTCAAGCATCATGAAGCATTTAAATGATAAGACATGTAAATAATTTCCAAGGGCTCATAACGGCTTTCTTTAGAAATCACCTGATTTTAAAGTCGATGTCTTGTCTTTGTAGCGTTTCGTTAATATATTTTTCTTTAGCAAGCATTCAGAAAATTTCAGTAATTTACGCGTTAAGTTCACGTTCAATAGAAAATTGACTTTCTAGTACCAACCTGATTTAACGTTTGATCCCTTAAGCTGATTTTTTAAATCTTTTTCAAATTTTTGCTTATGAACAAATGTGAAAAATCACCACGACAAAAATTGATTTTTTGTCTCCAACCCTTGTTTCAAGATTTGTCAAATATTTTCGTTGTTTTAACAACAAATCAAAATAATTTATGATCCTAAACTACACTTATATAACTTTACACTGATTTTGTGATGTTTAAAACTAGTTATTAGCAATTTTTCTTGAGTTTAATTATATTTCTACTTATTCATCAAATGTGAACAAAAGACTACGTTTAGTAAACCGATTTCTGAACATAATTTTAGTACATACCCTTCCCCTCAAAAAGAGTGCGTTTAATTCTTTCTTTTTGATCTAACTATTTTTAAGTAAGGTGTGTGTAAATTTTATTTCCCTTTATTTATTGAAATCAACTGTTTATAAGTTCAAAAACGTTCATTATAATTTGATAACTTTCATGCAAACATTAATTTAAAGAAAACTATATGAAAAACGTGTTAATATATCCATAAATATATTTTGAAGTTTCGCACACGTAAATTTTGCAAACATGTTCATATCTTGAATATTTGATGCAAATATGATGTAAAGCATATCTCTAAATTGTATAGCACGTGTTGTTTTAATTTTTAAACATAAATATGGCAATTAAAATTAAAACCTTGATTTCAATTTTAGGTTAAATGCAAATCAATGTGAACATACAGTGGCGTAACTATGCTTTGTTTGTGCCTTGCACAAGCTGTAACATGCATAGGGGCCCTAATTCATAACACAACGAATATTTAAAGAAAAAAGTGAACACGTTCCTTGTTGAATTGGGTCTCTATCAGGACAGCTTTTATCTGCAAGTAGATAAGCAAGTTACGCTGCTGTCAGTCTTCACCATAAATGAATTAAGCAAATTGATCTTTAATATCTGATTATCTATCAAAAGGTCCATCAGGATGGTCGTCACCAAGAAGATTGATCCAGCATCAGCTAAAACTAAAACCACACCAAAGGATGTGAAGAAGCCTGCAGTTAAGAAACAAACACTTCGAGGCAAAGGCTTAAAAAAGAAGAAGGAACATCTTCGTTTCGGTGTTGATTGCACAAATATTGCCGAGGATAACATTTTGGATGTTGCCGACTTTGTAAGTGAACTTTTTGAAGCTTTAAAATTTAATCTATTAATTTTTCTTTTCTCAGGAAAAATTCTTGAAAGAACGTTTCAAGGTTAATGGAAAGACCGGAAGCTTGGGCAACAACGTCACCATGGAACGTCAGAAGATGAAGGTTTACGTTAACTCCGATATTCACTTCTCAAAACGTTACTTGAAATATTTGACGAAGAAATATTTGAAGAAGCACAGTCTTCGTGATTGGATTCGTGTTGTTTCCAATGACAAGGACCTTTACGAATTACGTTACTTCAGAATCAGCTCCAACGATGATGATGAAGAAGACAACGAGTAAATCTTCAAAAGTAAACTTTCGCAATTGTTAGAAAATTGAAACATCTTTGAATAAAAAAGAAAATTTTATTATTCAATTGCAACACCAGGAAATGTCGTAAAATTCTTCTCTCATGTGTTTGTCAATTTTATTTTTTTATTTTTAAAGCTTTTCACGCATTTTCCGAACACAGAAAATCTTCATTTTCAGTTCATGTTCAAACGTTGCCGCACATTGTTATTATCTTCTTCAAAACTTCCTTCAAAACGAATTAAAGAATAAAAATGAAAATAAATATTTTTATTTTATTTATTTGCTTCATAATGACAGTCAGCAATCAATCATCATCAGGTGAGATATAAACAAGACAACGAAGAGTGATTGATTGTCTTAAATTTGTCATGAAGACACTTCACTTCTTATTCCCTTGATAACTGATCACGGAAAACGTTTGACAAGAAGAAAGTCAAATTATCTAAAAATAAAATGAGACAACTCAGACGTGTGTGAAGAATCACTTAAGAATTTTCACGAGATTAAAAATAGTCTTTTTTATTTACAAAACAAAAGCCATGCTGATGCCATGACCGGCATTTAATTTTGTTATGTTTTTAGGTCAATTAACGAGGGAAAATGTGTCGGAAAGTAATGTCACTGTAAAACCATTAATTGTAAGGAGTGTGGACAATGATAAATCTTTACCTAAGGAAACACAAATGGCACAATGCACCATCACATCTGGAGACATTAAAGCGTCAGCTCAAGCTACATTTTCAAAGAAACTTGAAGGATTCTGTTCCACAGATGACATGAATGACTTGAAAAGAATTATTTCAACCTTAGAATTGAAATTTCTTGATGAGATTTATTATTTAAGAAATATGATTCAGTCGTTACTACCCCAACATTTTCATTATCAACCTCATATGAGTCATCAACAATATCAAACTCCTTATTCAAGCTATCATGAACCGAATTATCGTTACCAAATGCCAGTAAATCAAAGAAATTATTATAACCATTACTCAGATACTTCTCATCAGCAGACAACTCAAAGAACTTTTATCCCAACACTTCCTACGACACAACAATCGATGACTGCTTCAACTTCTGAACATCAAACTATCTACACAACCAAAGCACCTGAAGTACTAAAAGCAATGAAGCATGATTTAAAGTCACTTGAAATAAATAAGTCAAGATTATCCAAGAAAATTGAAGAAACAACAACTCAAGAGACAATCACAACCCCGCAAGCAACTCCAACTAAAAATGAGTACACTTATTACTGGAAGTTGGAGAACTTCCCAGAAGTCTTTAATCATGCCAAAAAAAGTGAAGTGTTCAGTCATGTTTTTAATGTTAAAGGATTATTTCTTAGAATTCGAGCAACACTTCAAGAGTTTGACAATCAAAATCTTCTTCTCGGTATTGAACATCTCGCAAACATTGAGAACAGCGACAAAATGGAAATTGAAATATCCGATGGATTAGTTTTTAAAGAAATTGCCGAAGAGAAACTCTTTCAATATAGTTTCTCAATTATGGATCAATCACGTCCAAATCACGATCTCATCTCACCAATTTATTGGAACACAGATAGTGAGAGTTATTTAATCCCAAACAGTTTTCATCTATTGGCGAATTATGTGAAAAGTCATTCGATTTTAATTAAATTTATTATTATTTTTTGATGTGTAGTTAAAATTACGAAATTGATTTGATAAAGTAAGCAAAATCACCGTTGGTCTCACTTAAGGACTTCTAATTATCAACGCTTTCTTTCACCAAAGTAGAACATGAAATTGTTTTTGTGTTTTAATGTTTATTACATTTGATAAAAATAAAAAATACAAAAGTAGGTATTTAATGATTTTGAAGAAATTTTATAATGAACTAAGAAACAAACTTCAACTTTATAAATTATGATCTTAAAATTCAAAGTGTCAAAATTTATGCTCGCATTGTACGTTTGTAATGTTGAGAACGAATTCCATTATTTTTTTAACTTTTGGACAAAGACCATAACGGAACAGTCCATGCAAACATTGAAGATGATTTAATTATTCAACTCGATCATTGTCATCCGCAATTGAACGCTGTTGTGGCGGAATTAAAAAACGTTTTTTTTTTCTTAATCTTCATCAATTTTCATCTTTTTCGTCACAGGCTCGTCATTTTCATTG